ACCCTTGTGCTTGAATAGCCGGTCCGTTCCGCAGAGGCCTGCGTGCGAGATCTCAACGAAGACTTCTGAGGGCTGGATTGTGCGTCTGATCGTGTCGGGGTTGACGTCTCCGCTCCCGGAGCCTTTGAAGACATTGAATTCGATAGTTTTGGACATTGGTACGGCTTTACAATGATATATTAGATTCTGGACTTTGCTGTTGAGGGGTAGGTGTATATTGTTTCCTATCTGACCGGCCATCGTAAGACTTCTATATCGCACGCAACGTCTGAATGAAGTCATTATCACGCTTTGAGGACATAATGGCGTCGACGGTACCGGTAGCAGCTTGCTACTACTGAACTATGGCCTTATTGGCGGACATATTGTCCGTCTTGATGACTGCAATGATGCTCTTCATTCACGATGAATCAATGCGTCACTCGTTATGTGGAAACGAGTTGCCTAGAAACTTTAGACATATTCTTTAACTCTTGGACTTCAGTGGTGAGAGCGGATTCGAGGAATTTCTTTCATCCTCGAAACATGCCGGGTAGCACAAAGGGACACGATTTGCATTTATCGCACAGTGAACTCCCGAAGGAACTCTATTGTCTTCAGTCTATATTGTTGGCATTCACAAATCAGTGCTGCAGGCAATCTCCTCCATCTCATCCAGATTCTTTCTCACTTCCTCCAGCTTGACCTTGGCTCGTGCGATGCAGTCCCGTCCCAGCGGCAAGCGGAGACAACCGGTCTTGCCAGCACCTACACCGGTCCCCTGCACCACATCGATGATCCGCTCAACTGCCTTGACCGGATCCCCTGCCTGTTTCCCGTTGCTGCTCTGAAAGACTTGTAGGATCTGGTCGATGGTCGTGCCTTCGTACGCCGGGTGCAGTCCAGCGGCTGGGGTGGCATAGGCCGATAGGAAGTTCGTCCGAAAGGCACCAGGCTCCACGATGAGAACTCGGATATTGAATGGGGCGACTTCTTTCGAAAGGGACTCTGAGAAACCTGGTGATTGTCAGTCGAATAATAATTTCGGACTTCCTTCTGAACGTACCCTCTAGAGCGAACTTGCTGGCCGCGTAGAGTGAGCACGCAGGCTGAGCCTGTAACCCTGCGATACTGCTTATGTTGACAATCGTACCGGACTTCTGGGCACGCATGAACGGGAGAGCGGCTTTGATGACCCGCATAGGTCCGTAGACATTGGTGTTGATCTGTTGGTGGATCTCCTCCTCGCTGCGATCGTCAGATAATGCTGATGCACTCCAAGTTCAGACGAGTCATGACAGGGCATACCTCATATCCTCCACACTCCCGAGCAAAGCATAGCCTGCGTTGTTGACAACGACGTCAATGCGTCCTTGCTTCCGGATGGCATCCTCGACTGTTTCCTTTGTGTCTGGTCGCGTCACATCGAGCTGCAACCAGGTCCCGCCTAACGACTCGATCTGGGGATAAGTCTGCGCTGCCTTGATAGGGTTTCGAGCGGTCGCGACGACTCGATGACCGGCTTTTAGCACGGCTTCTGCGAGGACAGCCCCGAAGCCGGATGAGGCGCCGGTGATGAGCCAGGTTTGAGGTGCTGCCATCGTACCGGGTGTTTCTGACTTTTACTATTGCGATCGATCTCTTGATTGTCTTTCTTATTGAAGTGACGGCTTATTTATGATATATATACCTTGTACCGGAGAGAAGGTGTTGGGACTGATGACTCAAATCGGTCCGCGTGGACGGGGCTAAGATATCGCAAAATCCGTCAACTCCGACGTTGATTATCATCATGTTGCAGGTACACGAGGTGATGGGCGGAGATAGACTGAAGGGGCAAATCTTAGAACTATCACCGATCGGGGTCTCCCTTGAACTGCACTGCCCGTATCGGTGCAGAGGCTAGGACACCACAATATTCCAAGCTCTCAAACATAGTCAGTAAAACATATCTCAAGCAATCTGAGGACCGGAAAAGCATAGCGAAGTCCGCCTCTGTTCGTGGCATAGTCTGTCAGCTCTTCAATGAACGAACATCTCAGCTGGAATGACGACTGTCGCAATCATGGTATCGCATCAAGATCATCACCGAAGGAACGGCACGGTTTTGATGTCAAAATAAGAATTAATCCTTAAGAAGTCGAAGATTCGATCGCGCTTCTTCAAGATCGATGTTCAGGTTCAGGCTGACATTCTTCCCCCTGGCAGCCTGGCTACGTCGACCATTGAAGCTTTCACGGTTCTCAAGTCTGGACCACTTGAGCCGTCGATCCATTCCGTGGATCCTTTCCCATTCTAGCAATGCCAGGTTCTGTCAGTGGCCACGAGAAACGAGTTTCTATCTGCATATGAAGTCACAGTGACTGACTTCATGATAGCTCAGAAGCTCAATCTCCATCTAGCTCCATGGTGGGAGTCTTTTTGAGTCTGATCGAACAGATCACGCCAAGAACAACGGCAAGACAATAGTGGGAGTACTAGTAGTACAAGTACAAAACGTTGCATTTGCTTTTTTTAGCCTACGCAGAATGGAGTACAGAAGCACTGTACACGCAGGGAACACAACCTCCAACTCACATTGTGTGACTATGAGCCAAGTTTCGATGTTTCTTTTATCTAATCGACAGACAGCTCCCGTTGACACTGTAATGACATTGTGCCGCAACCGGACACGGTCATTTGAATCCTTCATGCTGCTGCAAAATGTCAAGTGTAACCTTAAGGTGACAGAAAAGTGGATAGTTTCTTGTGTGCCTCAAATACTGCCTGAGTGCCTCGGTGCCTGACCTTGGGGAAATTAGATCACTTGGAAGACCAATTTAGGTCCAAGGATACATTGGCTGCTGTCAACCAGGATTTGAGCATTCAGTCGAATCAATTGCATTGAATCATCCGCTAGACAAGAACTAAGGTAGTCATGTGTGTCTAGTCTTCAATGTTCGCTCCGGCCGCTTGCGGAGATGCCTTTTTCTCCTGCCTATTCGCCATTACCCACGCGGTCTTTTTAATTTACTCCATGCTGTCTCCATAATCAAGTGTCTGTGCCTGGATTTCATAATAATTATTAACGAGTCAGGCGAAATACTCTGCCGCTGAGTCCTGGACCCTGTTCCAAATCTGTTTCTTCCTTGCCTTCGTTCTGTCTGTCTTTCTGCTCCTCTTCTCTCTCGTTTCCTTTCCTTGCCCAATCCGTCTCCCTCGTTGATCATCCGTTATCTCATCTGATCGGAGCATTCTTTGGATCTCGTCTAATCGACCATTGCTTGTCATTCCTTTGATCCTCTTCCTCTTTAACATTACACTATCCTGTTCCTCCGTCCCCTTTCATCCTCTTTCTTCGCCTTTTCGTATGATGGTGGGCCGTTTATTCCTGTGAGCTTCCCACCGACGGTCTCCACCGGAGTCTCAACCTGCGTCGTCATGGCATCTGGGCTGTTGGCCTGGACCGCCAACAATGCTGTTCTCAAGCCGAGCTGTCGACTATTCCGCCTGTTGATAATCGTCTTCTTCCTCACCACCACTGTTCTCGCGACCACCGATACTATCTTACCTTCCGCCGCTTCCGCTTCGTTCCCAGAATGCGGGCTGTCATGCACGCAGCTTCAGCAGGCAGCGGACAGCTGCCTGGCTAGTCCAGAAGACACACACGCAGTCCATGTCTCTTGCTTCTGCCAGTCGTCTCTGCTATCTCAACTGAAAACCTCTCCCGATGGGACCTGCGACTCGTCCTGTACCAGCGAATCCGATAGACAGTTGTTGCAGGCATGGTACACCAACTATTGCAATTCTGGAGGCAATACTGGAGGCAGTTCTGGAGCGGCGACGACAACAGTCACATCCGGTGCTGCGGCAAGCACATCTTCCTCAAGCTCAAACGCCCAGGCCCAGGCCAAAGAGGCTAAACCCAAGACCTGGTAAGCATACCGCGGCATTGCGCCCCGACTACTTCGAAATCCCGTTACTGACAGCATTCTTGCAGGTGGGACGGCCACTACAAATGGGTCATCATGGTTATTGTCCTCGTCATTGCATTCAGTATCATTGCCGCGGTAGCCACATGGCTTAAGAAACGCCACGATGCAAAATACCCGAATCTCTATCATGGCGTCGGCGGCAGCGGCAGTGGAACGGAGAGCGGATTGTTCGCCAGCCGCGTACGTGACCAGAGTCCAGGTCCCGGCCAACCTGGCCAATTCTCGTCGGCCTTGGGCGGTCTTGCACCTCCGCCCCGGTCAAGTTACCCAAACTCCGATTCAATCGCCAGCAGTTCGCGAACAGAGGTCGTACCCCCCAAATCGCGGTCTGGCTACCCGTCGTCGCGTCTAGCAAAGACACCACAGTCGGCGGACGACGACGTTGAAATTCGGGAGGTTACTCGATGATTTGCGGCCAGCTATTTGTCATTTTCTGGGAATATTGACAGATTCTTTAGTCGCCTGATGCGAAGGTTCAGCGGCCAGCTCAGCGCGGTTGCGAGCTCATGCCTCCTTGGATTTGTTCGGTGTTTTGATACTCAGTGGTATGACCAACACCTCAAGCTTGCATATATCCGGCGTTTACGTGTCCATCTTTTGAATATTCTTGAAAATGTTTCCCCTCGCTGTCGAATCAGTGCGCATACTTTATAGTGTGGTACAATGTTTGTCAATACGTTGTGCGGCCTTCTTGGCTCCCTTTCTCTGTTCTATCTTTTGCGGGATATAGTACCTTTGATTCCCCTCACGTGGCGTTCCCCGAGCTTGGGAATCTAGTTGGCTTGCAATGTCTAGCTAGGTCATTCCTTGGCTCTGTCCTGTTAGATGCAACAGGATACAGACTCTCCGTGGAGTCCTGCTCTAAGGCCGAGCGGACTTTTCTACAATGGCTCTCTAAGCTAATCTTGCTGTTTCAAAACCTGGAAGAAAAAATAATTCTTGGCTCTTGCTAGATACGCACGAGGTAATTTACATGCAAATAGATGACTGCAGAGTATACGGCAGCCGTCACGAGGTGTTCAAAAAGAAGTCGTTGACCGCTCTCGCTCAAGTCACAGTAATGCTCACGATCTTAATATCCTGCTCCGGCTTCTCCTTGTACGTCTTGGTGTTTTCGATCTTGTGTATGACGTCCAACCCCTGCACCGCCCGTCCAAAAATAGTATGTTTACCGTCCAGCCAAGGTGTCTTCTCCGTCGTGATGAAGAATTGACTGCCGTTGGTGTTGGGCCCCGCATTTGCCATGGACAGTGTATACGGCTTGTCGTGCTTCAGACTTGAAAACTCATCCTCGAACTCTCCGCCCCAGATAGACTCGCCGCCCGTCCCGTCACCGAGCGGATCACCGCCCTGGATCATGAATTTGCGGATCACCCGGTGGAAGATAGTATTGTTGTAGTATCCATTACGCGCATGGGTGACGAAATTCTCAACAGCCTTGGGCGCCGCCTGCGGGAAAAGTCGCAGGTGGATGTCCCCCATGGTGGTGTGGAGGATGGCTGAGGTGCCCGTCTCGGCGGCCTTTTTGGCGGTTGTCTCGCGGGCGTCGGCCTGCGTGGGCCGTTCGTTCTGCACGTCCCGGCTGGATTTGAAGATCTCGGTTTCGTTGGTGAAGAGGTAAAAGCGGATCTTTGCGAAGCCCGTCGAGACGAGAATGGGGTCTCGTTCTTCGGATTCCTGCAGGAGGGGGTTGGCGCTTGCGGCCATGGAGACTGTCATGACGCCTTTCTTTTGTGGTTGGCCCTGATACATGGCCAGGTTGAGAGGGCGGAAGGGCTCGTCCTTTGCGTAGACGCGGACCACGCGGTTGGTGTAGGTGTTGATGCACTTGGCGCCGTAGAGGGAGCCGTAGAGCACAAAGTGGCCTGACTCGTCGAAGATGACGTTGATTTTAGGTTGGGTGATGGGATTCTCGAGTTCACGTTCAATGGCGAGGCGGCGGCCGAATTCCACCTCATCGAGTGGGTAGAGGGCTGTGCCGGCTTGCTGCATTTCTGTGATGGTGGTGAGGGATTCATCGTATTTTCGGTAGAGCTTGCCCGTCGCGAAGTCGAAGACTCGGACCTGCCGGTCGGGAAACGAGACGGTTGCAAATTGCTCGCCCGATGGTGATATTGTAATCGACGCGGGTGCCGATTTGGATTTCTTGAACTCGAACAGGTTCGTGGAGGATTTGAGCTCGAATACATTATCCGGTTTCTCATACGAGCCGTCGCTCGCGCGCCAGTACTCGACCATTCCGGACTGGTCGGCTGAAATGACACAGTCGTATACGTTGTTGAAGGCAATGGCTGCCACGGGGCTACGGTGGATCGACTTGACGGTGTTTAAGGGAGTGGTGTTCTCTCCACGACCATCAAAGACCTGTACCATCGGACTATTCTCGTCCGTCACGGCTAGCAATGGGAGGGATGCGCCGCGAGGGTGTACCCAGCAGACACAGCGCGGTGTGAAATCCAAGGAGAGCATGGCCAGCAAATCTGGGCACCCGATTAGTTGGTATAACCAAATTAACGGCAGGGACCATGCCTACCAAAAGTGATAACGTCAAAGATCTTAATTGTCTTGTCCGCACCAGCCGTCGCAAAACTCCTCCCGTCGGCACTGACGCTGACGCTCTTGATCTCCGCAGGATGCGCTCGGAATTCCTTAACGAACTCGACTCCGACGGCCATTTTCTTCCAAAACTTTACGATACCGTCCATCGATGACGTGATAAGAAAGTCTGTGTAGGGAGTCATTGTAACGAAGGATAGCTGCTCCTTGTGCATAAGCGATTTCGAGTACCGCGGAGATGCGGGCAGCGCATTCACGTAGACCTTCTCGAACGGTAGCTTGCGTCGCTTTTTCTTCGGCGCATCGGCGGAGGGTAGAGCTGGACCAAAGTCATCGTCCGAGGACGAGCCATTTCCTGAAAGCCTAGATCAGTTTCCTGTTTTCAGTCTGAATCAGTTGATGCTCGGGGAGAGTACAACGCACCATCCTCTTCGTCTTCAATGGCAGCATGAGGACGCTTATTCACTGCAAGCTTCGCTTGTTCGTCAGTATCTGCCATTGCGAAAGATGAAAATGAAAGATTCTTTTAAGAGGGTACAGCGAGGGGCGCGCTTGAATTGAATCGAATGTGATTGTTAAGAGGGACTCGTTGGGCGGGCGGTCTGTAGCTACAACTTGAGCTCGGGCCACATCGCGAACTTTTCTGGACGTCCCGCATTATTATTGAATCCTCATCGGTGATTTCGAACCAGTATTTCCCCTGAGCTGCCTGCCTTCCTCCCGCCGGTAGCTACCTTCTAACTATCTACTATCCATCATGGTTCGTCGTCTCTTATATTAATATCATAAATTACATATGCTGACCACCTCCAGGCGTCCTTCGCCAATCCCACGCAGATCTTTGCCGACGATGTCGTCGAGGAAAAGGGCGAGAATGCCCGTCTGTCCGCCTTTGTCGGTGCCATCGCTGTTGGTGACTTGGTGAAAAGCACATTAGGTCCTAAGGGAATGGACAAGATCCTTCAGTCAGCGTACGTGGGGTGGTCTTTTGAGAATGCGGGGTTTGTTGTAAATGAGTTTGCCAGAACTAACTCTCGGGTTAAAATAGGTCGACCGGCGACATCCTCGTAACAAATGACGGTGCTACGATCCTCAAGTCTATTGCCCTCGATAACGCCGCGGCCAAGGTGCTCGTGAACATCTCCAAGGTCCAGGACGACGAAGTCGGTGATGGAACGACATCCGTGACGGTGTTGGCAGCGGAGTTGCTGCGTGAGGCAGAGAAGCTCGTGAACCGCAAGATTCATCCTCAGACGATCATCGAGGGCTACCGGATAGCCAGCAAGGCCGCTCTGGAGGCCCTTGAGAAGGCTGCCGTCGACCGAAGCAAGGATATGGAGGCTTTCCGGAAAGATCTTCACGCTATCGCTCGGACGACCCTTAGCTCCAAGGTTCTGGCTCAGGATCGCGAACACTTCGCTGCTCTCGCTTGTGATGCAGTTCTCCGGTTGAAGGGCTCGACCGACCTCAGTCACGTCCAGATCATAAAGAAGGCCGGCGGCAAGCTCAGCGACTCGTACCTGGACGAAGGCTTCATCCTTGACAAGAAGATCGGTGTGAACCAGCCTAAGCGCTTGGAGAATGCCAAGATTCTGGTTGCCAACACCGCCATGGACACTGACAAGGTCAAGATCTTCGGTGCACGGGTCAAGGTCGAGTCAACGGGCAAACTAGCCGAGCTGGAGAAGGCGGAGCGCGAAAAGATGAGAGCCAAGGTTGAGCGGATCAAATCTCACGGCATCAACTGCTTCGTCAACCGTCAACTCATCTACAACTGGCCCGAGCAGCTGTTCACCGAGGCCGGTATCATGTCCATCGAGCATGCCGACTTTGACGGAATTGAGCGTCTTGCCCTGGTCACTGGTGGTGAGATTGCTTCGACCTTCGATCACCCCGAACAGGTGAAGCTTGGCCAGTGTGATGTTATTGAGGAAGTTATCATCGGCGAGGATACCCTCATCAAGTTCTCGGGCGTGGCTGCCGGTCAGGCATGCACCATCGTACTGCGCGGTGCCACCGAGCAGCTTCTCGATGAGGCAGAACGATCCCTCCACGATGCACTGGCTGTTCTCTCTCAGACTGTCAAGGATCCCCGGGTCACACTGGGCGGTGGCTGTGCCGAGATGGTGATGTCCAAGGCCGTTGAACAGGCGGCCCAGAACACTACCGGCAAGAAGCAGCTGGCTGTGGACGCATTCTCCTACGCTCTTCGGCAATTGCCCACTATCTTGGCCGACAATGCCGGTCTGGACTCCAGCGACCTGGTTACAAGACTCCGCCAGGCCATCAACAACGGCATGACCAGTTCCGGTCTGGATTTGCTTACCCCTGGCGGTGGTATTGCTGATATGCGGGAGTTGGGTGTTGTGGAGAGCTACAAGCTGAAGAGGGCGGTTGTTTCCTCGGCATCAGAAGCCGCAGAGGTAAGCATGGTCGTTGACTGAAATTTGCAGAAACTTTTAGCTAACTACGTCCGTCTACAGCTTCTCCTGCGTGTCGACAACATCATCCGGGCTGCTCCTCGCAGACGCGACCGTATGTGAAGAATGGGAGAAAATAGCGTGTCTTCAGTACAGGGTTTATGATACAGCGCGAATGATGATAATAAATTAAATATCTCCGGGTCTGAGCAGCAGTTGTGAGTCAGTATCTCCTCATGTAGACCTTTTGTATGCCGTCAGCCCAAAGAAAATGCGTAAACATATATGCCTCAGGTCGCTGAACCTTTCTGGAGCAGCTTGCTGCTTTATGTACTCGAAGAAGACAGTGAGCCTTCAGACCAAATAGGTACATATGCAACGGCGCACTTGCTGTGGCATTTTCTTCCAGTAGAACAGCAGAAGCGCTGATCGTGCCATCCGTCATCCCCCTTTTAACTTTCGAGTAAATATGAGTGATTTGATTGCATCATCCATTTTTCAAGTTGGTGATCCAATCCGAACATGTACTTATATGGTGCCTAGGTTTGTAGAGATGCAGGTAACACCTGTCAAATGGCTGGGCGATTTAAGCAATAGGGCCAAGGTCTTGGTGGTTAGCTGCCGCTATTTTTAGCCGGGGGTCTGAGAGTTCTGAGGGACACAGGACGCTTCGACTCCGCACTTGATAGCCATGATGAGCAATAGATTATGATAGAGTTTCTATCCAACCTTTTACTTGATGCTTGACGTACAAATCTCCACAATTCTGGTGCTTTGAGAGTATTTGAAGCAGAAGGATCACTTGCCTATTTTGTACTCTGTACTGTAGTAGTAGCCAAGGCGATTTCAGGTTCCACAACCCTTCCGACGTTGGGACGGTTGGAGCCAGTGAGAGCCTGGAGGAACAGGCTTCTGGGGTACATTGCGCGTTCTTTTTGCAGCACCAAGGCGTGGCACTGCGACTGTCCCTGACCCGCACAGTCCAAATGCGGGTATGATCTTTGCTTCGAGTGGGGATTTGCTCTTCAAAAGGACCAAGAGGACCAAGACCCTGAGGCCCAGAGGCTTGTCTTCTTCTTGACCCTCAGTTTTCTTGTATCTAAATCCTAGATAACTGCCTAATAACCAGGTGGATGGGGTACAACTTTCATTTTAATTCCAGGGCCATCCTTACTGCTCACCGAATTAGGGTCTCATTATTCTGTCCTTCCTGGCTGTGCATTGTAAAAGTAGACGCTCCCTCTCACTGCCTTACTCTAGCTGCTACCCCGAGGGTGATGTCGCAGTGGATTCCCTGCATTCAGCGAATGAAGCATCTGATTAACAATTAATCCCGTCTTCGTGCTGACATTGACAATCATAATAACTAACGAACGTAACCAATAATTAATCCCTTCAATTCAACCATCCTCTGACCACCTGCGCTCACTTCTCTTTTTCCTCCCCATCTTTTTTCTTCGAACCTCTGCTCTGTCAACTACTGTGAGGATCTGTCCTTCTCACTCGTTTGTCCGCCCTCCATCCCTTGTGCCTTAAATCGCCTCGCCTCGTCTTTCCTCGGTCGCCGATCTTTGTACCTTTTTTTATTTTTCTTTTATTTTTCTTTTTTGTAAATTCGGCTCCGCAGTGACGTCGCATAACTACTCTTAGTACTTAGTAGTCTACCTAGTACCTACCTTCTCCGGACATTCCTCTCACTCTTCACCCGACCCGCTCGTCTCGCGATTTTGCGCTCGCTTGCCGGCGCCTCATGCGCTCTTGTTGACCGCGATTCGATGCTCCGATCATTCCAGTCTTTTTGCTGGATTCTAATCCTCTCTGGTCTCCGACAATGAAACTATCGAGTCGGACGTGGACGAGCTTGGTGACCGTCGTCCTTGCCGGCCAAGGAGCGGTCACGGCGCTTGAGCTGGATATTAATGATGTTCGTACGTATACCCGCCTCATGGGCGTCCAGTCTTGATATGATCTGTGTCGCAATTGCTAATCAGTGGACGGACCGCAGAATCGATCAAGGATGCGGCTGCGACAACGGCCTACAACATGATGAGTAACTACACTGGCAACCAGACCGGCCAGATTCCTGGAAAATTGCCCGATACGTGGTGGGAGGGCGGCGCCATGTTCATGACTTTAATTCAGTACTGGTACTGGACAGGCGACACATCGTACAACGAAGTCACCACTCAGGGTATGCTCTTCCAGAAGGGCAACAACGATTACTTCCCTTCGAACTACAGTAACTACCTCGGCAACGACGACCAGGTCTTCTGGGGATTGGCCGCTATGACTGCGGCAGAGCTCAACTACCCCGAGGAAGATGGCCAGCCGTCGTGGGTGTCACTTGCGCAGGGTGTGTTCAACACTCAGGTGCCACGCTGGGACACGTCCACCTGTCACGGTGGCCTGCGCTGGCAAATCTCTACGTACCAGGACGGCTACCGAACAAAGAACGCCATCTCGAACGGCGGTCTCTTCCAGCTTGCGGCACGACTCGCGCGGTATACCAACAACGAGACATACTCGCAGTGGGCGGAGAGAATATGGGATTGGTCTGCGACAACCCCGCTGCTCAAGGAGTCGGACTGGACTATCGCCGATACCACTACGCCTGATACTGAATGCACGGACCATGGAGACCTTCAATGGACCTACAACTATGGCACCTATCTCAGTGGTGCTGCTTATATGTATAATTTCGTACGTTCCGAACTCTCTACTTCGAGGCCTGGTTATGGTGCGAAATGAGGAGCCGAACTGACAAGACATAGACGAATGGAGGCGACAAATGGAAGAAGGGTCTGGATGGCTTACTGAACACCACGTTCAAGCGGTTCTTCCCCTTTCAGAATGGCATGGTCATGTCTGAGATTGCCTGTGAGCCGAACATGATGTGCGATCGCAACCAGGACTGTTTCAAGGGCTTCCTTTCCTCCTGGTTAACTTTTATGACCACCATCGTCCCCTATACGTCGTCCGAGATTGTCCCGAGGATCCAGCAGTCGGCACTTGCAGCAGCCAAACAGTGTTCTGGCGGTTCGAATCACACTCTCTGCGGACGGCGTTGGCATCAGGATACCTTTGATGGAACGAGCTCATTAGAGGGGCAGATGAGCGCTTTGAGCGTCTTTTCGTCCTCGATGATCGCGCACAAGATGCAGGCTCAGGCGCCGTTGACCGCAGACACTGGAGGTACGAGTAAGGGTAACGCGAGCGCGGGCACAGGGACAGAGCAAGCCGCCCCTCAACCGCAGCCAGTCACAGCCGGGGATCGTGCTGGTGCGGGAATTTTGACTGTGGTCTTCCTCAGCGGTTGGATCGCAGCAGTGACCTGGATGGTGTACGGGAGATAGAAACGTTCAACAATCCGCTTCAATGTTGCGCAATCATGATCTGTATATACTTGCGGATGATTGGTATCTGAGGAGGAGAGCACAGGGACCGCGTCCTCCTCCAATCCGCCTTCTTTTGTGCTACGGTTGCATGTTACTATTTGTATTCTAGGGGACTTGTATGACTCCGATCTAGGCTTCTCTGTGCTAGGAGTTGAGGCGTCCGGAGGAGCGAGGAATCTTGACATCTTCAATTCTTCTTGATCATGGCTTTTTTGCAATAAGATCATCTCGGCATATGAGTGACAAATACAGTATATGTGCTTGGCTCTCGTAAATATATCTTCCGTGCATCTTTGCAGACTTACCACCAGATCAACTGTTGATGCGATCATGGAACATCCTTGCTGATGATGAGAATATCCTATTTAGCAGAAGAAAAGGTTGCTACACCTATTCAGGCTATCCCGGCAAAAATGAATACTCTTCCATCTCCTAATTGTGGTTGAAGACAATTCCATGTGAATGATCTAGGCTGATTCGTTCTGAAAGAACTTCAGTACAGTAACATTACCAGCGAGGGGCTATGTTTCATTTTTCGATCAATCAGCATTGACTATTAGAGACTTGCCCCACTCACACCTAGAAAGGAATGGATGTATTGTAACCTGGATTCTCCCCAGTCTCCGTCTCCTGCTTGGCTGCTCTCAAAAGGTACCTTTTCTTCCCATCTACCTTACAGAGTACGCATCTATTGGACAGAAAATTTATTTGAAGCAGGCTTGAGCAAGCCATGAATAGTAGATGTTGCTTTGAGCATGTCTGTCTGTGGGGGTGATCAACTACTCTTTGCGAATTGACAGCGGGCTATGTAAAGCGCGGAGGCAGTGCGACAATTCTCCGTTGGCTAACGCCAGTCGAGACTTGCCCTTGCACACGACTCAGCCTTTTCGGTCGCCTTCCATGGGGTGTCACAAGAAACACGGAGTAGTAGACTAATGTATCCGTACTCCGTACTCCATAGTCTAGATATGGAATATATTATTGCGAATTCTTGGTGTGAAATGGCCTATTATTTTGGTCTGCCTCGCGTTATTTCAGTACTTTAGTGCCCCTAACTCCCCCCTAGTCGATTCATTCCTTCTCCTTGAATCCTCGCTACGGGTCTTTTATGGTTTTCCTTCGCACACTCGCGATTTTTCCATCTCTCCGTTCGTTCCTACATCGTCCGCCGTATATTCTTCATATATTGCTCCTCTTTCTTCCCATGCCAGCCGGCTCGGGTGCTCAACTACGAGGAGAATAAACATTTATAGTCGATCTCCAGTCTCCTCCGTCGAGGCCAGATCGTCCTTTGTTCCCCTCCACCCACTAGTATCGCATCACTATTGGTTCCTGAACGCCTGAAGCGTCCCGTTTTAGTACCACGGCGCCCCCCTCCGCACTCTCCGTCCGAACCACACATTTCCGAACTTCTTTCACCGGCCTGGCTTCTCGTCATCCTGTCGTGAATCTTCTCCCTTTTCCCCTTGAGAAGAGCCTGATGAAATCCTCATCTTCATCCTCCAGTGATTGATTACCTGCAAAGCCTCATCGTTTTGCCGACGTTGTAGCTTTTTCACCATGCGGTGGCGGCTGCCTGGCGCCCGTACGACCCTCCCCGCCAGCGTCGCCCTACTTCTGCTCCCTATTCTTGTTGCTCCGCAGCAGCTGCAGGAACATGATGACCTCCCTTCGACCTTGTCCGTTCCTCTCCCTCCGACACAGCGTTCTTTCGACCATAACCCCCTTCCCACAATAAACGTGAAATCCAACGATGCGAGCGCCCTAGCAACCATGGCTCTGGCGGGCCCCGGCCGCGCCGTTCGAGCCCGTCCTGGCCAGGCCAGCAGTTCGTCTGCCGGCCTGGCACCGCAGCTTCACGCGCGGTCTCTGCAGGATTGGGAGGTTGAGGACTTTGTCCTACTGGCGACCGTCGACGGTTCCATTCACGCACGCGATCGCAAGACCGGCGCAGCTCGCTGGGCCCTCGAGGTCCCGAGCAGCCCCATGGTCGAGAGCATCTACCATCGAGCCAACCGGTCGAGCTTCGATCGGGCTCAGCCCGAAGATGATTTTCTTTGGATTGTCGAGCCGAGTCAAGATGGCAATTTATATATATATAGCCCCGGTCCGGATGCGGGGCTGCAGAAGTTGGGGTTGACCGTCAAGGAATTGGTGGAGCAGACTCCCTACTCGGGGACAGAACCGGCCGTTACCTATACGGCCCGGAAGGAGACAACTCTATATACCGTGGATGCGCGGACTGGAAATATCCTACAAGTTTTCAGCTCCAGAGGTCCTATCACCTCTGGGCACGGGTGCCGCAAGGTCGACGGGTTTGACTTGGAAGCTGAGGAGTGTGATACACCTTCCGGCACCCTGGTGCTTGGTCGTGTTGAGTATGCGGTTGCGATACAAAACACAGAGACCGGTGATCCGATCTGCACGTTGAAGTACTCCGAATGGACGGCCAACAACCGCGACATGGATCTTCAGAGCCAGTACTTCCGGACGATGGATCAGAGCCATATTTACAGCATGCATGATGGCGTGGTATTGGGATTTGATCACTCACGAATGGATCGTCCTCGTTACACCCAGCGCTTTTCGTCTCCTGTGGTTCGTGTTTTCGATGTCGCACGCCCCATCAACGCCGAATCACCCGAAGCAGCCACTCCGCTTGTGCTTCTATCGCAACCCCTGCAGCCACCTGATCCGGATTACGGCTCGTTGGATGACAGAGATACGAGGGTGTTTGTTGATTGCACTTCAGCGGGCGGATGGTTTGCAATGTCCGAGGAGACTTACCCTCTCGTGACAGGACGCGCCAAAATGGCCCAGTGTTACGAGAAAGACTACCTACGGCATGGCCAGCCTTTGACCAGCTTGTCAACCAATCAACAGCGTGATGCGCTGGCTGGAGTTCACTCGCTGAATGGTCCCAGGGTCGTCCGCAATATCCCTAGTATCTCAGGGCCATCGCCCCTAGAGCTAGCTAATGATACTCCACGAGAATTAATGCGCAGCCCCTCCGAACTGGCTCTACCACCGGCTCTGCGGCACAGTACAATTATCCGAAAGGGCTGGGATAACGCTGTTGATATCTTCGTGACCATCCTACTGTTGTTCTTTGGTGCCTTCATCTACTTCAATTCCCACAACATACAGGAACTCGCCAAACAGAAACTGGACGTCAAGAATATTATCGCGTCCTACGCTCAGCCACCACTGTCGACCCCCTCCACTCCTGTTGTCGGAAACACTCATTTCAAGAGTGATGCCAGTCCTAGCAGACCGATATCGAACCTCACGGTCGAGGTCGAGGTACCTGAAGAGCAACAAGAAGGCGATGCAACCCCAAAACCGAAACGAGACCGGAGTGCCGTTGGCCCTGATTCCACCCCTCGAGTGAAAATTCGCGAACCCTCCCGCGACCCTGACAGTGACGACGATGTCGAGGAACTGGACCAGGCCGGGTCGCCTGAGAAGCCTAAGAAAAAGGCCCGCCGAGGTAGACGGGGCGGAAAGAGTCACAGACGCGGAAAGAAGCCTGATTCGGAAGGTGAATCAAAGGATCAGGCGGACCGAGTCGTGGATCAAGTGAACAACCTGCAGCCTCAGTCCCGTCTGGAACCCGACGTCCAGCTAGTGCGGACCGTATCGAATGAGGTTATCGAAATGGACGGTGTTCTTCAAATTGGTCGACTCAGGGTATTCAGCGACGTTGTTCTCGGTCATGGCAGCCACGGAACCGTCGTGTACCGTGGATCCTTCGATGGTCGGGATGTTGCGGTCAAACGTATGTTGGTTGAGTTCTACGACATCGCCTCTCATGAAGTTGGACTGTTGCAGGAGAGTGACGATCATAACAACGTCATTCGCTATTTCTGTCGCGAGCAAGCGGCCGGTTTCCTTTATATCGCTTTGGAACTGTGCCCTGCTTCTCTCCAGGACTTGATTGAACGTCCGGGTGACTACCCCCAGCTGGTTCAGGGTGGCTTGGATATGCCCGATATCCTGCGTCAGATCATCGCTGGTGTTCGATACCTGCATTCACTCAAGATTGTGCACCGAGACCTGAAGCCGCAGAATATTCTTGTCGCTATGCCTCGAGGACGCACAGGCTCGCGGTGTCTGCGGCTGCTCATATCTGACTTTGGTCTATGCAAGAAGCTGGACGATAATCAGAGCTCGTTCCGAGCAACTACAGCGCATGCCGCAGGTACGTCTGGTTGGCGAGCTCCAGAATTGCTGGTTGACGACGACAACCGTTCGGCCATCCAAGGCGGCGAGTCTCAGCATACCGAGTCTTCTGAGCCAGCAGTGGTGGATCCGCAAACCAACAGACGAGCAACTCGCGCTATCGACATCTTCTCCCTGGGATGCGTTTTCTATTACGTCTTGACGCGGGGTAGCCATCCCTTTGATAAGAATGGGAAGTTCATGCGGGAGGCGAATATCGTCAAGGGCAACTTCAACCTGGACGAACTTCAGCGCCTAGGCGATTACGCCTTTGAGGCAGATGACCTGATCCGATCCATGTTATCTCTTGACCCTCGCAAACGGTTAACTCCTCTCCCTCTTCTCTAGGCTTTCGCATATTTACTGACTTCTTCCCAGACCCGACGCCAGTGCTGTTCTGATGCACCCCTTTTTCTGGAACCCGTCCGACCGTCTCAGCTTCCTCTGCGACGTATCGGATCATTTTGAGTTTGAGCCACGGGACCCTCCTTCGGACGCTCTTTTGTGTCTCGAATCCGTGGCTTGCCGTGTGATGGGCCCTGAGATGGATTTCCTACGTCTTCTGCCTAAGGATTTCAAGGACAACCTCGGCAAGCAGCGCAAGTACACGGGCTCGAAGATGTTGGATCTTCTGCGGGCGCTACGTAACAAGCGCAATCATTACAACGACATGCCGGCACATCTCAAGGCACATATTGGCGGCTTGCCAGAGGGGTACCTGAATTTTTGGACCGTTCGGTTTCCTAGTCTTTTGATGAGCTGCCACTCGGTTATCGTGGAGTTGCGTTTGACGAAGATTGACCGGTTCAAACGATATTTTACTCCGGTTGAGTAGACTAGGTCTTTTGGATGGGTTTGGAAGATTTTATATATACTAAGACATTTACTGAATATATAAATCCTGATTGTTCATGATGATTGCATACTCTAATGGGACATGGCGGCAGCCTCGCCTGTGGTTTGTTTGCACGGAGACATGTCACAGAACCCCTGACCAATGATGGACAGAAAATCTCCACAGTGCCTTGTATCAGTCGCTGCACGATATCCGTCTCTGCAGAATTCGACATCTGTCACATTTCTGTCGAGGGGGACCCTGTAGTTAAATCTTGGTAAATTTTGGTGGCTGGTGCAGACAGTGGAGCCAACCAGAGCGGTTACTTTTTTAAAGTGTTCAGTCGCGTGGGTCACCGCGTTTTCTCCATGTCGCTTCTCACGTTGCTGTGTCTTCACCAGACACCATCCTTTGTCTTGCTCATTCTTCAATGTTGAATATTCTCTAATCTCTGCATTGTGTTACTCTGCCTACTACACATTCTTTGATCCAGCTATTGAGCAATTCCATTCGCCATTTCCGCGCTCTACAACACCGACGGAAAATCTTCCCATCGCCTCTTTCGACTGTCCGCTATCTCGAGAACCTACGCAGTACCTAATTTACAGCCGTGCTCGCAATATTATGATACTCCCGTGATACTTTCGCATCGCGACTTTCATTTACATATAACTGTTCTCCGGAATGGTTTTCCTACGTCTCACGGTCAAGGTCTACCCCCGCGAACAGACCCAGTCCTCTTCGTCATTTTCGATCCGCTCATTCCTGGGTGACCGTGACCGTGATGCTTCGAGTCAGAACTCTGGATCGACAGCGGGGAAGCCGGCTTCCTTCCTGTTGGTCCTGGAGAACCCCGAGGAGGTAACGATGGGTGGATTGGCGGGCATGATCCGGGAGAAATGGGCGAAGCTGCGGCCGAACGCTGAGTGAGTCCCATCCGTCCAGGTTGAATTTGGAAGAGGTATGGTGTTGTCGAGCAGCGCTTACGGATATCGTGACTAGGCCCCTGGAGATCAAGAAACTTGTCGACGACGAGCACGACTCCGACGATCTCGATGCCGAGTTGACCGTCGCCGATGTGTTTGTGGATAATGGCCGGGCCCGCACCGATGGCGCCGACCAGCGCGGTACAGTTCGTGTGATTCAGAAACCAGCGCCCTATGCGCCTGTCCGGTTCCCCTCCGTCTCGCAGGACTGGGATGCCGCGGCGCAGGATTTTGAGCGCCAGATCAAGATCAAGAAGGAGGCGGTGCAGGCGAATTTGCGCAAGATCCCTACTATCGCCGAGGAGTCTCAGTCGTTTTCAGAACGCGATACACCAAGTGCCCAGGTAAACGGGGGTCCTACGCCTGCAGCTACCGCGGACGATCGCGAGCGTCGCAGGGAGGTGCCGGTTTCCTCCGTGGAGCAAGAGGAGATCCCCATGTCGCCTCCGCGGTGGGGCGAGTCGCCTGTCCATGAGAACGATTCGCAGGAACCCCAGGGTGGAGCTGTTGCGGCTACACCACAACACAAGCGCATGGAGAGTCAGGAGCTGGGGGAGTCGCCTTCACCGGAACGGCAATGGACCCCGACGCCCAAGACGCAGACATCCCCCGCGAAACGCGGCTCCGTCTCAAAGCAGGTGCCTGCCACTCGGTCGATATCACAGTTTGTCGCGGAACCGGACTTTCCCTCGTCGAATCGAACGGAGCGTGAGCGCATTGGATCGGAATCACCCTTGAGTCCGAGACAAGCACCGTCTCGGCCAGAACGCGAGGTGGATGAGGAGGAGGAAGTGGAAACAGACATCTCTCAGCCGGAACGCGAGTCGGATGAGGAGGAGGAAGAAGAAGCTGATGATTTGGACAATGATGGAGATGTGGCGATGAATGACGGCGATGTTGCGGCGGCGGAGGAAGTACCTGCTGAGGCCGAAGCTGAGGAGACGGATGAGCCGGTGGTGAATGGGAGCAAAGAGAGTTCCTCTAAGGGGGAGATGCCCGCGGTTCGACAACGCAAGAGAAAGAAGAGCTTGGAGGAAGAGCAACCTAACAAGGAGCCTCGTTTGGAGCCCAGAAGCCCTGGATCGTCGGACAAGGAGAACAACCCAAGCCAGTCGCTGTCCGAGCCACCCGTAAGCAGTCCATTGGCGCGAAGGCACGAGAGAGCTCCGTCGTTCTCTGGAATCGGCCGACGGCCAAGTCTTTCTGAGAAACCCGAGTCTGCGAAACCCGGTCTCGGGCTGGGTATCACAAAGAGCCCCCCTAGCAAATCGCAGGTGATGATCCAGTTGTCCCAGGAGGCGGCCACGTCGATATCAGGAACTCCCCTCTTTTCCAGCAAAGCGTCTACGATCCGCCGTGCGTCGTTGGTGGAAAACGATGCCACGCCATCGAAGCAAACTCCTGCTCTGGATCGAGTGAAGCAATTACATTCGGCTTTACGGAAGGATTCGCCTGCAGACAAGTCGGCACAACGGCGGTCTGTGTCTTTTGCCGAAGGAGAGGACGTGGTCATTACGGCCTCGACGCTGATTCCCAAGTCCACTCCGCAGACCAACCCTAAGGGCAAGGGGACACCAGGTTCTGAGCCCGGAAAGAAGTCATCGACACCGAGCAAGATGGTGTTCCCTACCGGTGTTCCTCAGGAACGGGTGGAACAGTTGATGCGAGAAGCGAATCAGAAATTCGAGAAGCATCACAAGGACAAGGAAGAAGTTCAGGAGATGATTAGAGCGGCCAAGGAGCAGAATAAGTATCCGGCATACGTGCGCAATCTGGAAGAGCTCTTGGCCAAATTGGACCGGGTCCAGAAACTCGAGAAACGCAACCGCTCCAGCGAGAGAGACAGGCTTGAGCGAGCTCGGGCTGATCTACGGGCGAAGCGGGAAGAAATTGCCAAAATGGAGGCAGATATGGGTGCTTCTTCGCAGGATAAGCAACCGAAGGCGGACTCGTCCAAGATCCACGGAAATGCAAACACACCCAAGGCGGATACAGCATCAAAGGCGAAGGGTGGTGCGAAGAAGTCGACGCCAGCAGCTGAACAGAACGGCTCCGCGAAAAAAGCAGCCGAAGCAAAGAAGGGGACAGAGCCATCTACTACACCTACGACGGCTGAACGCAAAGGCTCAACTAAGAAGGCAGCAGAGGCCAAGAAGGGACCAGATTCGACTGCTACTCCTACAGCACCCAAACCCCGCCCCACTGAGGAACCGAAGGGCACTCCGAACGAACCACCAGAGAACTCCGCTGAAGACGCTAAGCTGCCTCCGGTGACGACGATCCAGCGCGGTGACCTCCCCAACGCCAAGGCCAATGGCACGAAGAAATCCCCCGCCTCCGAGCCAGTCGACGTGTCCTCCACCACCTCCTCATCCTCCGAAGAATCCTCGGAGCACTCCGAGTCCGAAAACCAGGATGACGACGAGACCGACGCCGAGGCCGAAACCCAGACCGGCACCGATAAACCCGCCAAGAGCAAGGCTGACCTCCTCCGCCGCAGCAGCGCAACTCCTTCGTCACAAGGTAACGCGCGGTCCCCCGCACCCTCGCAGTCGGCATCGCAATCCTGGGGCCAACCGATAAACGGAAGTCGCAGCCGTGCCACACTCAAGACACTGCTCGTCGACAAGAAGAAAGAGTCCGCGGAGAAGGCACAGCAAGCGAAGAAGAAGATCAGCGCCGCGCCGAAACGGCCGCGGAATATCTTCTCGCCTCCGTCGGACGACGATTCCGATGAGAGCGAGTCAAGCTCGAGCTCCAGCTCCAGTTCGAGTGAGAGTGAGAGCGACAAGGACAGTGGCAGCGATAACGAGAGCCATAGCAGTGCGGATCATGGGGACATCATGTCTAGTGGGACGGTGGGCAAACTGCGAGCTGCGCGAAAGAAGTAATTTGGGCCTTGCAGATGGTCTGGTTGTTTTTCCTTCTTTAGCATGTCGTGCGTTCAAGCATACTTTGTAATCATTTCGTGTGTTGTCTGCTGGCGAGGTTGGTTTTTTCGGACTGGGACTACTGGAGCTGTTCTTAGATTGCGATCTACTTGGTGCTCTTTAGCATAATGGTGATAATCCTGTACAATTGACCTGTGACTTGACAGTCGACATCACTGCACTGCCAACCGCTCTCGTAAGCTGATGAAGAACAGGGCGTCCAATAGTTGGATGTTACGCTACTTCTAGACTGAACGCTGTCTTATTTCATCTGGTGACTGTGCACCAGCCCACTCCCCTTCGGTTCAACACAGCCTCCATCCAAGGACCTCAATTCGTTATCCGTGCCAACGCACCGTAACCGCCAATTTTGAATATAATCATGATTTTGAGGCCATACTAGGGGTTATATATATACAAAAAAAATCAACTATTTTCATCTGCTGCCTCTGATGATCCATTTATTACCATATCCCCTAATGTAGGTGCTGGTAGTGGGGGTTTACCTTGCACTTTCTCCCACAGCCTTTGTAAATGTCTCTCTTCCGCAGCAGCATCTTTGGCCTTCCTTGAAACAATTGATCGATTTGCATCGCGCACCTTTAGTATACCATCTTGACTAAGTGGCTTAACCTGACGCTTAGTATATTGGCGCCGTAGAGGGCCTTGCGCGTCTCAAAGCGATATACCCAAGTCTTACCAACCCATCTAGTTTCACCAGCACATTGAAGTGCCCAATTTACATACTCTTCTAGTAGCTTAGGCGTCACTGGCATGTTCTGATCTCGCATACGGACTATCCACTGTATTAAAGCAGCCTCCTGGTATCCCTTAAGAGCCTTATTAACTGGTTTCCTGGCTGTTTGAGGCTGCGCGCTGTTCTTGACGCGGTCACATAGGGTACTATGAGGAACACCATATTCACGCGCAATCTTGGAGATGTTCAGTTTTTTTTGAGCCTGAGCAGTTTCGAAGGCTAGAAGGAGGTCAGATTCAGTAAAATCAGTAGATTTAGGCATGTTAGGTGGATGGAATAGCTTCAAATATGATCATTTGGAATTACGGTTATGGTTAAACGTACACATCTACAGCCACCGAACGGCACGGACACACCTCGGAACTAGCCCTTAAATCAGCCCTAGAGAACGTGCGCGGGTGGAGTGATGGCAGAAGATGGGGGACATTTTAAGCACACAAGTATTGTGCAGTCTGCGGGATATGCAGACCCCCTATGGATCTTGGATCAAAAGAGTCAAGAGGAGTCTAGAGTCTAAAGTCTAGACTACTTTTGATAGATGAAACAACGATATGACCGGATACTTCGGAAAATGATCGATCCTTGGCTGAAGCCCAGAGGCGTAGATAGACATGCAGGACTACGTAGGATGGATCGTTGCTGCATACTTCGTACGAGCAGACGAATAACGGCGTCTCGGCCTCGTCTTGGGCCGATGCAGACACAACTTGAGTTCTGGCAATGAGCCACCGGTCTAACCGCATCAGCGTCTGCCTTTTAATCGGGAGGATTGTTGGCCCGGTTGGAGTAAGGTGAGTCACGGGTTGGGCCTCGTTTATTTATGATTATTATCTTACCCCTTGTCCAAGAAGAACGTCGACCATCGCAAAATGACTTCCAATTACTCCATCTCCCTCATCGCAGGGGCGATAGCTGTCCTGGTTTACGCGCTTAGCATTCTCCGCCGCAAATGGACGCAGTATCGCTTCGCCCGTGAGCACAACTGCCAAGCACCCCCGCGCATCCCCTCCAAGGATCCCTTCTTCGGGCTGGACACCATCTATGCCACGATCCAGAATGTCAAGGAACACAAGTTCCTCGAGCGCGCGCAGGCCCGTTTCGATGCAGTCGGCCACACCATCAAGGCCCGCCGCCTCCTCCAGACAATCATCTTCACCCGCGACCCCCAAAACATCAAGACGATTCTGTCACTCCGTTTCAAGGACTACGCCCTGGGCCACCGTTACAAGACATTCGGCCCCCTCCTCGGCCACGGCATCTTCACCACCGACGGCGAGCACTGGGCGCAATCGCGCGCTATGATCCGCCCCAACTTCGTCCGCGAACAGGTCGCCGACCTCGCCATCTTCGAGGCGCAGATGGCCGATCTGCTGGAGTTGATCCCCAAGGATGGCAGCACCGTCGACCTCCAGGACCTCTTCTTCAGCTACACCATCGACTCGGCGACCGAGTTCCTCTTCGGCCAGAGCGTGCAGTCCCTGAAGAAGCGCCGCTCCGGCGGCCGCGACGCACACGTCGAGAACGACTTCGCCAGTGCGTTCAACTACGCGCAGCATGCGATCGCCACGCGCATCCGGCTGGGTCCTCTGGCTGCTTTCTACCGCGACCGCAAGGTGGAGCGGTGCAATCGCGTCTGTCACGCCCTGGTGGAGCAGTTCGTCGACAAGGCGCTCGAGGTGCGGGCGCAGGGCCTCGACGGAAAGACCCTTGAAGATGGTGACGGCGAGAAGAAACAGCGATACGTGTTCCTGCACGGCCTGGCGCAGCAGACGGGCGACCGCCGCCGGATCCGCGACGAGGTCATGAATGTTCTTCTGGCTGGTCGCGATACCACCGCCTCGCTGCTGAGTAACCTCTTCTTCATGCTGGCCAAGCACCCGCGCATCTGGGCCAAGCTGCGCGACGAGGTGGCCTCGTTGAACGGCCGGCCGCCCACGTACGAGCAGCTGAGGAATCTGACCTATGTCAAGTATTGTTTGAATGAATGTACGTTCGCAACCCTTGCCACAATGCGAATTATGCTAACGCTGACAGCCCTCCGTCTGCACCCCGTCGTCCCTGGAAACGCCCGCTTCGCCATCACCGACACCGTCCTCCCCGTCGGCGGCGGGCCGGACGGCCAGTCCCCCGTTTTCGTTCCCAAGGACGCAATCGTCACGTACAGCGTGTGGTCGATGCATCGCCGCGAGGACATTTACGGCCCCGATGCGAACGAGTTCCGGCCGGAGCGCTGGGCGGATCTTCGCCCAGGATGGGAGTATCTTCCTTTCAACGGGGGCCCGCGTATCTGTGTGGGACAGCAGTATGCGCTTACCGAGGCAGGGTATGTGACTGTCCGGCTGGCGCAGCAGTTTGCAGTGCTGGAGAGTCGGGATCCGGGGCCGTGGGAGGAGAATTTGACTCTGACCTTGTGTTCGAGGAATGGGACTAAGGTCAGTTTGAGAAATTAGTTTGTTTTAATCTCTCAACTTCATGTATATACTTTGACGCTCTTTATGACGCTCTTCTTTATGACGCTCTTCTTTATGACGCTCTTCTTCATGACGCTCTTCTTGTATGTATATCATATTTTTAGGTCTGGATTAGCCATAGCTACGCTACTATGGAACATTGATCCCCTCGGCATCCTGCTCATGCCCCGTTGCTCCCTCGAGCCATGTCGCCGGCGGAGCCTGATCAACGATACAATTCCACCCAAACTTATCCTCGATCTTCCCGGCCTGGATACCCTTGAGGGTCTGCAACAGTTTGATACAGACCTCGCCCCCACTTTGCCCATCCTCGCCGCAGTCAAACGTAAACTTATCCCCGCGCGACCGCATCGTGATACTCCGGATGGGGACCAGCGCCGCCGCCGTGCCCGCAGCAATCACCTCTTTAAATTCCTTGATTTCGTCATACCCAATCCGTCTCTTCTTAACCGCAAACCCAAACACCCGCTCCCCAATCTCACACACCGACCGCGCCGTCACCGAATCAATCACGTTCTTACTATCCGGCTGCACAAGCGTGACCTTGTCTCCATCCCTCCTCACCCCGATAAACGCCGACGTCGAGAACTCATCAATCTCCGACCGCGTCCGACTATCCAGGTGCAGCGTGATCCCGAACCCCTCCGCCGCCGCGCGCGCACTATGCCGCAGCACAGGCGCATAGTTGCCCCCGACCTTCGCGGATCCGGTCCCCTCCGGCGCGGCGCGGTCAAAATCTTCCAGAATCAGGGCATCGACGGCATGTACGCCGTGGTAGACGCCCGTCGGCATCACAAACACAACAAAGGTATATGCATCTGGCGGGGAGAGGCCCAGCTGCGCGGAGGAGCCGAAGAGCAGGGGGCGGATGTACATCGCGGCGCCGGTTTCATGGGGCGGGACGAACTCGGCGTTGGCGGCGACGGCTAGCTTGACGCATTGCAGGAACAAATCTTCCGGGACGGGGGGCATGGAGACGAACTCTGCGGAGCGGCGGAGGCGGGCGGCGTTGCGGTCGGGGCGGAAGATGGAGATTTGGCCCGTTGGGTGGCGGAAGGCTTTGAGGCCTTCGTAGGCTTGTTGGCCGTAGTTGAGGCCGGGGGCCATGCCGTGGAGGGGGAGGAAGGGGGAGGAGACGAATTTGGGGGAGGACCATGTGCCCCCGGTGCTGTGCGAGAAGTGGCATTCCACATGGCCGTTTACTAGGTGGTGTTAGATGAGGAGGCAGTTGGAGGGGGGGGAAGGGGAGCTTACCGTCGCGGACTTTGAAGCCGACGTTGGACCAGTCGATGGTGTCGACGGGGGGCGGGGGGAATGACATTGTGGTGTGTGAATTGAGTAGTTGGTGTGTGTAAGTTGAGATGATGTCGAGGAAGAAGGATGACGATAGGACAGAGGGGTAATTGATGGAAGCGGTGGAGGTGGGAACAACGGAACAACACTACAACAACATCCACGTTGGCATGCAAGATACAAATAACTAACTAATGTACAATGCAGCTGAGGTCAGATCGTGAGTCATCGGTCATCTCTGACCAATTCTTGTCAATTATTAGCCAGATCTTAGTTATCTCCACAGTTTAACCGCCAATCATATGTGTCAGTTGATCATGTATAGCTTCACTGCACAGATGAAGCATGACCTCGACCATACTCCGTCACCAAACACACCTTCAACCCTCCAGGAATCTCATGCCGTGAGAACAGGCGATAGTCTTCGACGATATTCTCGAATTCATCTGTCCCGTCAGCACAGCCAAATAGACGCTGGAGACATACCTTCGTATGTAAACACCCACGAAGGATCATACTTTCCTTGCGTCACCATGTCCAAGAGAAGGGGATGGTACTATACCATCAGTGTCATTCAATTCCCACACATATCTGAGACGTGAATACCTTTTGAGAATTGACCTGTCCGCCCCTGATCGTCAATCCCTTTTCCATCAACGGCCCTATAGGAAAATCATTCGTCCTATAAAAGAAATCTCCAAGCAGCGCAAGATGGCCTCCCTTTCTGGTCGCCTTGATCATCGCCGACACCGTATCACTGCTGTCATGCTCAAGCCCAATCGCTCGCATAGCCGCATGCTGCGGTTTCTGCGTACTCCGAAACCCACTCGCCTCCACCGCGCAGTCCAACCCTCGGGGCTCCATCGACAGGATATAATCCCCCACCTCGGAATGCACGCTGACATCCACAGGAATCATCCCAAACCCTTCAGCAATCTGCAAGCGGCTCGCGTCCTTATCAACGGCATACACCTTTTTCGCCCCGCGCAGCACCGCCAGCCGCTGCACCGATAGCCCTACCGGTCCACACCCCCAAACACCCACTATATCCCCCGGCTGGACATCCGCCAGCTCGCACCCATGCCACGCAGCGGTCGTGACATGCGCCAGCCCCAGCAGCTTCTTCGCGTCCACATCACCCGGCACACGCACACAGCAGAAATCCGCGTTCGGGACCCGCACGTACTCCGCCTGCGCACCGGGATACCCGCCGTACAGCCTCGTGAACCCCAGCATCCCCGCCACCCGGTGTCCGTACGCGCTCTCCATCTCCCGTGAGGGATTCGTCGTGTCGCACAGCGAGAACTCCTGCCGCATGCAGAACTCGCAGTGTCCGCAGGCGATCACGGGGAGGATCATGACTCTGTCGTCCGCGGAGATGCTGCGGACCTCCCCGCCGACTTCCTCCACGGTGCCGATCGCCTCGTGGCCGAGGATGTCGCCTTTGGAGAGCAACTCGCTGAGTTCGCCGTCGTAGAGGTGGAGCTCTGCGCCGCCGATTGTGCAGTGGGTGATGTGGATGATGGCGTCCGAGGGGTCCGTGATGGTAGGTTTGGCGACGGTGCCGAGCTGGATTGTGCGCGTGCCCATCCACTGTGCGGCTTTCATTTTGTCGGTGGGATGGGGTTTGTAGAGCGTGCTTGTCATTGGTCTATACTGTTAGTCAAAGTTTTGAGGAGTATGAGGGAGGTTTACTTGGGAGTTGCGGTCGTCATTTTGTGGAATTAATGTAGATTCAGGGTGGGACCGTAGAGAGTCTATGTATCAACATGCACTTGTTTGATGTAATATGTGAAAATGCATGGAGTCTGAAGATACCATATACTTGATGGCGTATGTCGGAATGGAGAGCCGAGATATGAAGTCATACAAACGCCGCTTCGTCGTTTGGCGAGTTTCCAATATTCTGCCAGAGGTCTGCCTCTTGCTAAGGATTGCAATATCTACTTACGATGACCATGGTAATATACAAGCTGTCGAGGCTGAGCTGGAAGAGGGATGCATTTTCTTACCGTTGGCGTAGAGTACGTACGAGTGACTACCCATTCCTGTCCAACACCAACCGACTCGAATGGATAGAGGCACATGAAGACTACCACTATGCCCTCTTCAAGCTCCAAGTACCACCATGCAAACCCGTAGCAACCCCCTCAACAAGCTTCACCCTCGTCCCATTGCTCGAGACCAACAACCCCTCCGCCTCAATCCTCACATCACCACTTGTCCCCTCCGGCGTCGTAAACACCAACTTCGTATACCCCTTCTCCCCTCTCTTGAACTCCGTCTCAAACCTCCCCAGCGAAGTCTCAAACCCCGCCTCAACACCCCTCAAATCCCCCGGCTGCGGCTTAAAAAGCCACCTCTCCCCACCCGCTCCAACAAGCTGCAGTCCAGCCACATACATCGTCAACGCAGCCGTCGGGCCAGTAGCCCACCCATGCGCATGCGAGATCCGCGCATCATTACTATACGGCGCGTAATGCAGCGACCCATCCGTACTATACCCCTCTATAAACGTCGACTGCGTCATCCGCGGATCATCAAGCATGAATCCCCACTGCCGCCGCATCAAATCCAGAGCGCGCCTCGGCTGATCAGCGAGGAAGTGAGCCTGTAGCTCGAAGCCGGTGATGAAGGGGGAGACGGTGGATCCTGCCTCTGGGGCTGGGGCGCCGTAGGGCCCCCAGCGGGCGGAGAGGGCGGTGGAGATTGTGGATGATTGGTTTGATGACAGGGTGAGGTTGGCTTTTAGGGCCCAGGCGTTGCCGTCCTGTGGGTGGAGGGTTGTGGTTTCGTTGTCGTGGTAGAGGCCGACGGCTGGGTCCCAGAGTCTGGCGTTGGCAGAGGATTTAAGGGTGCTTGCGATGCTGGACCAGGTTGAGGAGGAGGCGGTGTCGTTGAGTGTAGCTGCGAGGAGGAGGGATTCCTGGAGGACGAAGTAGAGGATGGAGTTTGCTTCGATGTTCTGTTTTTGTTAGCAAGATACTGGATACGTGGATAAGGAACGTACGTGGCCTCCCATGCCGAAACGCAGCCAGTCGGCGCTGGCGGTTACGTTGGCGAGCCCGGTGTTGTCGATACTGGACAGTGACCATTGCAAGGCGCGTTTATACTGGCTCCAGTGTGCGGCAAGCCAGTTCAGGTCTCCGGAGAAGCGGTAATAGTACGCCACGCCGATCAAGCTGTGGAGATGGTAGGTATAGCTGACGGTGTCATAGAAGGGTTTGCCGGCGTATGGAAGACGGCCGTCGGCCTGTTGCACTGAAAAGAGTGACTCCAACGCAACACGCACACTGTACAGGTCATACGTGCTGACAGCGACGCTCTCCAGCGCAATAGACATATCCCCCGGCCAGACAAGGCGATCTCGTTTCGCTCCGTCCGTGAGCACGCTGCTCCCGTTGGCGATGGTATAGTTGCTCCACCAGGGGACAGTCTCTGGGAGGGTGATATTGTCGCTGGAGGTAATGGTGCCTAGAAGAGGCAACGCATTCCCCATGCTGGGATCAATGGTGCACAGCTGGTTTGTGTATGCGCCTGCGTACCAGATGCGATTGAGCAATTCATCGTCGCAGTGGAAGTAGCCCGTATACGCGCGGAGATTCTGAGTCGGAGCTGCCGTGAAGTTGACCCGGACGCTCTCAACAACAACAGTCGCTGATGTGTTGGTGACGAGAGTCAGATATCTAAAGGCACCGCGATTGTGTTTCTTCTCTGCGGTGTATCGCCTCGAGCCATGTCCGACAGGAAACCACAAGGGTGAGTCAAGGCCTGCATCGGCAGTCGCGTCACAAGCTTCATTGTTGATCCAGAGGCTGGATTCGGAGAACGTGACGCCGATGAAGGCATCCTGCGAGGAGACCCGGCTGACGTCCACCGAGACAATGCCGGCGATGTTGCGCCCAAAGTCATAAGTGACGGATGAGACACCATGAAAAGTCGCTTTCCCACCTTTCGCATTGGTTAAAGCAGAGGGGTTAGAAATGGAGCCGTTGACTTGATACACCCTTTCTGGGATCAGATCTCGAGTGGCTGGTGCTAGGATATACTCTTCATATGGAACGGCAGTGCAGACTGCTGCTGCAAGAACTAAAAAAATTAGGAATCGCATCTCTACAACTGGCTCCTATTAAGAAGCAGGGCTGAGTCCACCTATGCTGGAAAGGCAAGTACATTTATATTCCTCGTCGATCTCTCCCTTCTATACACTAGATGCCGATTCCCCAGCCGAGTATGACGTTTTGCAGGAATTCGGACAATTCCTCACCGAGAACAAGGAACATCTCTAGTCTCACGAAGAATGCTCTCGGCGGATCAACATTCCGGACTCCTGCTTCCATCCCCCAGAAGACAAGCTTGATCGAGGTGGGATCGTCATTTGTGGAGAAGTCCAGAGCCGATCGAAGGAGGCGCTGTGCTATGATGATGTCTAGTGCATGACTGCCCAAGAGGGGTATGTATAGATTTACTGAGGTTTATTGGCCCGAGATGTAGATTTACAACACCGGGAGGGCAGGTTGATAACTTTGTACTCTGTCTTTGTGTGGGGTTGAACGCGGGGTTGCCGAAGTTCTCCCGCATTAAGCTGTGGGGTAGTCGGCACTCATATGTCAATGTTCGGGTCTTCATCCACCTTTAATCGACGGTCCTTCTTCTGTCTACCGATAAGACAGTTCTATCAGTATTACCCGATGGTACATGATTTCCCTGGGCATGTCTGTAGCGGCCATCATGCCCATGCCCGTAGTAACATCGTCTGTAGTTACTACAGCTACTATGACTACCTTCTAAGATAACCAGATCATGTTGAATGCACTCAGACCACTGAGCTAAAAAGGTGTCAAGCAACCATTTCTTAGTAGAAATGATGGTGCAGTTGTTATTCAAGAGATCACAAAACAACTTACTAGTGCCGACCCCTGGATCAAACAGCTCCTGTTCTTGTAGTGTGATATCGCCATTCAAAAGCCAGATAAGCGGTTGTTTTAACAACCACCTGGATACAGTCGAGTATCTCGGTTGGCTTGACTCTGATTCGCAACTCGCCACTTTTAGAGTTGTAGCTTATCCTGGATGTTCTCTGGATGAGTAGGACTCCAAAGTCTAGACACAGAAGGCGCTACTTACCGAGATGGGATTATCTCATCAATAAGCTGATGCACAGCGTCCGCCCATGAGGGAGGACATCGGTGAATATTAACTCATGATACTCCCTGTTTCGATGCAGCGAGGAGACGACGTGATCTGTAAAATCCGCCTGCTGATCAAACTGGTTTGCCGAGGTCACAGTCATGAATGAACTCGACTCAGCGGCAAGGGTAGAAAATGGAACATCTGACATGGTGAGGGGAGAGGTCCAGACGACACTTGTAGCATAGTAGAAACACTAGTGGAGAACGGCTGTATTGAAGTTCAGGAAAGAGCAGGTGCTGAAATGGGAAGGTCAAACTCTTCAGCTGGAGAGACCTCAAGATACCGACTTCTGAGAGTATAGGTGGGTAATGAATAACTGCTATCTACTTGTCATAATGATGTGCTATCTATAGATGTGAGTGAATGGATTATCTACAGATTATTCACGCGTTTAACCCTTATCTGCCCCAGCCTGCTACTCCCAAGATGTACGACTGCTACCCTCCGCTCAACCAGGAAAATCCGTGGGAATCTCAAAAGTCACTACTGCAGTTCTTCATATTAAACAATTCCAAGAGTCTTTGGAAGCTTAACTAATACCATCTGTCGGCGAGAGCACCGCCTGGAAGGAATGCCTGTACCGCAACATTCCCTTTGTGATATAGTTGTAGGTACGAGCAAATAGAAGGACATTCCAGTCTAGCTCTAAGTTCAATCCACCATATACTGCGACCTGCTTTGCGGTACCATAGATACAGCAGCAGAAGTGCTACTGGGTCCCTTTTCAGTAGCAAGTCTTCGAAAGGGCCATGGATACAGCGCATGAAGAGTTGAGTTTGACCTGTCGTGACCTCGCTATCCGGGAGGACCAGGATCTGGGATACTCCGTGGGCGGCATGGAAATACGGGTTGTTTCTCGCCGTGGATGAATCGTTGAGAAGACAGACGGCGGCCAAGGCCCCCGGTATACCATCTATGCCCCTCTCAGGTAAGGGTGAGTGCATAACGGCAAAGGTTGCCGCCATGACGTGGAAAAGACTGTCCGGTCGTAGCGGATTCACTATGTGCCACAGGGCCATTTTACCGTTGCTTATACGCAGCCAGTCCAAATCGGAGTGACCAGAGGACTTTAAAGGCCACGATTCTTCCGGCGTGCGTGCATCGGGGGACGAGAAGGTCAAGATAGCCACAGCGGCTGCAGTGGCCCAGATTGGATCCCTATCTTTCGCTTCAATCGGCTCCCTTAACCGCCTGTTGAGCAGGGCTGTGCTTTGTGACCAGTGATAGCACTCTTCTAGAGTGCGACGACAGCCTAATGAGCTATTCAGATGGCGGTCATATGTAAATGCCACAGCTAGAGAGGCATGCATTAAAAAAGGGTACTGTCAGCTATGTTAGCCGAGCCCAGGCCCTCACGTTGACAGAATCAATGCAATATACTTACTGTGAAGGCTAGTCTCAGGAGCCTGCGATTAACGTGTATTATATTAGGGTCATTTGGGGTAATGAGACTCCGACCAAGATACCGGGTGATAAAATCCTGACACCTTGCGTTCAATTGATAGAATGTGGATTCGTCAGACGTCCAGACAGCACTGGTGACCGGGGGTTGAAGCTCTGCTTTTCCTAAAACCTCAACCACCAATGACTTCCCTGTGTCAGCGGCGATGGGCTGCAGGTCGGGGATATTAGACATGAAGTTGCATAATACCCCGAACGAACTACATCTCTTGCACTGAGGTTTGCTTTCATCGCACTATCTTCGTTCAGCCAAGCACCAGTCTAGGAAAGCCGACAGCCACGCACCTTGAGTTTTCTGAGCTTGCAATTTCGGCAGCCAAATCTTGACCTCCGCAGGGTCTTGCGCTCCCGGACTTCTCTTGGACGAGTTGAGCCCATACTTGCGCAGCTTGCTCGTGAGGGATGATGTGGATGAGTGGCCATGGTCACCGTCACCCAAGGAGTCCGAGGACACTACTTTAGTTTCACATCGTCACACATATTGTTAACAGCTAATCTCGTTTCGGAAACACGCCGTCCCGCTAGCTATTCCTCGGATGCGGAGGCCTCTGATTGGCCGCAGTTCTGTCCTGACTATATCACTACCAAAGAGTAAGTAGTTGAGATGATAGGCGATTGTATAAGAAGAGGGATATTCCCAATATCCTGGGAAAAGAGGATAATGTGTATCCCATCTGAATCATCGAATTTGACTTGATACCAGTTTCCGTTCACGTATGATCCTTCCCCTCGAAAAGGTCTACATACACCAAATGACCAAAGTCCAAATGGCCACCCACCTCGCAGCCGTCTCCCCAGCCAAAGGCCAACACTTTGAGCTCCAATCCCGCCCCACCCCAAAGCCAGGTCCAGACGAGCTCCTCATCGCCGTCAAATCCGTAGCCCTCAACCCGGCAGACGCCTACATGCGTGACCAAGGCCTCTTCATACCCGCGTATCCCACGGTCATTGGCTTCGACATGTCCGGCTTAGTCCTCGAGGTCGGCGACAACGTCCCGACTGGTGCTACCGACAATGATCCAGGCCCCTCTTTCAACCCGGGTACCCGCGTCGCCGCCTACGCCGCCTCAGTCTGGAAGTCCTGCGATCCAGACTACGGCGCGTTTCAGGAGCGGTGTCTCGTCCCCTGGCAGCATGCTGTGCCGCTTCCAGACGAGGACATGTCCTGGAACCACGCGGCAACACTGCCGGTCGCCGTGGAGGTAGCCCTTAACGCGTGGGATGCTATGGGGATACCCCGCGCGGGAGAAGCCTCTGCTTCTTCTGCTCCGGTCTCTGCTGGCTCTACCAGTATCGATACCGATACCGATACCGACAGAGGGGAGCAAAAGAATATTAATATCACGGGAAAAAGAGAAGCTATCCTAATCTGGGGTGCCTCCTCTAGCGTCGGCACCATGGGCATACAAACAGCCCGGCTGCTGCGGGACGATCCCACCTCTTCTTTCGCAGCCGTGTACGCCACGGCCGGATCGGCGAATAAGCATTATGTGGGTTCGCTAGGCGCGGACCGCGTGTTCGACTACAAAGACTCACACATTGTGGATGCGATCGTTTCGGCGGCCAGGGAGGACGGGTTAGTGATCCGGCATTGTTTTCTTGCGATCGGGCAGCTGGCGCCATGTCAGGCTGTGCTGAAGGCATTCCTTGGAGAAGATCAAGAAGGGAAGACGGCGAAGATCGGGTCGGCGCCGGTGGTTCCTCCGGATGCGGAGGTTGTGGACGGGGTAGAGACGATATTTGTGGTGCCGTCGACGGTGGAAGGGGAGAGGCTGGAGCAGTTCAGATACTGGATTGGGACGTGGCTGAGGGAGAACCTGGCCAAGGGAACCATCAGGCCAAGTCCGGAGCCGAGCGTCGTGGGAAAGGGTCTGGAGGCTATCAATGCTGGGTTGGACAAACTGCTCCGGGGGGTTAGTTGTACAAAGTTAATTATCGAGGTAGCCGAGTGAGAGACTGAGTACATCTGTGGTGTTGATGCAGAGTAGAAAAATTGGCATAGAAAGATAAGATGATGCGTAGAAGTAGGAAGCCAACCAGAGAACACTTGCACGTATTGCTTTTAGTTTGTAATAGGTTTTTGCAGAGTATGTATAGCTGAGAGTTCCTATTCTGTAGTAAAGTTGGGGTGTCCCTATCAACTCCTGACACTGTCTTCTAATTACATTATCTTAGGTCTTTGTAAAGTTCCATGGATATGAATATGATCTGTTTAGGCTGCTAAAGATAGTGTTATTAGGGGATCACCTATCAACATGGTCCAGAGGCAAAAGGTCTACTTGATTTGACCATAGGGTCAAATCATGCCTGGCTTCCATCGAGATATATCTTCAATGGCTTCATACTCATGACAACTACATAGTCATATACATATCTAGTTATATTTCTTACTATTAGAGGCAGCGGAAGCAGGTGTTATATCAGATAAGGTTCACTATTGTCTGCATCAGCCACTTATGTATCTGGAAACCCGTGTACTTTGTGGATTTAACAGCTATTGTATTGCTACTACTGTCTGCTAACCAGTATATATGAAACAGTATCTTCTAGACCGTCATAGTCCATACTTTTGACCTCTTCTCGGATCTAATTGCTGCAAATCGGGGTTGGATGGGGTTCCCAGGCACAGGCGACAACACTCAATTGGGGGATGTAGTGGTCAGTAAGTCAGTTAGAAGAATAGTTGAGCGATTTAATGCCGTTCTGTCGGAATGAGACGTTCAAGGTAGACCCATTGATGGAGTGGACATGAAGCTATCTGACTTGGTGACAATTGACAGGATGAAGCAGAAGAGGAGGTAGAAGTAGGCATACAAACGCGTCAGGTGTCTTGACAGCAGTATCTAGCATAAGATAAATAGTGCAGGATATATTCAATTGATAGATCTGTAGGATCAAGAGAGAGCAGGTAGTTGAGATGGAGGTCAACTCTCTTTAGCCGAAGCAACCTCAGACACCAACCGAATAACTCCAGCTGTCTTACTGGTGGATTTGTCATAATGATGTATATTATACAAACAAGTGAAGATCTACAGATCTAACCTACCCATGACTTGGAACCGATAATGTTCTTCATGGTCCGGCCATGGGTTGTGGAGACCTCGTAAGGCTAGTTAATAGTTCTGGTGAAATGCCTATGTTGATCACCCCCACATATTACACCATGGCTTCGGCACATTCCTTGCCAGGACAAGTTCATGATCAAGGCACATCTGTACTGGCATCATGACAAATAAACACATCAGAGACGTACCCGATGCCTGTCTTCATATAATTGTTCCCATGGTTGACAGTCTGACACCCCTGATTCCGTGATTGACCCTTCTGTATTCTTGCGTTCTGTCCTCAAGCTCGTCGCGTCTAATGCAAATATATCTCCAGCATCGCCGGATCCAAAACGATGTCAGGAGTGCGCTGAAAAGTGAATCGGTAGGTACCGTGCAATTCAGCGAACGTTAGCAAGAGAAAAGCTGACTCCCTAGACAAAACCTTCAGATGCTAGTGGGAGTGCTGAAGAAGGACGGCACTCCTCAGATTCTGCGTCCAATGACGATGTCGTCTCAAAGGTCTACTCCTCTGATGACATCGGCGCAATCGATGCGCATTGCTGGAATGCAGCAATAAAATGGATAGCCACTGTGATCGTTTCGTCCATTGCGGCGTGGGTTTCCTTTGCAGGGGCTATTGATTCCCAGGTAGGCTCAAAAATTTCATCCGAGTTCGGAATCAGCGAAGAGGCAGAGACATTGGCAACTGGTAGGTTCCTGTTGTGCAATAGCTTACAGAACTAATGATTGTCTAGCTATGTTCCTTTTTGGTTTTGCCTTTGGTGCCCTTGTGACCGGTCCCGTCTCCGAGACGTTTGGCCGCAATGCTGTCTATGTGACGTCTCTGGTTATTTTCATTGTCTGTGTGGTCATCACAGGCTGCTCCCACAGCCTTGCTGTACAAAGCATATTTCGCTTCTTCGTCGGGTTCTCTGGCTCCAGTCCATTGGTGTGTGCTGGGGGTTCACTGTCCGACCTCTGGACCACGACCCAGCAAGTCTATGTTTTCCCAATATTCTCTGTTATAGCGTTCGTGGGCTCCGCTACGGGACCGCTGGTTGGAGGATACATTGCCCAAAGCGACATATCCTGGAGATGGGTTGACTGGGTGACTGCCCTTGTCGCAGGATTCTTTCTCGCATGTGTCGTCTTATTCTTGCCGGAGACATTCCACCCAGTTCTCTTACAGCTCAAAGCGAGGGAGATACAGCGTGTCGCCAAAACCGACAAGCACAAAGAGTCGAGTGAGGAAGAACGCAAAACCTCACTTGCCATGCAGGTCCTCCTCGGCATCTGGCGACCCTTTTACCTCACCGTCTACGAGCCCATCGTCGTCGTCTGCGCGCTCTACCTGGCCATCATCTATGTCATCCTCTTTACCTGGCTGAACGGCTTCGAGTACATCTTCGCAGACACATACTCCTTCTCAAAGGGACAAGTGGGGCTCTGCTTCATCGCCATGTTCGTGGGCAACTGCTGCGCCATACCTTTGATTCCAGTCATCTATAAGATCTACACAAAAGCCCTCCACAAGGCCCAACAACGCAACGAATCATCCAAGAACGAAGCCGACGCCAATCCGGAGTCCGCCAAACCCCCACCAGAAATCCATCTCTACTACGCCATGTTCGGTGCCCCAACTATCCCCCTCTCCCTCTTCTGGATGGCCTACACCACGAAGCCGCAGATCTCCCCCTGGGTCCCCATCGTCGGATCCCTCCCGTTCGGCTTCGGCTTCACCACTGTTTTCATATCGTGCTATCAGTATCTGACAGACTGCTACGGTATCTGGTCTGCTTCTGCGCTTTCGAGCGTGAATTTTGTGCGGTGCCTGTCCGCCGGCGGGATGATGCTGGCTTCGATGCCGCTGTATGAGAACCTGGGGGTGAAGTGGTCGTTGACCTTGCTGGGGGCTGCGTCGGCGGTGATGGTGCCGGTGCCGTTTGCGTTTTATAAATGGGGGTATGTGATTCGGAGGAAGAGTAAGAATGCGTTGGCTTAGTTCATAGAATGGCAGATCTGCAATTATCTGATCTATAACACGTGTTTGTGTGATGGAAGATATGTCGCGAGTCCGCAGTGTTGATATCTACTACAGGGCTGCCAGGCAAAGAGCCCTTGATAAGAAAAATTATGATTTATGACTGGTCTCTAATTGCCGGTGGCTCATACTTGACATGCATTGAAGATTTCAGATAAATTGTGGTAGATTTGGCCACGTCTACTGCCCTATTTACGTCCCTTGACATTCTCTCCAGCCACGCCAATCAAGTTTCCATACTTCAGCGTGTCAATCGTCGCAGTGTACTGCTCCGACGAAGGCGATGCTGTGAGAATCATCGCCGAAAACCCGCCACTCCCCTCACCTGTCAGGAAATGCTCACGCAGGACCATGGTCAGCGGCGAGGACCGAAATGGAATGCGACTCTGCTTCTGGGCCATCGCGCGGATGACCTCCTTCAAGGACAGAAGATCGGTATTGATCTGCCTCCCTTCCTGCTGCTCCTGGGGCGTCTGCTTCGCTCGAGATGTCGAAACAGTACCCTTGTCGTGGTAGTATTCCGAGCCAGCCAAGTCCACAAAGACTAATTTCCCACCCAGACAAGCATGGGGACACGATCGCTTGACAGCCTCCACATGTTCCTCAGCCTTCTGGACATACGACTCAAACTCCGCCTTCTTCGCCTCAGCCTCATCAATCGCCGCCTGGTTAATCCGATACTCCGGATTCGGCGCAAACTTGCCATCCGGCATCTGAATAAACCCCTTCGAATTCTCCTCCAGATAGATATCCGTCGCGCGCTTCCCAACAGGAACAAGCTCCGACTGCCGCTCCACCACCGCGTCCCTCGCATCCAGGAGCTCCCGCGTGACAATCTCCACCTCGAAAACAGCATGCGTCCGAGAACTCTGATCATGCACCGTCGACGTCCCCGTCGCGCGGCGCCCAATCCCCGCCAGCAACTGCGCGTGGAACTCGTCAAAGGTCGAGCACGCCTTCGTGACGATCGGCCGCACGCGGACTTTTCCGTCGGCGAGCGTCTCCGTCTCGCCGCGGATGTGCGTTTTGCCGTCTTGTCCTTCCCGGATGTGGCATTTGCATCTGTCGTTTAGGAGGTCGAATGCCGTATTTTTTCGAAGTTCGTACATGCGTAGCCCGAGAAGGAATTTCTCGTTTTCGTTAGTGCCAGCGGTTGCATTCAGCTGGTCGAGATGCTCATAGAGCGCTCTTGCGGCCGATAGACACAGCCCGAACTCGTCTGCATGCTTGAAGTCATACCCGATGATGGTGTGCGACTTGCCGCTGCCGGAGTGGCCGTAGGCGAAGAAGTTGCAGGATTGCCCGTTCAAGACGCGGGGGAGGGTCGGGGCTACGACAGCCTCGAAGACGGCCTTGTTATTGTCAGTTGCGGTGAAGATGTGGGTAAACGCCGACTCGCTTTTCCAGGGGCGGGATAGTTTGTGCGATGGCGGTGGGGTGAGTGAGAGCGCGGAGGTGTTGTTGGTAGGATGCGCATGCTGTGTTCGGGTGATTTCTGGGGTGTTGGCCTCGGATGGCGAGAGAGGACGCCAGCGGATGAAGACTTTGATTGATTGCATGCTTGTTATCAATTCTGGCCAGTTACGGAGTACTTGAACAGGGTATCTACTTTGAATTTAAGTCGAGATTCGAAATAGCCCCCAAGCTAAGGAGTAGGCACCAGCGCCATGTCTCGGGCAGGTCGTATTAACGGCAATCCACCTTGACCGCCGGTGATTTTGGTGGAATTCCATGATTGACGTTAGTGACGACCGAGTCATTCTGTTTACTGACATGTCCAAGCAATTAAGGAATGTCTTAGCCTTGAATTACCTTTACGGTTATCCTCGTGGCCGCTCGGATAGCGTTAATGCCTAAGGCAGCCAGATACTAGCCCACAGTCAATCTATGCCTCAGGCATCACTTTGCCATGGCCGATATTGTATTCGAGCAACCCAACATTGGAATCCAATATAGCATCAGAAATGATTGTAAATATTATCTATCTATTACTTCATGAGCAAAATGATGATCGGTATGTCGGGTTCTTATCCTCCGACCTTCTTTTAAAATCGTCAATGCCATTAATTGCGTGGACCAGCCCTAACTCCGTTATTTCCGCGGTCTTGCCAGAGAATGAGCACCAGCAGACCAACAGCTATTATGCGGGCCAAATCAAACAGCTGCTTGTAGCTATCGGCTTTACTTTCTCCCATCTCTATTATCTCCGTGAGTCGACCGGTTCCCGAACGGTCTTATAGCCCCTGCTCTAAGACATATAAACTGTATGGCCGGCCTTCAAGATGACCCCCAGAACGACACTCCAGAACAAGCTATTCAAACTCATCGCACCTGATACAGGAACTTGACAACATGGCCCAGAAGTACGCCAAAGACCAGCCGTCTGGCTTCGCTAACCGCATCGAGCGTGTCGCCATCGTCGGCGTAAGTCCGCTTCATCCTCCTCCAAGACCTCACTAACATTGCCACCAGGCCGGCGGCACGGTAGGCAAATACATCACCCAGGAACTCCTCCAGACAGGCCAACACACCATAACCGCGCTCACGCGCGCAGACAGCAAAAACACCCTCCCCGCGGGCGTCCTCACCGTCACTGTCGACTACAATGACGAGTCTACTCTGGTTGCAGCCCTGCAAAACCAGCAGTTCCTCATTATTACGATGAACGTCACTGCGCCAAAGGACACGCAGAGCAAGCTTATCCAGGCTGCTGCGAAAGCGGGGGTCCCGTACGTGATGCCGAACTGCTACGGCTGCGATATCACGAATGAGAAACTGCGGAAGGAGATGCTGGGCGGGGAGCCGGTGCGGCAGGCTTGTGCCGAGATCGAAGCAACTGGTGTCTCGGCGTGGGTGGCGCTGGTTTGTGGCTTCTGGTACGAGTTTAGCTTGTCGACTGGGCCGGAGTGGTTTGGGTTTGACTTCAAGGAGAAGAAGGTTACGTTTTATGATGAGGGAACGGTCAAGATTAATGTGAGTACGTGGGAGCAGTGCGGGCGGGCTGTTGCGGCTTTCTTAAAGTTCAAGGAGTTGCCGGAGGATGAGAATGATAAGAGCCCCACGGTGAGTGGCTGGGCGAACAGGCCACTGTTCATCTCGAGCTTCCTGGTCAGCCAGAGGGATATGTTTGAGAGCTGGAAGAGGGTTACCGGGGATAAGGAGGAGGATTGGACGATTGAGTATGAACCCAGCGCTGAGCGGTATCAGCGGGGTATTGAGAGGATGCAAAAGGGTGATCGTTACGGCTTTGCGCAGGCCATGTATGCGCGGGTCTTTTATCCGAATGGAGGCGGTGACTATGAGAGCAGTCGGGGGCTGGATAATGATGTGCTTGGACTGCCTAAGGAGGATCTCGATGAGCGGACCAAGCATGCGAAGGAGATGTTTGAGGCAGGTTATTCTTACTTTTGATCTCGCTGCTGACCGGTGGTGAAGTTGTGTGTGTTGATATATGTTCTTTATAAGTTTATGGTCAATCTATGATCTGTCAAGGCTGTGAACATCTTGAACTAGAAAGTATCCATCTCGCCGACATTTGAATAGGGACATACTAGCATGGAACGCTTGGTATCTACCTAGAATTGTTTGCGCAGGCGAGCGAGGGATTAGAGACTTACACACGAGCCCAAGCTCATTGTTCCAGTGCGTGCTTGCTACGAAGATCTGGCGTGCTGGTCTTGACACAGTGGATGTGTCTGAAGGCTATCGACCATAGTGAGCGGGTGATAGATATAAAACAACTCCAAGGTCGTCAAAATACAGAGCAGATTATGAAGCTAGCGATCAATCAATGGCGGCGGTAAATCGGCGAAATAGTCATTGCGTAGCAGTCTGCAGGAGACGCTCAGCTTTGAGGACATGGAAGCAGCAAGCATTGCTCAAGCATTGAGGCTCACAGTGTAGTGTAGCACATTTGTGAGCACAAAATTGTATTAGCGGTCAAGCTCAAAGTGTTGGCCAGCATATACCTATCCAAGCAAGTCTGCGACCAGGTCAGGTCTACACAGTAAGCAGGATACTAACAAGGTGAAACATGTCCTATAGAAGAACAGTAAAAACCAACTGTAATGGGCCCCCACTAGGTACAGTACAAGATCCCTGCCTAAATTGAGGCTATGCTTATTTCACATGAGAATGACTAGGGTTATCTGGTTTCTGTTTCAGGTATTAGGTGGGTCGATGCATCAGGCAATGTAGGGAAGCAATGTAACTTAGTAGCCTAAAGCTCAGGAGAGCCCCAGAAGACCATTGGTCGTTAGACAGACACGATACTTTATGGGGTACGCTACTACGCTAGCTGCCTCTCACTCTCAGATTCAATTCGCGCGTGTTTCCTGTTGTATAGGTGGAGCGTTGCCAGGGTCTTTTGGGACACGCACTACCACTCAATGCCACACACTTCTGGTTTTCAGCTCAGAATGGGAAACTAGCATATGTATTGTGCCCAAGACTTCAGATCTATCCATAAGCATTTACGGCCTCGGGCTCATTGTTCGATCCAAGTACAATCTTTCCAATTGGGTATAAGCCAAGGTGCATATATAAAGAAAGGAATCAAGTGTACTCGACAACGAAGTCAGTCCTGGTTCAGCTCTCGTTTGGAGGCCTCTTTGGATCTTGGAGTCTCGCCAGCTCAAGCAAAACCCGATACATATAAATAGTCATATCCTCTTTACGAAAGGCCTTTGAAAACCATTCCTGCCCCTGCTCGGCAATCTCCCGGGCTCGTTTCTGCCCATCCTCAGAGGTGAAATACATGACCATTTCAGGCAGCTCCACCATGCTCTGGCTGACGGGAATGTAATGAACCCACGGCATAAGACGGTCATCGTGCCATTCTCGCAGAAGCGTCTGTTTGAGCGGCGCCGACTTCGACGCCAGCAGTTTGTAGTACCGGCCACTGATACCATTGCCGTCAATGTCAAATACCAGACGCGAACGCAAGGCTTCGTCCTTGTCGGCCCATGGTTTGGTTCGGAAGAGGGCTCGTTGGTCTCGGCAATAGTGTGTCTCGCATTGGAGAATTCGGGTAAAGGCAACGTCGAATAGTCTGCTGTTTAGGAAGGACGATTTCACTATGTTGACCACGCCTTTGCCTTCCCGAAGATAGGAATGGAGACCGTTTCCCAGATTCTGTGCTAGCTTGACAAATCGCTCTCGGTGGAAGCTTTTCCAGTCATCGTTCACCGCAAAGCCACCAGTGGTTGAGCCCGCCCAGTAGAGATTGTTGTGTTTGGAGTCCCAGCTGATATCCTTGGCCTCTACATATTCGAATTCCGGCTCAAGATAGGCGGGGCTGGGATACAGGATATCTCCCATTGTCGACAGCGAGCCGGTGGACAGTATAGGAACCAGACCTTCGATCAACGGGAATGATGTAGGGCTGATCAATAGGCCGTGTGATTCACGGTAGTCGGGATGGCGGCATAGGTCTATTGTCGAGTGATGGTCAGTCACGAACGGGAGACCAAAGGTTTGCACCTTCGGTCTGTCGGCTTTCTTTCTTTCCTCCGAGGGACACGATTTGGTCACTGTATCCCAGACAGGTCGCTTCGAATAGTTCGTCATGTTGAATGATTCAGACCTCTCAGAGGACGGCGGTAATAGAACCCTGGGCTCATCGAGGTGATTGACAAGAAATCTAATATCAGGTAGAAGGCCACGTAGATCTGCCAGTACCGTGTTAAGGAATCCTTGGATATTTCTATCCACGCTGCGGTGAGGATGGTTGCAACTCGTCCTTGCTTCTGCAGCCGAGAACGTACAAACCCATACATCACTGTTCAGCGTATCTTGTAAACGATTGATCGTTTCAGTAACCTCGGACCCGCTGATACTCCAGAACGGGGATATTCTGTCGTAAATAACGTCGAAGTCATCGATGATCGGTGATTGATGTGCTTTGGCGAAATTATACCAGCTTTCAAACCCTGGCGGTGGTTCCATGCCGTAGCGGCGGCGATATTCCTCACAGGCAGCGGCATAACTGTTTGACTGTCTTTCGAGCAAGGCTTGAAAATTGGCCTTGGCATCTTGTATGAGTAGGTTGATCGGATGTGTGGAGGATTGTATCACTGAAGACTTTGCAACGTGGATGGAGTAATTGTTGAATAGGTATGGGACTAAATAGACGACAATGCATATCCAGAGGGCGGATTTGCATTTCGCCTTATCCGGCAGAAAGGAGATAACCTGCCCTAGGGCAAATAATGATGCGATAAGATGCGAGAATGCCTGAATATCCGAGGTCAAGATGAATGGATTCCTGGTGGCCACAATGCTAAATGTCCCTATGGCCGCAGTGACTGACCAGGAACAATGTTCAGCCTGACACTAGTGAGCATTGATAATAGAATAGCTGTGAGAGAACATACTGCTTGCAGGATGAAATGCCACATCAATGATTTAGCGACTCCTGGAAAGATGGTGCCCACAATAGTGGTCCTCGGGGGCCCAAAAAGCGCAATTTCCACGCCTAGTACAGCCAACAGAGTGACCACCACACGGAATGCAAGCGGACGTATGATAAGCCCAGTAGCAATGGGTCTACGGTGCGAAGTGCTCTTGCCAGACTTGGTCGGCCGCGTCAAAGTGAGGTAAATGACCAGCAGTCCCACCACTGGAATCCCCGACAGCGCACTGGCTTGGAGATCCCAGTTGGTCAGCGTGATTATACAGAGCACAGCGATAAAAGCTGTGATCCAGACTCTGTCTTGGCCTGATGCAGCTCTTAACCCCGCCTGAATCCCACCTTGTTCGATGTATGTTTGCACTGCAGCCAACAGCGGACTCAATGCTGGCTGCAATATCAAGACGAAGTTAGCTTCAGAGTCTTCGTCAGTTCAGGAAGGAGTAAGTGGTTTACAAAAAAAGCAATTATTCCATATTCTGCTTGATAGAGAGACGCTGAAGACAGGGCCAGAGCAACTGCCCACAAGGATACACCAGATGCAGGTGTATGCTCTAGTGGCCCTGGTAATGTTGCCCTCGAGCAGCTGCGAGCCCGTGAGCTTCCCCAATAATGGTGGATGGCGGGCAATATCATCCACGAAAGAACCTCAGACAAGAGTTCATTTTCCCTTGTGAACAGATGTTGCCTCAGGAGGCTGCTCAATATCGCGGCACCTGCTAACTGGGTGATTGGATCAATGCGCTGAAATGGCGATTTCCACATTGTCACAATCTCAGAGAGCTGTATGCGTAGCTCATAATCATATCATCATGGTCATTATAAGCACCAGCCGTGCCGACTCAAGAGGCACGCTGATGTTGAGATAATCCAGCATGCTGACAAGCAATACTCTCGGTCCATTATTTCCACGCAACAGGGTCCAGCAACAGCAGTTTAGGCCCCAAATCGTTTCACAATCCAAAGCAGTTATAGCCGCCATGGTCAGTTTCTTTCAAGCCACCGACGGTCCGTCCTGCTAGTGTCCATGTCAATCATCAATTCATCATTCCGGTTGGCCATTGAAATTGGAGCTGGAAGTCCCCGGATAGCTTCCACCAATCGTTCATTTTTCATTTTAGGGCTTCCATAAGGTACCCTTACTTACGGGCATCACTTCTATCCACCTGCAACGGACTGGTACTACTGACAGGAACAATCCTTGCGTGTTTTCGACGGCATTGCCCCATATTAGACGGAGGTGTAGGCTGAGTGAGACTGTGCTCTGTACAGCTTCTGATCGATGCTACAGGAAAAGCTTCTCACCTCCGCTCTAAAGACCTTGTTAAGGCGTCCAACCAGCAGCTAAAGGCACCACCAACCACAGCGAGAAAGGTGAGACACTAACGCATCCTTTGTCAAAGGGATTGGTGGACAGTCGCTGTAGGTGGAAACACTAGTAAATGCTACCTCTTGGCACTCAGGGACTGGTGTCAGAGCTCCACTGTGATTAGGGAGTACTAAGCCGCGCCTAGCCATAATAATAACAGAGATCCCTGCTGTTGTCAGAACAGATCATTGATCCGGTCAGCCTCGGTTTGGGCAATGTTCTGGGCCGTCCAATTCTATGCGTTCCATGAGACGACTCTGAGTGTGCCGTTTTCAATAACATAACACAATGCTGGGACTGGAGTTCTTCAGAGCTAACTGCTTCGCAATCTCTGTCGCATATATGTGGCCTAAAGGCCTAGAGACACAGGGCTACATGCGAAGGAGAGCATAGGAAGCGTCAACCAGACAGGCAACAGCTGCAGATTGTAGACATTACGGCGGGGTAATGTTCTCTGTCAGAACTCTGTGCATACAGTGCCTCAAGAGCGAGATACTAAGTGAATGCTGTCAGACCACCATCTACAGAGGTCTAGATGTCATGCCTGTTCAAATGTGTCATTGAAAATGCCTGATATAGGTACATCTGTGGTTTACAAGGTACCTTGAGTGCTCCGGGATACCCAGCGAAGAACGTCCGGCGCTCCGGGGGCAAAGGAGCAATATACATGAAGACTTCATTAAAAGTCCATTATTGACCTGCACAGAAACCCTGCGAATGCATTTCTGGACTGCCCATATGGGTTTGCTGTCTGACCAATTGGATGAATAGTGCATTGCTTTCTTGTTGGTTCTGATCCTTCAGTCAATAGTGGATGGGATATCGAGACAACAATGTACGTCCTCTACAGAGGTATGAACGAAGTTGAAGACACTTTCTCTGGCTTTCGTTACGCTCACAGTGAACCTCACAAGCTGTGTGCTGGATGAGTTTGAACGAGACTTCGCCTATTAGCGCCAGAATGAAGCGGCCCTGGGAGACCTGAAGAACCGCCATGTTGGCCACAGAGGCAAGCAGAATGACTGCATGTATGTATACACACTAGGGACAAACCCCCTCATTCAGGTCTGCAGGAGAGAGACAAATGATGACTTGTGTATCCAACAGTATACAAGGGCTGGATTCGAATCAATTCAGCATGCAGAGCTGACTGCAGCGAATCCTTCACGATTTCACCGTCGGAGAGACGGACTATGATGCCGCATTGTTGCGTCTGACGAAGAAAATCACCGGGCTCAAGCAAGTTCATGACTGACAGGGCGGGCTGAAACCCAACATCCCACTCATCGTGAAGTATAAAAACCCCCATCAGGTCTGCTACTGCTATCGATTCTTCTCCCCATCAACTCAAACCAAGAAACCGCAATCAAACTTCCAGAATTCCTCAGCAGGTCCTCATTCCACCATCAAGATGCAATTCTCCTCCATTGTTAGCGTGGCCATTGCTGCCCTCCTCACCGCACCCTCGCTGGCCTGCAAATGCTACGTGAACGGCAACCGTGACGACGGACGTACCCATTCCTGCTGTGACCAGCTCCGCGGCATCTTCCGCTATGGCAACGATTGCCAGGCGGGATCCATCTCGGAGCATCTCTCCAACTTTCGCAGATGCTGCGGCGGGTCGTCCGACTGTGACTATCCCGGTCTTGCTCTGGAGGAGACCGAGGTGGACTATATCAAGACCATCGTTGCTCTTCCAACTGCCGCGGCGTCCATCTAGACACTGAGATGGCCCTCGGGCTCTGATGTGACATGCACAGTAATTGATGTCCACTCGTTCCTGAACTCAAGACAAATAGTGTGCTCCGATATGCTCGGGATGATTTGTTGGTTTGTAAGGGGAAGTGAGCGGAAGGCATCAAGTACAGGATTGCGCGTTCATACATGTTGTCACTCTTTACTATCAGCTTGTTTACATGGATATGCCAGTCAATACACATGTATGTAGGCTGATCTCGTTTGCCTGATGAAATGAAATGGAATGAAAGAAAAGAATGACCTTGGACCAGAAAGAGGTTGTTCATCACTTAAGTATACACGCCTACTCTCCCTTCGCCCTTTGCCCTCCGTCAGAAGATCCACTAGTTCATATATGAGCCCATAGTTGAACTTAGTCTTCGCTCAAGCTATGTAGACCTACTTCTGTGAACAGAGAGTCTGAAGTATGATTCACTCGCTAAATATAGATGGCCGTATACATACCCAGAAGGGCAACTCTTACATTAGTAGGCCAATTGCCCATGTAAAGGACTCCATACTTGACATATCCAATTAATTTTTGCACGCCAAATGCGATCCTGCGTTACAATATCAGTCGATACAAACATCGCCTGGCATCAACACATGCCTACCAGACATCAATCAATTACTCCCAAAGCTCCCATCGAAACGAACAATAAGCAGATTCTCCCCAGGAATCATCTCTCCCCTCGCCTCCGGCTCCTCCATATCCCAAGTCGCAGCTACATATCTCCCCAACAGGAACCGCTCGCTAGCCAGACGGCCGTGCCACTACATAGGTCCGCCGGATCTTTCGTGAACGGCTAGCCAAGAGACGCTTCCACCCATGTATGCAAGGGCGATGTCCGGGTGAAGACTAACACTAGTGATATGTGGATGTTTAGCATTGACAGACGGATTGAACTGCGAGGTGGCCAGTTTGCTGACCGGTACGAGCTGAAACTCTCATCGACGTAGTGACTTGCCGAGAGGTGATGTTGATGATGGTCGCTGGTGCAGCGGGGCTCAGGTGAACAGTTCTCGAAAAGAGCTCGGGTAAAGTTAATTTACCCTGGGTTGACTCTGATTATAGGATGGAGTAACATTCGGATGCGAAGACTGAACGGGTACATGTATCTGAACCTCTCAACCAATCAATATCACAGAAGATGGCAAAGAGTAAGCGTTTGTAACATGTTGTGGCTGAAGCCAAAACTCGGAAAGGAATGTGTACGACTTTATAGGCAGGCAAGTGGACAAAAGCTCCAATTAGGTATAGGTGGATGAACAATGTATTGGCTTTGGATGCAATAGAACTGACATGCATGACTTCTTCACTGCATACTCTCTTCTGATAGCATGCTCTCATCTGCTCGAATGCTGTCTTCGGATGTTGATCGCTTGATGCTTGATGATCTCCCCAGTAACACTTGAGATGTTCCTTTGATGGTATGGTTACTTCGTTATGTCCACCCGTTTATATATGGATAGACTTATACCATCATTCGAGCTCACATTATGCAGCAAAAATAGATCATACATTATGTCATAGATCTTGGTATCTAGTACAGCTATATTACAGTCCACAATCTACCTAGGCAATCGATCAAAGCGTCCGCCTCTCATGAAACCTCATCGACGCATATGTATCCTCATCACGGATATACGACATACCCGTTCCTGTACTCTCGGGAGTCGGTCGCGAGGGAGTCAGACTCACGCTCCCCACCGTGGCCGTCTGCTCCGACGGATCCGAGTGAAAGCCCTGCACGCTCGACGAGACCTGCTCGCGCTCGAGGGACCCCCCCTTAGCGACCTGGATCAACCGCCCGAGAATCGCATACTCGAGCTTGAACTTGATGCTGTACGCCACGGGCTTGAACATCACCTGCACGGCATAGTAGCCCGCATACTCGGTCCCGACGACGGCGACGTCCAGCACGAGAATCACGATATTGATGACGAGGAGCTGTAACAGGATCCGTCGGTGCCGCGCTTCCGGTGGCCGCAGGCGGAGCATCTTGATTGTCTCGTACACGTAGAGGCTCGAGATGATGCACTCTTGTACCGCGAAGACGATCAGCTGGATCCGCTCCATGACCTCGTATCCCGCTGTGAAGAGCTTCGCGTGGGGAGAGACGGCACCGAAGAGTAACACGGTGATGGGGACTTGCATGGTGATGGCGTTGACGATGATCATGGCTAAGATGGCGCGGAGGATATTTGGTTTCTGCAGGACGAGGTGCAGACGTGACCAGAGGACGAGCGAGTGGCCGGTGACCATGGTGCACCAGCTCGGGATGATGAGGGAGACGGCGACATAGGGGGTAACGGTTGTGGAGAGAAAGAAGAAGAAAAAGTAGCCGACGACGTGCGTGATGAGGCTGATGGAGGCGAGGAGGAGGGACCAGAAGTAGCAACCATGGTAGCGTTTGAAGGTGGTCAAGCAGAGGACGATGAGCTCGATCGCGTTGTACCAGACCACGCCGGCAAAAGCCGAGAAGACATATTTCTGCGTCTGTCCGATGTGGATATACTGAAGGACGGAGTCATCGGGAAAGTGATGCGAGGATGCGGTTGCGGTTGCGGTTGCGGTTGATGTTGGTGGCGTGGATGCCATTGGGAAGAGGCACCCATGTTGGGTGCCTGTGTCGTTTAGATATGGAATCCAGAGAACTTGATAGATTCTCAGGATGACAAACTGACACTGGCGATACTGTGGCCCTTATATAAGATATGACAGGTAACTTTGTCGTCCATTCTGTGCCTTTTCCCTCACTGGTAAGTCGACTTGGTAAGGAAATCAAGTAATATGGGACAAGCACCCCGTGAGGTATTTGAATTCCCGTCTCGCCGAGAATGCTTACGCGGACCAGATCAGATTCTACAAGGAGACCGAGTTCAATGGGTGTCTTGCAACTTTATATGGGGAGCTGTGCAGCATGATAGGAGGATGCAAGGGCGACAGATCTGCGCAACCAAGTACAGCAGCTCTGGCTGAAATCGGGAATTCTGTATTGGGGTCTTTTCCCCGTTGCACAAATGAATATGGAACTCAAACAACTCTGATCCTTAAGAAGGCAACTACGCGAGACCTTGAAAGAAACAGGGGATGTAGGGCGAAGATCATCGGGAGTATAGACTTGGCGGTGGAAGTGATGAAGTCATAGAAACCTTGTGTCTCGACTTCATTCCGACGTCTCCCTGCTGTTCCTAGAAATTAATTCCGCAAGGGGCATGCGCAAAATATCAGTGAACTTGTAAACTGGCTATTTGGATGAAGTTGATATGTCAATTGCGACCGACAGGTCTGGATCTCCAAGACAAACGTACATTCCTTTGTCCAAGTGATGATCTGCACAAGACGTGTGGCACTAGGAGTCAATGGTCTAAATGTCTCTCTATGTGTGGATTCGATGAATGAGAGGCTAGTTCCTTTTTCTTTTTTCTTTTTCCTTTAATAAAGTGGTTAATGGAGAATGGACATGCAGTGCCATTATCTGGGAAAGTGGTCTATTGGGATAATGGAGGTAATAGCTGAATAGATTATGTATTTTCAGGTACCTCTCCATATCTACTCTGTAGTTGGCGATATACGCATAGACGTAAGAGAAATATTACCCCGATGATAGGCCAGACCCGTTCTACATCTATAATGCAGAAGCACATCTAAAGGCCACTCTTCGTATTAAAATTGATGATAATCCGACAGGACTCAAAAGTGGCATGGGCATGACGCGCCTCACCGACTATGCAAGGAAGACCGAATGCACCCCCAAAGCTCGGAGGCCATAGGTTGGTCCCTACAGAAAACCCACGGAAACAATTTCATACGAACCATGGATCTTGACCTTAGATAGGACCGTGCGATCGGACCCCTCGATTGGAACAGATCAGATCGATCGTGGCCAGTCCAATCAACCCTTGATGCAATGATCGGCCAAAGTATTAAAGAAACACAAGTAACATATGTCTCTACTCGCGCAGAAGAATGGCCCCTCAGAAACGCAAGACCGCAGCCCCAAGCAGCAATGGCACAGCACAACAACCCAGCAAACGTGAAAAGCTGGACCTGTCACGTCCGCATCCCAATGCGCAACAGGCCGAGGACTTTGGCATCGTGTTGCGAGAATTCTATCCGCCGGAAATGAGCAACGAGCGTTGCCAGGCCTACAACGATGGAAGGCTGGAACGACCGATCGAGACACTCCAGCGAGCCTATGAGGAGACCGCCGACCAGCGTAGGGCCATCAGGGCCAACAATGCAGTGGTGTACTGGTTCAAATCCGATCTCCGACTCTACGACAATCGCGCCTTGCGGTTGGCATACGAGACTGCCAAGGAACATAATATCCCGCTGATCGCGTTGTATATTCTGTCGCCGCAGGATTTGACGGCTCATCTGTTGAGTCCGGCCCGGGTGGATCTGATCCTGCGTACTCTCCATCAATTAAAGCGCGATTTGAGCGAGCTGGATATCCCCTTGTACCTGGAGACGCAGGAAATTCGCAAAAATATACCTCAGCGGATTGTAGATCTGTGTCAGCAGTGGGGAGCAAACCATCTCTACGCAAACCTGGAATATGAGGTTGACGAGTTGCGACGCGAGGCGAAGCTGGTGAGGCTGTGTGCGAAGAACGGAATTAAGTTCGACACGGCCCACGATGCATGCGTCGTCCCCCCCGGACAGGTGACCAGTCAGCAAGGTAAACAGTACGCAGTGTATAGTCCCTGGTACCGCACGTGGCTCGCTTATCTGAACGAGAATCCTGACTGTCTGGAACTGTCGGAGGAGCCGGGATCGAATCCGGGGGATGCGCGGAAGTACTTTAAGGAATTATTTGACAGCGAGGTTCCAGCGGCACCGGAGAACAAGCAGCTGTCGGAGGAGGAAAAGCAGCACCTTGGTCAATTATATCCGGCAGGCGAACATGAGGCGCTGCGTCGTTTGGAGGCATTCCTGGAAGAGAAGGTGAGGGACTATGCGGAGGCGCGGAATATGGTTTCTGGACAGACGACGTCAATCCTCAGTCCCTACTTCGCATCTGGCTTGCTCAGCGCGAGAACGGCAATCGAGCACGCGCGTAGAGCCAACAAGGGTTCCCTGCAGCATGGTGACCCTGGTCTGGTTCACTGGATCGGTGAGGTGGCTTGGCGAGAGTTCTACAGACATGTCCTTGTGCATTGGCCATCCATCTGGTAAGGCTTCAGTTCACCATTTTTGGTAATGTATCTCACATGAGCAGCATGAACAAATGTTTTAAACCCGAGTTCACCAACCTGGAATGGGAGTATGATGAGGACAGGTTCACCACGTGGTGCGAAGGGAAAACAGGCTTCCCCATAGTGGACGCCGCCATGCGACAGGTGAAACAGGACAAATGGATGCACAACCGGACGCGTATGATTGTTGCCTCTTTTCTCTCGAAGGATCTGCTTATCGACTGGCGCCGTGGCGAGCGATACTTTATGGAGACTCTCATTGATGGGGACTTTGCGTCCAACCATGGCGGGTGGGGATTCGGATCGAGTACAGGCGTGGATCCCCAGCCGTACTTTCGAATCTTCAATCCACTCCGTCAGAGCGAACGGTTCGATCCAGATGGAGAGTATATACGAAAATGGGTGCCCGAGCTGCGTGATATCAAAGAGGCGGCGATACATGAGCCCTACGCACGAGGAGCGGGCGCCAATGCAGAGAAGAATGGGTATCCACGCCCCATGGTGGATCACTCCAAGAGTAGGGACCTGGCATTGCATCGATATAAACGAGCCTGTAAGAATGGACGATGACGATGGGTTAGAATAAGCTCTTCGCGTGTTAGTACGATCATGAAATAGATTAGTATCTATCTCGATGTTTCCAGTTGTCGTTTCCAACGAGTACCTGACTTGAAGATTTACGCAGCGAGGAGATACTCCACCTGTAATATTCAATGGATTCCTGATCATGGTCTTCTTAAGGTATTATTGCCGGTCGCATATTTCCCCAGTACCGATCGGTCGAGTGTACGGACAACAATTGTGTCCACGGTAGGTAGGATCCTTCAGGAGCATTCACTGAGTGTAAATAATGTCAATGGCACTGGATAGAGCGGAGGAACATCGGACAATCCTGGATTGAAGTTTTTCAGTTTCACTCGATGTCTGTCCATTGGATAGAGGCACTAGGTATGGTTACAACTTACATCCAATGGAATCATGGATGAGTATATTAGTACCAACTACCGACTTCTCAGTACCTTAGGATCCACTCTGAACCTGGCAGATGAGACAGGGGACGACTGTTGTTGAGCTGGCGAGAGAGGAGTCTTTAGATGACAGGATGCAGTTGTCAACCACGTTCCAGCAGCAAAGAACTGCAAACTCGTCCCGAGTATTCGTTCTGCATACTCCATACTCTAGGCTCATCTACTCTTGCAATTCAACTGATCATGGTCTGGCCGTTGCCAATACACGATTTCTCCACTTTGGACCACATTGCCAAGAATCCCAGGCAAAAAAAAAAGAGGTCAGCCGATGATTCGATGCGGAGTTGCTCTCTGTCTTGGGGGTCTCCCCCGCGATCGGGTCGGCGTCTTCGTAAGTTCCTAGTTCCTAATTCCTAGTTCCTACACGGACTCGGCCCTTCTGTTCAGCTTCAATTCTCTCTGACGAAACCTTCGCTTCGTGGATCTCTGACTGGATATGCATCGTTCTCATCACCAAGATCTATTCTCATGAACCTCTTCTGTTGACAAGAGAGATTTTGAAGCTCTCACCGCACGCCTTTTTGTGCCTCGGTATCACCTCCGCAAATCTCCTGGCTGGACATTTTTGACCCACCGCTAACTCCTTGTCTTTTTTCTTTTTCTTAGACAAACCCTACCCCCGCTCGCGTTATTCTACTCGATGTCGGCCTGAAATGGATCCTGCCCAGCCGGGGGATGCACAGCCTATTAGCACAAACACCGCAGGAACGCTTGAAGAATCGTCCAGCACCGCAAAGCGTCGATGGAGGAGAAATCGTATAGCCTGCGACTCATGCCATTCGCGCCGGGTACGATGCGACCGGGCATTTCCCTGTTCGCGCTGTCTTCGCAGTGAGATCCGTTGTGAATTTACGCGCGAACGACGGAAACGAGGGCGGATTGCACGGTCGAAACAGACGGCAGCAGTCACGAACGGCGGATCGATGGAGAAGCTGTCCAAGGCTCCTAATGTGCAGCCTCCAGTCCCAGCGGCGGTGCCAGCAGATGCGGCGCCAACACCAGTGCCGAATCATGCCTCGCCGACCACGACCTTCCAGCAGCGGTCGCCGGCGACGAACGAGATGACCGTCTCCGCGCATAGTATAGACGACCGACGCTCCCAAGCAGATCCGTCCTTACCGGCGCAGAGACCAGGACCGACGGGGAATGTGACGGAGGAGTGGCTGTCCGCGGCCCATGTATCTCCAGACTCATACGAAGTACTGGGGGGAGGGGCCTGGGGGGACGGTCCGCTGCCACGGGTGCTGGACATCTGGAACGGCGCGGACCTGGCTGGGTACAGTGCTCCGACTGTCCAGGGTTCGAAGCCTGCTGGCGCGGCTCGGGCACCCAGTATTTCATCTACAACCTTGAAATATCCCGTATTACAGCCGCTCATGCCGTTTCTCGAGGCGAATCTACCGCGGAGGCTGGTTTTTGACCTTCTCGAGTTGTACTTTACGAGCGCCTTTTCCACGCATATGCACCCCGTGTGCCACCACATCCATTGTTATGTCCTTCGCAAGGCCTCATTCCTGAGCCGGGAGAACCCCCGGCCGAGTAGCCCGGCTCTGCTGGCAAGCATGCTCTGGGTTGCTGCCCTGGACGATCGGGCGTTTGCACTCTCCATTTCCCCTCCTCAGCGCAAGAAGATTTGTCAATTTCTGTGCGCCTTAACTATCCGATTACTCCGACCGTTGATTCACGTGTCATTTAAGGAGCAAGCGGGTTCGAACGCGAATGATCCGACATTCACTGGGGTTGCTCCGGACTGTCCTCCCACCACCGTCCACCATCCGTTTGAATCGAGCGGCGATGATCGCGGTCTAGTCGGGCCCGCGGGGTCCTTGGATGATGTGATTACCTATATACATGTTGCATCCATAATTTCTTCTAGCGAACAAAAGGCCGCTAGCATGCGATGGTTTGTTTGTCACCTTTTCCCGGCTGAGTCGTCGAGACTGACTAGTCCAGGTGGCACGCCGCTTTCACTCTCGCCAGAGAATTGAAACTCAACCAAGAAATCGAGGTGATACCCAACGCAGATGGCCAGACCGAAGGCTCGAGCCCGGCATTTGACTACTCGCTGCCCGGCTGGAGTGGCGTCGACACGGGCGCCTTCTTCGATTACTCGAATCCCACGCGACCCAGCTTGAACTGCGTTTGCGACCGTAGCCATGACCCCCATGCGACTATCACCGAAGAGCACCGGGAGGAACGTCGGCGGACCTGGTGGCTGCTGTACATTATGGACCGCCACCTCGCCCTGTGCTACAATCGCCCACTGGCATTGCTGGATGCCGAGAGTGAAGACCTGCTGCTACCGCTGGACGAGGGCTCGTGGCAGGCCGGAAACGTGCACAGCAACAGCCCCAAGCCGGACGGACCGCATTGCCCCATCTCAGGAGACAAGAACAAGCGCCGGGTTTTCCCTGACTTTATCTGCCATGATCATTCGATATTTGGCTTCTTTCTACCGCTGATGACCATTACGGGCGAATTGATAGATCTTAACCAGGCACGAAATCATCCCATGCTGGGATCCCGACTACACGGGAAGGACGGCTGGGACGCTCATCTCAGTGAGGTGCTGCGGCAGCTCGAGATTTACAAGGCGAGCCTGACCACTTTTGCAGCGACCACGGCGGTCCCTGAAGCACCGCTCTCCACCACCTATCCTCCACCCACCCCCGATCATCCTGTCGAACCTTCTCTTTCCCAAGCGTTCTCATGGCATACTCAGACCGTCATCGCGTACGCATCATATCTGGTGCATGTATTGCACATTCTTCTTGTTGGCAAGTGGGATCCCGTCTCACTCATCGAGGACAAGGACTTTTGGACCTCGTCCCCTGCCTTTGCCACGACCATCTCGCATGCCTTGGATGCGGCCGACTCAGTCAACCAGATTCTCCGCTACGACCCAGACATCAGCTTCATGCCCTATTTCTTTGGCATCCAGCTCCTGCAAGGCAGTTTTCTTCTCCTGTTGATCGTGGAGCGACTACAAAAAGAGGCGGGGGAGGGCATCCTCAACGCATGCGAAGTGATGATCCGCGCGACGGAATCCTGCGTCGTCACTCTCAACACGGAATACCAGCGGAATTTCCGCCAAGTGATGCGGAGTGCGGTTGCACAGGCGCGGGGACGCCCCGTCAACCACAGCGAGATCCGACACCGGCGCAAGGCCGTTCTGGCACTGTACCGGTGGACGCGAAAAGGTACTGGGTTGGCACTCTAAATTTAGCACGAGTTCCCCGGACTCCACTGTCGAGGAGGAACCCTGCGGAGGATTGCCCGGAGGTTTGCCGCCGCAGTTCGCCTTAGCTAGATGCACTAGGATTGATCGGCAGTGACTGCCTTAGCCCTAGCATCTTGGAACCGCTGCCATCTGCAGGGGCAGGGGCCACAGGCTCCACTAGTTCTGGCGAGTCAGTTCGCTGGTCGTTATTCTCTGTTGGTTTCAAATGGAACTGCAACTGCCGTCGGTACTTGCGGTGTCATGTACTTCAAACATGTCTAATGCATAGCAGTATACTCTATAATGAATAGAACGTATATATCACAGTTCACAGTTCACAGTTCACAGTTCACAGTTCACAGTTCACAGTTCACAGTTCACAGTTCACAGTTCACAGTTCACAGTTCACAGTTCACAGTTCACAGTTCACAGTTCACAGTTCACAGTTCACCCGTACTACTCGGCATAGCTATTGCCAATACTACTAGGATAAATTCTCGCTTGAAGATGACGGACCTGGCAAGTCATGACTTCGCCCTTCCTTCCAGCACTAGCAAACACCATGCAGTAACTTAATCTCGGAAAATTCAGACCCGTCACGGTTGAATATGAAAACGAAATTACCCCAGACACTCGGCTAGAATCGCCACCCCCGGACCGAGCAGTTGCTGAGATTCGGCTAAAAACAATCAACCGAAGGCCCCAATTAACCGATGCGGAGAAGCTGACCAGTTGGTGCTAGTGCGGCAGAGCTACAAGGCACAAGACCCGGGATCGGGCCAGAAGACGAATTATTTGGCATTCTACTCGGCCCATGAGTGTTTCTGATTGTCCCTGTTCGAGCCGTTTGGCCGTGTTTGAAATCCGGGGAAAGGCAGCTCGGTTAAATGATCCTCCTCCACGCGTGACGATCCTATGCTCCATTGCAAGGTGGTGATTGGTGTGTTGAGCTTGGAAGCTCCGTGTCGATTCTGTCGATTAAGTGCTCTCGCTTCGAATTTATTTTGCCGAGTTGGGCAATGCTGCTGCCGATGAGTGTGATTCGTGCCTGGTTAGAGCTTCCTCGTAGTCTATTTACCCCATAATTGATTCTTTGTGTCTGTAACGGAGTATACTCCTTGGCTTGTGATGTTTTTTGCCGGTGATGGGTTGGTTCAGGATTTATTAAGGGCGTGTCCCCGTCCCTTCTTCGAGTATGTGTTATGTCTGTTGCTGAATGGTATGAGTCTGGAGTATACACTACACCACTAGAAGGATAACAGTGACTTCTACTACTGCTACTACTGGGATGCCGTGACACTACTCGGACAGTCGACATACAACAGATCAAACAACATGACCGACCTCCCCTACGACTACACAAGTTGGCAATTCCTCGATGGGATCGGACAAGCATCGCCGTTGCAACAGGAACTACAGACCGAGGAAGCCTTGAGCCTTGCCTTTGAGTTGTCTTCTCATGGTCGCGGCGAGAGCGACTTTGCGTTGCTCAGCTCGGATAATTGTCTGCCTTACGGGCAAACTTCGGCAAAGGCAGCAACAGCAGCAGCAACAGGGATTATGCACGCGCAACCGCATTCACCGCCAATTGAGATGGGAATGGGAATGGGAATGGGAATGGGAATGGATATGGAGATGGAGATGGAGATGTTTGCTCAGGGCATGGAATTCATTTCAGTGTGAGTCTTCTTTCTCCAACTGGATTGGATTCAACTGACTGAATAGACCTCCCTTCCCCGATCTCACTCTCGGCCACGGGAAAAAGACCCCCGACGATCTATCCCTCCTCCGCTCCACATCCCACGACGCAACACAACGAGCGTTGTTTATGACTCCATCCGGCATCACCTCCCCTTCTTCATCCTCATTTTCATCAACATCGTCCTCGTCAAACCGGAACTCCTCCTCCCCATCGCTAGATCCCTGCACCCCCAGCACAACAAGTTCTACAAGCAAGGAAGACGAAGACTGCGACTGGGACTGCGACCGCGACCTGGATCCCTCGCTCGGCATGGGCATGGGCATGGGCCTGGGCATGGGCCTGGGCATGGGCCTGGGCATGCATTTCTACAAATTGCCCGATAGGCTCGACTCCTTCCCCCGCCCGCCCCGCCTGCATCGTCCTCACCACCACACTACTCAACCTTACACCCACCGGGTAAACCACCGCGCCAGCGCCGCAGACGAGGAAGATGCACTAACGCCCCTTGAAATGCCCGACGGCAGTACCCGCTTCACGGCGAATTGGCTGCCTGTCGATCCGACGGGTGGATTTACCATTGATTCACCTGTGTCAGCTTCTGCATCTGCGATGGATTTCGGGTATCCGTATGGACATGGATACAGCCAGCAAGATCGTGCGTACGGGTATGGTTACGCAGATGGAGACCTCTCGATGGAATTCAGCAAGGAGGCGTTTATTCAGATGCCTGCCCCGGCGCCGGTGTGAGTCTGGTCACAGAGCTGCAGTCTGGTTTTCTACTACTCCTATTGGAGAATTCTACCCCTTGAAGAAGAGCAAGGGGCGAGATGCCCCTCACTCCGCCGGCCTCGGCCAGTCCGCTGGAATTTGATTCCGGCCGATGACAGCACCGCGACGCCGACTCTGCTCGCTCTGATGCTTATTTCATGAGATGAGATAGAGAGCCGATGATGGGATAAAATCACGGATTGGAGAGTGCTCAAATGCACTGCCGTATGAGAGCAAATATGATAATGCTACCTGTATATAATAACCAACAGTACATACATATATCATGTAAATAGGAAATGACGAATGACGATATGCTATCTAATGCTAACAGTAGATGACAATTGACAGGCTGCTAGGACAGATAGCTAACCCCTAACCGAAGACGACGCACACTGGTTCGCAAAAACCGAAAAATGGAACTTATCCGCAATATGCCGAAACACCTCAGTCACAAACTCCTTCTCGACCATCCCGTCCGCAAACGCATCAAACGCCGTCCGCAGCACGAACATTATCCGCGATACCAAACAACCCGGGATATTCTCCACGTAGTACTTCATGCTGCGGCAGATGTTGCATGCATACTGGTACCGGTCCTGCAGGCCCAGCACGCTCACCAGCCCGCTGTCTGTCGTTGAGACGATGAGATGTAGTGCCCAGTAGTAGGTCATGCAGGTTGCAGAGAGCAGGTCCGGGTAGACGAGTAACTTGGCCGGTACGAGGTCCATCGTCGCCGGGTCCCGGCACATGAATGTCGGGAAGATCGTTTCCGTTGCGGACGTGGACTTGGTCGCTGCATCAGGTGCGGGCTCCTCCCATGCTCGACCCGGGGGATAGGTATCGGCGAACATGCTCTTCCACAGGTTCAACCGTGACTGCAGTTCCGTCGCGCGGTCCCAGATGGCGGTCTGCTGTGCGACGAGCTCGGTCGAGGGCACGGTTCCGGACCGGAGCGCCGCGGCGAAGTCGTCGATCTGCCCGAGGTACGCGGGGATGTCCACCGCGATGTCTAGCAGTCGGTGGAGGATGTCCTTGGGTGGCGCGTCTCCTGGCCATGGGACGGTAAGCCACTCCTTGCTCGCGAGGAAGGTGGGTTTGCGCTGGACGAGCGCAGCGGTAACCTGGCCAGTTAGCGCGGTCCTGAAATGAGAGAGGGTACCTACCCAGTATAAGCGGAGATCGACGTACAGCGACCGATCGATCCCGTACCGATGTCGGTATGGCGTCCGCGCTTGCAGCAATTGCAGGCCGCCGAGTTGATGCTTCAGCAGGGAATGTTTGGAGCTTTGCTTGAAGGCCTGCGACTGTTAGTGGGATCGATGCGACAGGGCAAACGCACGCACCTCGATTATGGTGAAGAGTAATACAACAACCATCACTTCGGTCGACTTGTTCTGTTTGGGATCGTTCAGGGCGTTTTGCAGTTGCCGGAGCACCCGGACGTAGCGAGCATGTCCTACAGCTTCCACCTCGCGGATCTGCTCCCGTCGACCGGCAAATGTCAGAGAGGCAGCCTCGAATGCGGTACACAGCATGGGCGACAGAATTCGCATGCGAGATGCCTCGCGCAGGGCAATCGTGCCGCCATAGAGGGAGGCTGGCTGTGGGCTGAAATTGTCAATGAGACGCTCGACAAAGACCTCCACGAATGAACTGGCGACCGCTGGGTCCGTCAGGATCCGTTTGTCTTCACTGAGCGATCGAGACAACTGATTTGTTTTCCATGGTACATTGGTGGTTTCAGATGTTACTATATCTGATGGGTCGGACGACTTTTTGTTCAACGATGAATCTCGAGACTCCGAGTTTTGCGACTCCTCCTCGTCCACCGTCTTCTCGAGGTCATTTGGCGACGAGACTGAGAATGGGTCCTCATGCTTTACCGGCGGAAGATTGGCCAACGCTCGCGCTTCGGCCAGCTGCTTCTTCAGGTCCTCACATGTTTTCATCAGATTGTCGATCAAAACCGACTGCTGGATATAGTGGTGGTCTCGCTTGCTGGTGCCATATTCACACTCGGACGGAGTGCCTCGAAGACAGCAGGCACCGCATGGCTTCACTCTATCACACTGAACACAGTCAGCTAGTATTCTGGCCTTGTACTCTGCGACTATGATACCTTGACTTTCCGTTTGTGACAGTTTAGACAAGAATAGGTGGGTCGGGTCTTCTTTCGTGCGCCCGCCTTGGCTGTCGGCGTCGCTGTTGAAGCGGGCAGACCCTTTTGCTGGTCGCTTTGAGAATCGCTCATGGCTAGATGACGGAGTTGACAAAGCTTGACTGACTCGAGGTCTCCATGCTCAGTCTTCAGGAGCACGGGGACTGTAGAGGGTCGGTGCGAGTGTACGGAGTACTACCAGACCAACACTATTATTATTGTGGATCGCAGTGGAGACTGTCAAAGGTCACTAATATCGGGGCCCCAATTCCCGCCCTCCGTCGGGCGCTTTCTCTGGCTTATCCTGCAGCCCACTTTCGTATTGTAACCTTATATCTCTCAAATTCAGAAAGCCTTGGTGCATACAAACATAACGGAGGGACTCTGTGCTCAGCGGAGGAGTCGACCAGTCGAGGAAGAGTGGTGGTGCACAAGGGTTTCACAATTCACATTGCTCGAGGCAACCCCTGCTTCATGGCCTTTTCCATGCAGCTGCAGGTCGAGTCTGGCAGATGACTGGTTGTGTGCATTATGTTAATGATTTATATGTGATGACGGTGGTTCCTCGCAGGGACATGCGGGACTCTTAATCTAGAGGCCAAGCCACGGATAAGTTAGCAAATAGCAATCATACAATCCGCTAGAAATTGGAAGGAAAGAAAGGGGCAATCGATATGAAGACACGAACCAGCTAACATAATGGCGTTGTCAGGATCAGGGAACATGCAGCGATCGACCACGGCAGTTCCGGTTGGGTTACATCGTCCTCAAGGACTGTAAGATGTTAGTTAATTTATCAAGCCCGTATTTGTCAGCATTTATCTTACAGTTTGTATAATTGGATATTGGGGAACGTACTTTTATTCATAGCGACACTATCCCGCGACTCTAGCCGCCGGCTGTCAGTTAATCTAATATCCATGGATGTCCGATGAGGACCCCTTTGTTTTCATTAATGACTTTCCAATAATGGTCAAGTCAAGCACCTCCAAGGCGTACTTTTGGCGAGTTCTTCACTTGCCGAAGTTGCCGACTTGCCGTCCACCTGCATCTGCGGGAAAGGCGATCGCCGGCAATCGACCAGTTCGATAGATCACATTCAATCGGCAGCTTTGGAATAAAGGACTGGTATGCAGAACATGAAGAGTCGTTTGTGGCTTGAAGGATGCGTCGGGTATATCATATTACCGATACCGAGCAATGCTACATCCGGTGCCTTCAACGACATATCCTTGCCTTTTCTCAAACGGAGTGTCTCAAATGTGTTCTTGCCGTATGGACAATCGACGCAGACCAGAAGCTTCTAGCGTCGCGTCATGGATGATAACCTGCTCGTGTCTCTTGAATGACGGTGGGAGATGCAATATCACGCATGACGCGAGGGACCAAACAGGGAAAGTCACGGGTCGACACCTGCCCATCGACAGATTTGCCTGCTCTTTCGAAAGTTTTGTAGTGGCTCATGATGCTCCTTCACTACGAGGTTGAATATGTCAGATAGTACCTAGGGGACCGACGCGACTATCATTTGACCACCCTGTATTGCTTAATAATTACTCATAGTTACAGATGCGAGCAGGAGACGGAGACAAGTTTCAAATGACGTTCGACGCCAGATCTTCACATTCAAATGTCTTCACTTTATACGCCACCGACCACGGACCTAGCGAACGGGCATATCTACAGACCAATCCAGGCAAAGGAGATGGAAGAACGCCGTGCTCTTGCTGCGCAGGAACTCCAGAAGGTGCACCAGTTGGCACTGCAGTCGGTCTGACGGCTGCTTTCCAGGACCATGTAGGCTCACGAGAATGGTCGAAAGATCATCACAAATGTCCATCTCTCTTGACCCAAACCGAGGAGGATGGAATAGCACTCGAACTTGCAGATGTTGGCGATACACGAGCTTGCCACGCCGGCATGAGCCACAACATACGAGGCAACCTCGCTTGCGTCCATAACCGTGATATCACCTTCGCCCTCTAGCCAGCTGGAGAGAACCTTTCGTCAGCCGCAGCCAACTCGCCCGAGTTGACGAGGGTTTTGGCCACACAGACCCGACCCATGACAGTGTTGCAGCCGGACTGGTCGCTGGAGTCAATGGCGAATGCGGCGCCGGCGCTGCCGTCCTGCAATGGAATGTCAACGCCGTCGCAGACGTTGCTTGCCCTCGATGAGAGCGTTTGTGCCTTTTCCCACGTCAAATGCGTGGCCGGTGTTGTTGGACCAGTAGATGTTACACGTGCCAGTAGCTGTTGAATCCCAGCCTAGGCGAGCAGCCAGAGGTGTGGTGGATGTAGTTTTCAGTGAACGTCACCTGGTCGTCTTTCAGTAGCCGAGGTTATCAGGGATCAGCACCGATTTAGTCTTTCAGGTCAGACTTACATAGCCCAGTAGTGATGACCATCACAGGGAGCACACCAATGGTGCGGCCATCGAATTCACTGTTGAGATGTAACATGGCCACTTAGTTCATAACCAGACGCAAACATCTGACGATCAACAAGGGAAACCTTGACATGGTCAATCCAGACATTGTTGGTTCCATCTAGGGAATTGCATCCACCCCAGATGTACTGAGGGTTGAGCTCAGTAATGTGGACATTCTGGATGATCACATTGCGAGCCCCATTGAGCATTCTGAACACCAATGAGTTGACTTATATTCCGGACGTTGCGATCGACAGTTCCGTCTTGGATATCGACTGATGGCGCCCGGTTTTAGTGAACCTATTCAAGGAGCTAGACGTGCATGAAGTGTATATGTTCAAGTAGGTTGAAATGCTAACGTACTTGGCTGTCGATTAATCCTTAGCAGCTGACTTGTTCCATTATTTGTAATGGATTCTAACAACGTCCTTACTTGGATGACCTCAGCCCTACGACTGTCTCCGGCCTCCCAAACTTGAAGACAGGCTAAGGCTAGCGATGACACTTTTTTCTTTCTCGTCTCGCCCCACAGAAGTTAGAGGTAGCTCACAAGGTTGTGTCTACCAGAGATCGACCATCCACCGCGTCCCTCCGACCAGGCGAAGGACCTTGGCAGTAGACTGAATCAGTGCGACCTCAAGGTACCCAGCGTGCCATTTGCCATATAAAGGAAAAAGTGTCTAGCACATCGACGCTGGATTATTCAACAATGTCTACCTTCGACCCCTCCAACGTTGACCTCAACACCGCCAGCAAAGAGGATGTCATCTGTTACCTCTCGTTGTCGGAAAATGAGTACAACGGCCACCTAGGCGCGCGCATATCCTCCATCTTTGTCATCTTTATCACGTCTACCGTATTTACCCTCTTCCCGGTGGTTGCTCAGCGACTCCCCCAGTGGCGTATTCCCCATCATGTGTACCTGTTTGGGCGATACTTCGGGACAGGCGTCATCGTGGCGACTGCATTCATCCACCTGCTGGACCCCGCCTACCAAAGCATAGGACCAGGAACATGTATCGGCATGTCCGGCGCCTGGGGCGAGTACTCCTGGTGCGCGGCGATTGTCCTCTCATCCGTCACACTGATCTTTCTCATGGATGTCGGGGCAGAGGTGTACGTCGAGTGGAAGTACAATGTCCAGCGAGAAGCGAACGCCACTGCAGCGTTCATCACCCAGCCAGCATGCTCCAGTCCGCACGGATCATCCGACGAGCTTACGGCGACGGAACCATCATCCCCAACAGGAAGCAAGGATCTCTACCCCCACGCAGACGAAATCTCGGTAACCTCCGAACGGGCCTTCCGCCAGGGCATCGCCGCCTTCCTGATCCTCGAATTCGGCATCATCTTCCATTCCGTCATCATCGGTCTCAACCTGGGCGTCGCAGGCGACGAATTCGCAACGCTCTACCCCGTCCTAGTCTTCCACCAGTCCTTCGAGGGATTGGGGATCGGGGCTCGCATGTCAGCGCTCCATTTCGGCAGACGCCGCTGGCTGCCTTGGGTTCTCTGCCTGGCATACGGTCTCACCACGCCAATTGCCATTGCTATCGGGCTGGGTGTACGCACTTCGTATAACCCAGGCTCCAGGACGGCCCTGCTCGTGCAGGGGGTGCTAGACGCTATATCGGCAGGGATCTTGATATACAGTGGGTTGGTGGAGTTGCTCGCTCGAGACTTTTTGTTTGATCCGTGTCGGACGAAGAGACGGGGTCAGATTTTGTATATGCTGGGATGTACGCTCCTGGGAGCTGGGATTATGGCGTTGATAGGCAAGTGGGCCTAATCCAAGGACCGAGAGGACAAGGGAGGGAGAATGGCACAGCGAGGCAAGACATGAATAATGAAATGTTTTATCGAATAGAATAGACAATACACAACCATTGAGGGAATATATATCCAATAATCAATGCACATGGTTGTAGTGATTCTAAGCCGTAATCAATCTCAGTCTTGTCAACCCGTGTTCTGCCGGTTTGACCCTAACTATAGTCAAGGTAGTGCAGAGGAGATAGATCAATATGGTCAAACCCATCTACACGGCCTACGAAGTCGCCAACCTTCTTGTGACAATCGATCAGATCTAAGCGAATGGGGACTCAGATACCGCATAAATTGTCTCCACCGATCAGGCAGCCTGGCGATATGTAGCAGGAGGTGGCGTACCACAAATAATAAACTCAAATCCAAGCTGGGTGCCTCTAGAGTATGCTTAGGAGGACCGGAGGCTAGACATTTTGTGAAGGAACAAACCGAGTTGGAGGGCATACTGCCAGCTATAATAGGGTAGTACCTCGCCCATCTAATTGTTTCTGCTCGCCACTCTATTTTCCTTTCCTCAACAACCTTCCTATTAGTCCTCGCCCCTTGACTATATCTTTCTCATTCCGAAATCGTCACGTCCCCTGTACCTGGTCTAGATCAGACCCAGCTAGATAGGGACCGCCTATCCCGCCGAATGCTTGCTGATATCCACGAACGGCGTCAAGAATCATGGGGTTGGGTTGTCTTTCGTATGTCCAGTTCCGTTGGACGTGGATTGTCCTACCTGCTCTGGTTTGGGTTTTGGGGCTGGAACATTGGCTGGAACGATATGAAAAACGCGACGAGCCAAGGTTCCCAAATGGAAGAATGATCCATCCCTGTGCTGTTTCTGTATCAGGATGGAAGTGAGAAGCGCAGTGTAAGTCTGGACAAGGTAGATGGAGCTCAGCATGCGATTATGCGAAGACGACAAGAACATGGTGTTGGCCAGTACATAGACATTTCATAACAAAAACCATTTGACATGTAGAACACTGAGGGTACTATGGAATATACTTTGGACCGATAAGCTAAACTCTGTTAATGGTACCTTGGAGACCGTTTATTCTGTTCATCATTCCGAAATGTGGAAGACCGATTAATGATCGGGCCGGAAACGTTTCTATTGAAGGAAGATCCTTACCAGATTCTTCAGACTTTCGTCCAAGCCTACGCCCGCTTGCATGTACATTACCAAGGTGAGACATTGAATCCGCCGAACGACGGAACTCCTTGTCCAATTAGCCGAGCATTTAAAGACGATGCTTCGTCTGAATATCCACCTGAATATCCACCACAGAGTTACCCACGTGGACGGTGTAGCGTCCGTTCAATAGGTATAGGAACGCCTTTAGCGATGAGCTGCCAAGTCTGCTAACCCAGACCAACCCAATTGGTTACGACGACATCTGCAGGATTAATTAATTGGCCTCACTTTATGCCTGCTAGCGTCTGGCACTGTCTTCGCCAGGGTGGCCGAGGTATAAATATCGGCGCATACCTGCAAGTTCTCAGGCTAGTAACCATTCAACTTGCCTGTACTATACAGAGTCAATCAGCAATAGCAATGCGACCTTTTCATCTTCTCCTTGCAGCAGGCATTCCTGCCCTGGCTGCCACAGCTGGCGAGTTCAACATCCTCTCCTTCAACGTCGCAGGTCTGCCCGCCATCCTGAACGGCAACGAGGTTCCAGGCGACAAGACCGACAACTCTCGTCAGATTGGTAAGAAATTCGCCGAGTACGGATACGACGTTATCCATGTGCAGGAGGTGAGTTTGTCTCTCCTATCTACGGAGTTCACTGACGAAACAGGACTTCAACTACCACGCGTACATCTACGAAACCGACAACCATCCCTACCGCACTCCCACCTCTGGCGGCGCGGCGATCGGTTCCGGCTTGAATACGCTGTCCAACTTTCAATTCACCAACTTTGTGCGGACCAAATGGGGGACGTGCTCTAATGCCGAGGGGGCAGACTGTCTGACTCCCAAGGGATTCACCTCGATGCGGGTGCGCGTCGACGAGGGCGTATATGTGGATTTCTACAATCTCCACGCTGACGCCGGGTATTTTTCCTTCTTCCGTTCTGTAGCAAAGCTGACTTGAACAGATCAAAGGACGACGATGTTAAGGCTCGCAGCGCCAACCTGCAGCAGCTGGCCGATTACATCAAGGTCAACTCGGTCGGCAATGCGGTGCTGGTGTTTGGCGACACCAATGCGCGGTATACAAGGTCCGGCGACAATATCCGTGTCTTCCAGACGCAGAATGGCATGGTCAACCCGTGGGTGGAGCTGATTCTCAAGGGAGCTGAGCCGGCCGAGGGGAGCAATGCCTTGATCTGCCAGAATCCTAGCACAACCAACGACTGTGAAACTGTCGATAAGATCTTGTACGTTCCTTGAGCTTTGTGACGGCAATACAGAGGGCTGACGGGAATAGCTACCGGGGAAGCCGTGCGGCCGATCTAAAGGCCGTCTTCTGGAACTACGAGAGCAACAAGTTCCTCAGCGACAAGGGAACGATCCTCTCCGATCACAATCCCATCACGACAAACTTTACCTGGACCATGTCCAATTCCTTCCGCCAGAGTGACCTCTTCGGTGGACCCCACGGGTAAGTCAGATTGAACCATAAGCCAACGCTACCAGCTAACGAAGTAGAACCTGGTTCAACGATCTCGACTCCCTCCCCACCGCTTTCACCGGCCAGAACAAACCAAGCAAGATCTCCCTGCGCGGTGCCGAGCGCCTCGACAGCGTCGGTCTCACCGTGACCTCTGGCAAGAGCTACACTCACGGTGGCACCGGGGGTAAGCTCTCGGAACTCACGCTCGCGGCGAACGAGTACTGGACCAAGGCGAAGCTGTGCCAGGGGCAGTACAGCGGCCACACGCGCAACTTTTACCTGCTGGCTACGACGAGCACCGGCCGGACGGTGAGTGCGGGGACGGCGACGTCGGACTGCAAGGAGTTCACAGCGGCGCAGGGATGGCAGATTGTGGGATTCTACGGGCAGGATGGGGACGAGATTGATCAGCTGGGATTTATCTACGGGTTGATTTAGCTGCCTAATGCCAGTGTTTAGATAGCCATAAGTAAGGATGCTCAAGAGCTTGGAGACATGATAATGCCGTGGTCTCCAGCTCAAAAGATAAACCACGCACCTCGTAGCCCGGCTAAAGCAGTCATATCAACAGTGGTAGCCAACTAATCAGTCCCCGGCAACGGGATCCCCGCGCGCACCATAATCTCCTCAATCACCCCCTCCTTTCTGAAATTATACCCCTGCACCGACTCCCCGCTCTCCCGACTCTGCCGCGCAGCCTCCCTCTTCGCCCGCACATACAGCTCCCGATCCTCCGGATGCGACACCAACCACTCCCGAAACCGCTGATGGCGACTCAACTCCGCCGCCCCCGGCCCAAACACATGCACATTGGCGTATGGCTCCGCCAGCCCAAAGAAGCGATGCTCGTACCAGTTCGGCTCGCGGAAGAGGAACTGGAACCCGGCTGCCTCCAAGGCCGGGACGTACTCGTCCTCGGCGGTGGGGTCTGGGACGACGAGGTCGACGTCGATGACGGCTTTTGCGGGCAGGCCGGGGATACTGGTTGAGCCGACGTGACTGACACTGAGGGCTGTAGCGCCGAGGGCGGATTTGATGCGCTGGGCGATGGAGGCGAAGGCGTCTGGCCAGGAGGGGTCGTAGTCGACTATTTCGATGGGTTTCTGGGGGCGGGTGGAGATGGTTTCGATGTAGTGTCTGGTTGATTTGTCTGTGGACATGGTCATTTTGTTGATCGGATGGATGTCTGGTGGTTAGATTAGAGTGAAGAAGGTAGAAGGCTTATGTAGGTTGACTGTGAGTCATTGCAATTTAAGGTGGTGAGGTTACATTGCGGATACGAGGTTGTCTCAACTATTTTGGGTATTGTGAGGTTATCAGCACTACTGTATGCATGTCTGACACTAGTCACACTACTTCATACACAGGTATATAACTCAATTCAAAGCCACGCTGTAGCACATTAAACAATCATGCAGTCATTATGATGAAGGATAGGTAATGGAAGTCTGAGTTGGTTGTACTGAATTAAAGCGAGCACTTTTGCAATGCTGGCGTCTTTATAGACCAAACGACAATCCTGGGGGTACTCCTATTGCTTATTCTAGCAGTGCAGCAGACAGTAGACAGCAGAGTATGAAAAATATATCTCTGGTCTTAGCTCTGTCCGAACGAGGTTTATATATCTTTCATCTCGTCCAAGTCGAGCATCCCTTGCTGCTCAAGCAACCTGATGCTTCGTCTTCCTTTTTCATCGTTGTCTCATTCTGTGTATCTTGGAAAAAGAAGGCTATGTTTGTAAGGACGATTTCTAAAAGGGCGTCTGTACCTGACCGACGTGCGACCCCGTAGACTCATGTTGAAGGGGTCGGTTAATAGATACATTGGTGCTTCTAAAGCTTGTTACCAGTTCAAAGAACTACTTCAAGAAAGACTACATATGGGACGTGTCTGGTTGGCAATATCAGTTGTCCTTCACCCATATTCTTCTGTTCGCTAGCCAATTCCTGTAGTCTGGACAAGACCAGTTGTTCTGATAACTTGATAAAAGTCTGGTCCAGCTACCGCGGTCTTCACTCAACTGATTGCCATGTGACGCCATACCCGGCCAACAACTATCTGAACCACAAAGTCCTCAACCAAGTCAAAAAGGGGTTACCTCTACTAGCCCGGAAGCAGATTCTGAAGGCTGGTCTGAGAGCAATTCCTGAATTAGATGGTTTGAGACGTTGTTCGTCTAGGTACTCCCCATTGTCACTACATTTCGGCCCCTTAGGGTTCCAAGTAAATACATCTAGATATCAAGCTGGATAACATCATGGTAGAATGATACCGCAGTGATCAAGAAATTATGGCTGTATAGGTTGAGATCATCATTTTGGAAATGCTGCTATCTTCCCAAAGGTAGATGTATCATAGGTATGCTTGCTAACCACGACAATTGCAAAGTCCCGGGGCACATGTCAAGGGTGAGCTCAACAAGCCACCAGACATCTTTTCGTTGGGGTTCGTTGTGAGTTCACCGACATTTGAAGAGATTGTCAAGTACTGACCGGCCTCGTTAGTGCATCTATCCTATGCTCAAGCGCAACATCTTTGGCCCTGATGAGGATTTTAGAATATCAGACTTAGGGTGCATTGCCTGCTTTTGTTCACCTGCAGCGCCAAGTGTTGTATTTTGGAGCTCCTTGATGATATTAGTTGTCAAATCCTAGGGATACTATAGGAGGAAAGGTCGAGGAACGTATCCTATACGAGCCATTTTCCTAGTGGCCTGATGTCGTTGATCCAGCATTTGAGGATCTTACGCAAAAGCTCACAACTCTAGACCCAGCCAAACGATTGCAACATGCCAGGCACTAGATTATCTATGGTTTCATGATGAGACCGTTGAGCATTAGGGATATGGTCAATGAGGTTCCGAGTATAGTCCGACGAACAAGTGCCTCACATGCATTGACGTGGGACTGAGTGAGCATGCCAAGCAGTCGGGCGTAGTTAGACTGTAGTTATTTCATCCCTAAGCTATGCTCTAAGACCTTCTGGAATAAAGACTATGACAATCTGCTGGAGGACGCTTTCGGCCCGTATTGTAGCACCTTGAAACATCCACTTCCCGCCGTATCCACCTCTACCACGCTTTCGCCGCCAGTCTACTTTGATTGTATATTGAAAAACGGACACACCGTGGCAAATGGGGTAATGTCCAGAAGGATCGTCGCTGGGCCCCATCCGACAGGCTGGTAACTTGACTGATCGGCGCGTCCTACTGCCGTCTTCACCATTCCGATGGGTCTTGGCATACTTCCATCCATCATCAGGTAGGAGATATGGCAAGCATGAGACAGGAATTGCTTCATGTATGGACCTGGTGGATCGAGACCGAGGGCTCGCAGAGTCACTTGGAGCGGTCTGCTCTTCACTATATAAGGACGATCATGTCCGGATATCTCGAAACCATCAGAACAAAGAAACATCGTCCGGATATCTCAAAACCATCGCACCAAAGAAACATCGAGAGCAAAATCACCTGCCAATCAAAATGAAGTTCACCACCATCGTCAGCCTTTTCGGCCTCGCCCAGCTTGCCCTCTGTAACAACCGCGGTAGCTACACCATTCCTGGCCTCGGACAGCGCAAGCAAGCCCTCCTCAAGGCAGGCGGAAACACCATGGACATGGCCATCGCCATGCAAGAGAGGTACATGCCTTGCTGGCTTTCAATGCCGTACAATAACTGACCCGACACAGCGACCACATGAAAGCCGACTACGTCTACGGCGACGGCAAATCCGGCGATGCCACCAACTTTGGCATCTTCAAGCAAAACTGGATGATGCTGCGTACTTCTGCCCACGATTTCAAGGGTCAATCTGAGAATGAGGTGTCCAACGGGGCTGTCTTGAAGTATGTCCGTGTCCCATACTAAATGGACAGAGCTAACATAGTACAGCCATGACCTGGAGAAGGACATCAAGGCCCGCCATGACAGTGAGGAGCACTATGGCTTCGACACCTGGGTTGCTGGCCATCGCAATGGAGCTTCTGGGCTGGACGAGCCGTACACGGATGATATCAATAGTATGTCTTCTGTCTTTGCTTCTGGTGGACGCACAGGCTAATTGGAGCAGCGTATAAAAGTGCCGTTCAGTGGATCCAGCAGCAGATTGAGAGTGATCCCAAGTATCAGGAGGATGATACCAGATTCTGGGTTGATGTTAAGGCCATCTAGTCCTGCTTTGGTCAATGGATAGCCTCGATGGCTTTACTACGGGCAGTGTCCCTCGCTGTTACAGTATCACTCGCTGTTTTATCGCAACTTAGATTACATTTCTTTCTTCTAGACAGTCATTTGCAATTAACTATCTTTGAGCATACCTATGATTATGTCCGTTATGTCCGCTAAGTCCAGGTACACAATTAGAGGCAGAGCAATTACGCACGCTCATACTTCAATTTGCTATACATGCGTAGAAAACATGATTATCATTACTGTCATATAGACCTACTAGTCTTCGATATATTACAAATTGTCCGTCACACCCGGCCTGATTTCCTCCAGAATCTCCCCCAACTCCCCCCAAACCTTCTCCTGCGCCTGTTTCCCCTCCTCACTGCGCACAAACGCCGACAGCGCCCTATTATCCACCTTGCCATCCGTCATGTACACCCCATGACTCTCCTCGCCCGCCGCCGCACCCGCAACCAGCGTCCGACCCCCCACCTCCGTCGTCCTCGCCAACACCATCTTCATCAGCGCAAGCCCGATCCCCGAATCGCGGCCCAGCTGCGAATGGCACAGCCCAGGATTAACCATATTCACCACGACGCTGTCGTCCCGCATTCGCGCCACCATCTCCCGCAGGGCCAGCACCTGCAGCAGCTTGGACGTCTGGTACCGCTCTCCCATGTCCGTGTGTTCCTCGTCATCCAGCGCGGCAAAGGTATTCTCGGCGTTCCGCTCAGGGAACTTCGTCCAGGCGTGTACCTCGCTGACGACCGTCGTCAGACGCGGCTTCGTCCCATACTTCGCTGCGCTTCTGCGGAGGGTCGGGAGGACGAGAAGACCCAGCAGAATGGTGCTGATCACATTGACGGTGATGGTTCGCTCGTGGGCCTCTGCTTGTTGGAAGGATGATGTTGCGATGGATGCGTTGCAGAGGAGCACGTCTAGTCTTGGGAGGCTGGAGACTTTCTCGGCGAAGGCAAGGACGGAGGCGTAGGACGCGAGGTCCAAGTCCCATACTTCGATGGAGGTGTCGGAGTCGGGATGGGAGGACTGGAGTGAGGCTTTGGCGGCTTCGCCGGCGGGGCGGTTGCGCACGGCTAGGATCACGGTTGCGGCATTGAGCCGGACAAAGTGTCGTGCTGCTTCGAGGCCGAGGCCGACGTTGGAGCCGGTGACGATGATGGTTTGGTCTTTGAAGGAGTGGGTGGGATAGGCTGGGGTGACCAAGAGTTGGGAGTAGAGGAAGCCCATTTTGAAGGATATGTCTTTTGACAATGGTAGATATTCTCTGGAATGGATGTGTCCAGCTTTAGGGGGATGTCCGGCATTTAAATACTCATAATGTAACTACCATTTTCGGGCTTTATGGTTTCTGGAGTTAGTAGTGGGGATCAGCGGTCTCCGGCCCACGGGAATAGCACAAAGTCCGCAATTAATGTGGGCCCTACCTACTATTGCTAATGACGTTGACTGATTGTTGCCTTGACAGACGTCATCACTCGCAACAAGTTTCAATTTTCGAGTCGCGTATCAATTATTAATCTGAATTCGAATGGATATTGGCTAGGGGAAAAGACATGTGCATGTATTATGTTGGCTGGGTAGCAACTGCGTAGAGCATTTAAGTACGTAGGGTTGCATTAAGCACGTGAATTGCGACTATATGCTAGCACTTTTCACCAGATAAGGAAACATTCTGGGTGATTAATTACAAATTACAACATCCGCGCGCCTACAAGGCAGTAATCGAAATCCGCTTAGCCCCCGCATTCCCATTCAGCAACGCCGAGCCACTGCTGCTGCGCAGATGGTTCGAATGCATCTGCTCCTCCCCCATATCCAGACTGAACCTTCTCGGTCGGTGCCACATTCCCACGTCTTCGCCTGCTCCTTGCAGACTCTCCGGCCTCACCCCAAACTTGGTGCCAACCTGCTGCACCAGCTCTTCGTACGCGCTGGTGTCCACAGCCTGACTGCTCTCCTTGCTCAACCGCGTCTGAGCATGCTTGAGCAGCTGCAGATGCTGGCTGACGGCGTCGGCCGCATGCGCCTGGTCGATGTCGGTGTCGTTGAGGAGCTCGTGCAGCGCCGTCTCGTGCAGCGCCACGGCCGCCAGGTGGTTCCCCGACGCCGTGTACAGGCCTGACAGCAGCTTGGTCATCTCCAGCGTGACGGGGTCGCAGTTGCCCCAGACCTGCCGTAGGTTGTAGCAAATATCCTTGCCTAGCTGGGTTGCGGCATTGGTGTGCCCGCGGCAGAAACGGGTTTCTACCAGGCGACGACCGATCCAGACGATCATGTTGGAAGACCAGGTTTTTTGGACGAGACGCGAGGTCCAGAGATCGGTGAGGATGGCCTGGAGAAATTAGCATATGCATATAGCAGGGAGGCAGAGGGGGGAGGGAATACCTCTAGATCGTCAAACATCTCATGTTCACCCAAGACTGTGGCCAGATCGTTCAGTTCGGGGAATGGAAGTTCGGAGAATTCAATCTTTAGATGGCGAGCTCTGGCCATGATCTCCTGAAGGAGCATCTGGGACTCGAATGCCATGTGCTTGGCGGTGCCGCTGTCTGAGCACTTGCTCGTCTGGTAACCGTTGAGATACAGGCAGAGCTTGATGGCTGTAAAGATGGCCTCGTGGCTGTTCAGACCGTCGGTCAGGTGCACAAACGAATGGAACACGCCGGTCAAATCAGCGGCATCCTGGAAACGGGAGCTGTTGCACAAGTCGCGGACCATGTGGGTAGTCTCGTTGATAATGTTGATATTGTAGTCAGCATTGAGTACCTCTCGACGACAGAGGTTGTAGAACTGATGCACCACGTCCCTGGAGCGCAAACTGGGCGAAACAGACAGCGAGTTGCAGAAGTACTCGTACAAGCTGCCCTGTGTCTTGGTGGCTGCCGTCGTGCGTCGCTGCTCGGTCTGCAGGACATGAAGCTTCTGGCCGGCAACCAGAGTGGTGACGAGGTCGTGCCTGGAAAGACTCGTCTGGTACTCATTGTACACGCCGCTTTCTTGAGACAGCGCGTCAAGGATCTGGTTATATGTCATCTTCTTGCCGAACTCCTCCTCGAACGCGGCAACAAAGACCGCAGGTCGGTACTCGTTCAGAGCCAATCGTTGTGCGGCGGGTGTTTCATGAATGACCTGCTTATGAAGCTCGTCGATCAAGTCGTAGCCTGCATCTTTGTACCCACATTCGAGATAGATCTCGGCAAGACGGTGAGCGCGCTCAATCACCGCTTCGCGGCTGGCAGTGACGCGGATGACCTCGTTGACATGGTCCCGTAGGAGATTTGCACCCTGGTTGCGCGACTCGATCGTATCCTTCAAAGCATAGACCAGAGCCACCTCACGCAGCCACAACATTGTCGGGGAAGATGACAGACCTCGCTGCTGCTTGGACAGGGTAAGCTCCTCCATGTACAAGCCACGAGCCTCGTCGGAGGTGCTCTTCTTGCGGAGATAGATCTGCGCGAGTTTATGCTTGACGATCTTCGCCGTCGGATCCGTCATATCAGGCAAGGCCCGGGAGGCCTGCGTTTGAGGCACCCACTCCTTCGTCTTTAGGATATGTCGGTAAAGGGCAAGTGCCTCTTCGAGATGGCTATCGCTCTTCTCGCAGATCTCCGCAAGCCGGAGAGTAGCATCCCGAGTAGCTGGGCTCGACTGCCCATGGATTTTCTTGCACAGAGTGAGGTACTGAGATGCTACGGTGTAGCGTTCCGCGTGGCCTTCCTCCGCAGTACTGGAGGTCAAGATTCCCATGTATCCTATGTAGGTCTTGTCTAGCAGACCTTCCAGCAATGCACGGTCGTAGCCATCCTTTTCGTCAAAGCGTATCAGAGTCGGCCACAGATGACGGTAAACCTGAAGAGCAGACTCGCGGTCCTGATTTTGTTCATAGATACCGAGGAGGGCAATGGCTGCACGAACGCCGGTCGAGCTGATCTTGCCCCCCTGGATACTGACCTGGTAGATATGGCGATACGCAGCCTCAGCCTCGTTCTTCCGGTCCAGACGAGCGGCCAAGTCACCCTCACAGTACAGGCTATCGATCGTATGCTTGTCGGAATCGCCCAGACGAGAAATGAAGAACTGGCTGACCTGGTGCAGGAGGACCAGCGCCTTTGAAAACTGGAATGTGGTTTCATAAAACTCAACCACGGTCTTGACAACAGCAGTGAGGTGAGGCACGGCCACTTTCTCCGCGGTAATGGACGCCTTGAACGCGTTTCCGTAGACCGACGTCGCATTAGCAACGTCGAGACGACGGAAAAGACAGTACGCGTAGTCAAGAACGATATTCGCAATCAACGGGGCGCGGTCAGATCGGAACTTGGCCTCGGAGGTAGGATTGTGGACATCCGGCCAGGCATGCTTCAGGACCGACCAGACGCAGTCACTGCCCTGTTTCCACTGTCCCTCGCGGACATGCAGGGTGCAGAGGTCGTGACACAATCTCAGAACAGACGTGGAATGGCGACCGCTGCCCGACGACGCGATGCTGTCCATAAGGCTGTGGATGTAGATGCGCTCCTCTTGAGACAGCCCCGCGAGACTATCAACCGTCGTATGGGTGGACATTAGTTCGTCGGCGAGGTCTTCGGCCAGAGTGACGGCCTCGGGCGAGTACTGATCCCCGCTTGCAAGGTAGTAGTTCCAAATGAGCATGGACAGGGTCCGCTCCATGCCGATGAGTCCTTGCGCTCGTGCCTCTGCTCGAAGGCTTGTGGCGCGGTCTGCCATCGCCTGCGAGTGGATGCCGCCCGATTCCAGATCCGAGGATAACTCGCCGAGGACCATCTTGGCCTCTTCATGGCGGCCGTGATGACGCAGGAATTGGTAGTACACAAAGGCGACTCTTGTCTTTTTCTCCCATGTCCATTCCGAGTCAATATCGTGCGAGCAGATCCCGGCCCAGAGCCTGGTCAAGATCGCGTCTGCCTCCTTGACCTTGTGCTTTTTCTCATATAGCTGAGCGAGGTACAAGGAGTAGGAGATGCGGCGCTGGTCGGTGACGTCCATCGAACGGACCATATTCTCGTACTTGAGACGCGCAATTTCCAGCGCGAGTTCGTCGGAGGAAGCGATCTGGAAGTGCTGGGTGATGAAATCCGCCGCCTGCATGCTCTCTGGCGAGTGACTACCATACTTGTCAAGTGTCTGCCGGTAGAACTGTCTAGAAACGCTGTAGGCCTCTTCATGTTGATTACTGCTTTGGTAGGTTGTGACCAAGGTGGTGAGACATTCCAAGCGGCGGGTGAAAGTGACCTCCGTCGACTCCCAGTGGGATAAGGTCATCTCGCGAAGGGCCTCGGTGCGCAGGCGCGTGACCTTGTCGCTACGGCCTGCTTGCTGAGGAGAGGTCAGCATCAGCTGTTCCAACTCCATGGAGACCGGAGAGGACGTCCCAAGCTGCGACCGACTGAGCATCCATGCTTCGTACATATGATCGTTAGCCCAGCTAGCCTTGGCCAGGTCGGCCGCACGAGCGCTGAGGATAAGACTCTGCAAGAATGCCGGAGATTTCTCACCCAGAGCTACACGGCGCACCGCGACCGATAGCCGGTAAAGCTCTAGGATGCTGGATCGAGTGAACTGGGACTCTCGGCCGGTCAGCTCTAGCTGCGCGAAGAGAACTGAACTGGGCAAGGCGCTCTTGAAGACCGGCGTGAAGGCAAATTCACGGTCGGGGGTGGTCATCGGGGACGAAAGCAGATGCGCGAACCAGTAGCGCGAAGTATATTCCAGGAGGATATACGAGTCGAAGAGAACGTCGCGCTGCTGCCCTGGCATTTTGTCCATAGAGATCGCCACATCTTCCTTGACACAGATACGGGTCCAGGCCAGGGATCGGGTAAGGAGATCATAGTGCGCTTCCTCGAGGTTGAATGGGAACCCCTGATTGTCCGAGTAGTTGCTGTCTGCCGACATGGCTCGTTGCCGGAGGTTCTCACGGATCATGGAATGGCGGAATGCCACGAATCCATCCCGGACCATGACCAGACGGCCCAGGGGTTTGAATATGTTTCGTTCGGCCCCGGCAGGACGCGGCGTTATCTTGAGACTCTCCGCGTCCACTGAAAGCAGCTCTTCAACCTCCTTGATGCGCAGAGGACGCTCAGACACCACCAGCCAGGCAAGGAGACAGCGGATGTCAGGCCGGGCGATGTCAGTGGTGCTCATATGGTTGCCAATCTGCTCGCTAACATCGCCTGGTGCTTGTTGGATTGCAGTCATCATGCCCTTGAAGGTCGACTCATGTTTCATAGATTCGAGAGTGAGCTGCGCCCAAACGAAGCATCCTTGAGCACGGGCCACGATGCGTTGGGCCATCGTGTCAATCTGATCGTCCGCCAGCCCGTAAAATTGAGCGTCCGACTTGATGGCGTCGGTAACAGCCGCAAGCAGGTCGGAATGAGTCAATGCGGGGTTCAGCGAGAGTTGCTGAGTGCTTTCCCCGAGCTGCTGCTGCGCTGGAAGTTCTCTGGAAAAGATGATAAGCTTCGATGACGTGCCGGAGATAGAACCTTGTAGGCGCGCAAGGAACCCAGCCATGGTGGCTTTGGCATTCTTGATCTGATCAAGGCCGTCCAGGACGACGATGAAGTGCATGTGTGACTGCATTGCCGTTCTCACGGCGGACCAGAGCACGTCCTCCACCTGGGTGTCTGTAGCACCAGTTGAGGCCATGTCCGCAGCCTGTCGAACCGATGATAGGATACCCTCTTGGGTCTTCCATGAGCTGACACATCGGTCCAGCATCTGCAGGAGAATGCCTTTGAGGATGGTAAGGGTCAACGTTGTGATGGGCACATCCTCCCGTACCCAGCAGGGAATGACATTCCAGATGTCATACTCGGATGAGACCTGGAGCCGCTCCACCGTCCATTGCGCCAGCGCACTTTTTCCTGCTCCGGGACTGCCCGTTATTGCCATCATCTCACGGTTGCTGAGAGTGAATGTCGTGAGATGTGGGTCAAACCACGCAAAAGAACCATCCGCCAGGGAGTGGTTGTGTCCTTCGAGAATCATCTGGAGTGGACGATCCTGCAGATCAAGGAACTGATAGATGGAGGCAACATCCGTAGTCGTCCTCTTGGATAAGGCCAGCTCTGATAGTTTCCGCCAATTGGTGTTGAAACTGTTGTGGAACTGGAAAAAAGCTGCATCGACGTGTTCGCCCATGATCAGCCAGTCCAAAGAGCGCGAGGCGTCATAGTACTCCATGGTAACGTGTAGCACCAGCTGCAGCAAACCGGCGTAGGTCTTGGCCACCTCGTTCTGCAACGAAGTCGACTCTCTAAAGAAGCTCTCCTGCTGTAGCAAGAGAGAAATCTGAAGCGTGACTCGCCCATAGCGACTAAAGATGGTGTCCAGGATATCCACATGCTCGATACCCATCTGGAATTGTTAGCTTTAGTCCGAAAGACCTGGATGTGTCTTACCTCTAGGAACAGCAAAAGCCCACCCCAGACCAATTTAGTGGCTTCGTCCGCCCCGTCCATAAAAGAAACAACAGCATCGCGTAACGAGGCCACGGCAAAGGCGAGGCTGGATGCGCGTCGAAGAGCACCGTCGAGCCGGCTTCCGTCTGCCGGCATGCGCCTCAAACGTTCCGCAGCGATCGCGTCAAAGAAAGCATCGACAGTCGGGGCTTTGGCCTGGATAGCACTGGCAGGCATGCCCAGACGTGGTTCGCACTCCCGGGAAACGGTTTGAACCATTTCCCGGAGTATGGAGAGCTGGCCAGAGCTCCCTTGAGCATTGTGCGCTCTGGCTCGAATTGGAACCATATCACCGGTATGCAATTATGTCCAATGTATAGTACAGTATTTCTGGAAGAGAATCGTCTCACATCAAATATGCAGGCGTCGAGTAAGACGAGGCCACCACCGATAGGCTAGTATTATATCGTTGCATGAAAGAGACCAGGCTCACTGCAATCCTGACATCATGGCGGTTGGAGTCGCAAGCAAGCTTGAGGGGATACTGAGATAATCGTATTCCCCTATCCGGTGTCATGCCATCATATCAATAGAAGATCCTTGGATCCGCGAGAGGTCGACCTTGGCTCTTGTGAAGTCAATCGGTCACAGTCTAGATGCTCTATGGCCAGCCGTAATTGTGCCATCAGCAATTGGCAAATGCGTAGACACGATAATATAGATCGCTCTTCAGCCTTGTGGACAGTAATTCTTCCATTTGGAACCGAGAATAACGATATATCAGATGCACGCTCTGCAACTCTTGTGACAGGATGAATGCGCTGAGATGAGGTTTCTTTGCGTTGTAATTAAGACTCGGCCCCACAAAAAGAAAGTCGTTGTGTCATCCCCGCCCATCATGTTGGGACAAGGTTATTCATCCTGCTCCGTAGGTTCCGAGTGGTCATGGATTAAGAATATTGTCCTTGTCTTGTCTTCTGGGAGAGACGTTCGTGTCGTACCCAGTGACGTTGATGTCACTGGACAAGCAGTTGCGAGTGTGGAGTGATCTTCTCCCACAATAGGTGCAAGTGCAACTCTCCAAGTCAATTAATCACTTGGCATAGGTAGAAAAGGCATGCTAGGAAACACTTTAGGTTTTAGACGATAAAGATGATCTCGTGAACGATGGAAGACACTCATCTGAAGTTGAGATTCGTCAGCAATTGAGTGTGAGCAGAAATGAATTGCGACTCTCAATAGAACTACGCAGAGCAAGCTGAAGGATATGTGTTTTAGCACTAACATCTAGATATTCATGACAATGAAGAAGAAATGGCATGAATAGGGCTGTATTAGCCAGTAAGCTTCTGTATGACCGAGATGAGGTTGTTACATAGTGGCCTGATGCCTGTCTTAATCTACAACAGCTGGTCAGAACATGGGAAATGGACCAGCTAAGGTCAAGCTACAACGGCAGAAGATCTTCACTGGTAATCAGTGGCTTTCCCACTCTAAACACTACTAGGATGATGGCGCCAAACGGATGGTAAGCGTCCTGTTCCAGGTGCTGGTACCCAGGCTCGACCGCGGGATCGCAACAGCAGTTGCACGAAGCAAGCTCGGGATCGAGAACGCCTTGATAAAAGCTAGAAAGGGTCCCAAAGTCCAAGTCGTGCGTAATCACTGGCTTGGCGCACTTGAGGAATGCACGAACAATGCAAATGGGTTAGACATCCTAGAGCATCTGAACCTCTGCAATTATCTCCGGCGGAATGATCCGACCAGCTAGAGACTTTTAACTGGGAATGTAGCTGGATTGCTCTTAGCATGCTTATCATATCACTGACTGTGTATGTGGATATCTTGGTCCCTGTCTTTATGAAACGCGAACTGATATCTCGTGGTCTGAAACCGAGCGTTGGAGGATGATTGCCTTTAATCAAGTAAAGTCGGCTCATCAGTCGCGCTCATCCGTACTTGTTAAAAGCCACTGACGCGAAACCTTCATCATTGTCCCCAAAGTAGTGGCATCTGACCTTCTCTATCCTTGTTGTTCGTGATACCTGTATAACGCCGCGTAAGCCTGCGGTGGCCATGTTCAAAACCCATGCTTCGAATTAGAGAATGAAGAATTCAATGTTCCTGGAATTTGCATTCTCATTACGGCCATTACTATTATGTCTCTAAATAAAGTTCATGGCTGGGCTAAGCTTCTCACCCGCTCCTGATGGCGTTGAAGTTTGACGTGATATCACTGCAACATTCTTCCACAAAACCATCGTGAGACTCATGTATCTTTTGGATACGTTCAAGTCTATGATCAAGATGACTGACATTGATAGCACATGTGAGAGTGGACGCGCTCTCATGAAAATATGAATCGGGATTTGTAAACGTGGGTAGTCAACATCCCTTGGACAGTCCACATTCCTCACTAGAATTGGAGGTGGAATCTTGTCCTCCTGTTTATTTTAAATACTTTGACGTCATATATTGTCTACACAGAGCAATCAGTGTGCAGAATGACTTTCCTCTATCAGTGCACGGGATTCGCAGCTGACAGTGGTGGGCTGATGGATATCAACATACGCGGCAAGAATCTCAGTGGATACGCAAGGATTCTACCTTGACAATATCTTGACAATAAGTTTGACAGCATCTTGAAAGAGGACAATATGAGGCAGTGGTTCTATACAAACGATCCATGTTGCATCGTCATAGGAGAATAGCCCGGTGCAATAGTACACGCAGCCTTACCCTCGCCACAACTTACGTGGACAGTAACAGGAGATCTACTGTTGAATCAAGGCAATGGACTCAAGGTCGGCAGATACGGATTCATTGTATTCTCAGATTGTCCTTGCACACGGATCGTCCATCGATTGCGAATCCATTCCTCGGGCCACGAAGATCTCGAATGCCATCATGGCATTGCTTCGCGTAGACCTTATCGACTATATATATTGCATATGCATCCCCTATATCCAAAACATGTGCCTGAAATGTTCATTCATTGACAGGGTTGTCCATTGGTGCAAAGATATGAAACATGGCCTTCTCTTGCACAATAAAACCAACCGATTCATTCGAATGCGAGCATGTGGAGATACGAGAGCCAGAGAAAAGACATCTCCGGCGAGTCTGCGATGACATCTCACTGGATATTTTTCTCGTGGCTGTAGTGGAGTTGGCTGAGCGTTTTACATATCGTTCCATCACAGCGCCAATGCGTAAGTTCAATCGATAGTGCTTTGGAGAGAATCTTGCTGACAGGCATAGAAAATTACATACAGCATGGTCGTGATGATGTACTTCACCACGGCGCCCTTGGATTGGTATTATTGTACCCTCCCTCCTTCTCTGGAATAAGCTGACAGAAGTAGGGCCAAAAAGTGGCGACTGGGATTAGTTACTTCTTTGTGGGATGGTGCTACCTGGCACCGATTTTCGGGGCTGTTGTTGCAGATAGCTATCTAGGTCGATTCAAGACCATCTTCCTAGGCACGGGGTACATTTCCTTCTACTTCTCTTCTTGATTACAACTAGACAACTAACCATGCATAGACTCTCCGTGTGCGGTGTCCTAGTTTTGTTCATCACGTCGCTACCTCCAAGTCTCGAGCATGGAGGGGGCTTACCAGGGTTAATGCTTGCATTAATTTTGATTGGACTGGGGTATGTCTTGCAATGGGCTTTCGGAGGTACCACATATGTTAACGGGATCAGATGCGGTGGTATCAAAAGCAATGTCGGCCCTTTAATTGCTGAGCAGTACTCGATGCGCACAGAACGAGTCAAAACGCTGCAGAGTGGAGAGATGGTCATTGTCGATCCGAACATAACAGTTCAGACGGTCTATGCGCGGTATTACTGGTGAGTCACAGGAACATAAAGGCGCGGCTATGATACTGACATAATGCAAGGATCATAAACGTTGGAGCTCTCTCAATCATTCCCGCTTCCGTTCGTGCATCCCTCGATCCATCGGGTCATTGCTAACGATAGTAGTGGCTGGAGCTCAAAGTCGACTTCTGGGCAGCCTTTATGATGCCGCTCTGTCTGTGGCTATTGGCTATTGTGGCCTTGGTAGCTGGTCGTAAGAAATATAGTAGGTGAAGGTGCCCTGCGATGCAAGGAAAATGACTGAACCATTGTAGTGGTTCAGCAACCCCATGGCTCGGCCGTTACCAAAGCGATTCGAGTGTTGTGGATTAGCCTGAAGAACAATGGCAACATGGATGCAGCAAGGCCCTTTGCAATGGAGGCCACTGGAACCTCAGTATGCTGGGACGACACGTTTGTCGATGAGTTGAAACGAGCACTTGTTGCCTGCCGCGTGTTGTAAGTTCAGTCGAGGCCTGACTAGTGTAGCACTGCTAACGTTATGCCAGTCTGCTATAGTATGTTCACACTCCCTCGACTCATCTGATAATGCTGACTTTGTAGCCCCATTTTCTGGCTATGCAATGGCCAGGCCAACAACAATCTCGTCAGTCAGGCGTCGTCTCTCAAGACATACGGGATGCCCCATGATATGAGTACGTCCTCATTTCAGCTTGTTAGTCGAGCGCCGTCTAATCTTTATAGTGGGACTATTCAACCCTCTGACCATTCTGATTGCCGTCCCTCTATTGTATGTTGCTTCACTTCATTCCACATCGTCCAATACTGACAGAATAGTGAACGTCTCATCAACCCTGCCCTCCGCCGCTTCGATATCCCTTTCAAACCCATAAGTCGCATGACTACCGGTTTCGCCGCCATAGCATTTGCCATTGCCATCGCGGCTATCATCCAACAACGTACGTCCCTTCTCGAACACTCGAATACCTTTCTAATGCCAGAATGCAGTAATATATCAATCACCACCGTCTCACGTTAGCATCCTCCTCCAGATCCCAGTCTACGCACTCATAGGACTCTCCGAGTTCTTCGCCAGCCTGTCAGGGATGGAATACGCTTTCACCAAAGCCCCAAGGTCGATGCGGAGTATCGTCTCCGCTCTCTTCCTTCTCACCTGCACCATCGGTTCAACGATGGGAATTACTCTGTCGCCTGTATCCGTTGATCCAAAAGTGCTGGTGGAGTATGCGTCTCTCAGCATCGCCATGTTTGCCACAGCTGTCGTGTTCTACTTTTGCTTCCGCAAATACAACCAAATGGAAGAGAGCATGAACATGATTGGGGAGACAAGCAAGGAGGGATCGAGGAAATCGTCAGTAGAGGATATTCATGATTTATGTCAGCTGGAAAAGCAGTGATGTTAGTATATAGCTGATGTGTCTATACGTTTTTGTTTACTGTGATATGATGATCATAGATTGAGATCAAGAGATCAATGGACAGCTTTAGTATGCGGCAATGTACAGATATACTAGTACTAACCGTCAACCCAAAACTCTGCATAGCTAACTTCTAAACAGTCCAGCCATCCTCTTAAATTGGTGGCTATCCGACGGTGGACTAGGCTCGGGTCGTGATGGTGGGGTTGGAGAGAATGTCAGGTGTTTGGCCACGACTGCCACCATGTCGCGTTCTGCGGGGAATCTTCTCGGACCTTCCATGCCCTTTGAAGGATCATGGTAAGGTTAAATGAAGACGGAAATACGGGCAGAAAACTCCACCATACCAAGGGAACCCGTTGGTTGTGACACTTGGCATGCGCTAATCTGGAAGTTGATCAAAACTAGGATCCACATAGATATGAAGCTTGGTAATCAGGGTCTGCTTCGACTGACAATCAATCCTGATTACAATAAGCGTAATGTTCCTTATGGCGAATATCTACCAAGAGTCCAAGACTGGGACTTCGCCGACCGAAATGCGAAAGATATCCGGACTCCATAGTGAATGATTTGGCGCTGCATTAGGACGTCCGCAGACGGAAATTCAGGAAGAAGGATTCGAACCACAGACTTTAGACTCTGACTGCATGATCTATAACGGCCTCTGTGACCAATCGGATCCTGACAATGTCACACCGTGGCTATGGAACTTGGCAGTCTCGTGGCAGGGTTAGCCACGATTGCTTTGATCGACGTGTCTCGGATTGTTGGCATTGGATATGAACCTATGATAAAAGACAAACAGCGTATTCCATCACAGTATCTTGCCGATGCAACCTCTGTCTGGATAACTCAATGAATACCGAACAGCTCGTTGCGAGAGGAGCTGGACATCTGTGTCTCATATGCCTCCTGACTTGCACTGACGTGCAGTAACGCAGCTCTCAATCGCATTCTTTGATATATTATTCGCACTTAGAACAGACTCATGCGTGGATAACTCTATCTGTTTCGTCAAATAGACTCACTCTATCCCAAACAATGGAATTCGGCTCGGGAACCATTGCCGTGGGCCATCGGGCAGGGCAAAATTCGTACTTAGTTGGCTTGGTAAGCCATCAAATGCTCTGACTAAGTATAAGATGGGTTATATTTGTCAATAATAATAATCTATCCCCATGGTGAAAAGCCGCGGGGGAGCAGAACGGCAGAAGAGAAGCTTTTCCGAATCTTTGATCCGCCGTTCTTGGCGAATATTGTATCCCGTTTAGGAAATGCACCATCGTCATGAATATGATTCTCAGCCGATAGTGGCGAAGGATTCCATCAAGAAGTTTCTAACATTACTACGCCGTATTCGGTTCGGTATTCCGTGCCTTTTCCATGCCGGAGAATTCGCTGGCTCATTTGTCAGAATGAATAATTCAATCCTGACTTCTACAGAACAAACATCCCACTCGGTACGGGTATAAATATACTTCGGTCCCCTTTCCTGCCAGCAAAACACTAAACTTTCATAACCATCACTTTCCTTTGACATCGTACACCCTTTACCTCCTTTTTTGACTCCTAAAAATTCGATTTCCTATTAATCCTTCGCAATGGCTCCCAAACTCAACGTCACCCACATCGGCACTGCTACGGCCGTTCTCGAAATCGATGGCGTCAACATGCTCACTGATCCCTTCTTCTCTCCCGCCGGCTCCTCGTGGCCCGTCACAGAGACGATAACGCTGCAAGTGAGCGACGATCCTGCTCTCCGCCTCGATCAACTCCCCGTCATCGATGCCGTTCTACTCAGCCACGAAGACCACATCGACAATCTCGATGAGCTGGGTCGCCGTCTGCTCGACGGCCGCCGCGTCTTTACTACCATGGACGGAGCCAAGAATCTTTCCCCCCGCCCTGGCGTCCACGGCCTCAAGCCCTGGGAGAAGATCGACACCGTCATCGCCGGAAAGAAGTTCCAGATCATCGGCACACCCACCCAGCACCTCGCTGGAGATGAGTGCACCGGCTTTATCATTACCAATGAGGAATTTGGACGCGGCCGCGACGGTCTTCCCAACGCGATCTGGTTCACCGGTGATACTGTGTACATTGATGAGCTGAAGAAGGTCGGAGAGCAGTACCATGTCCTCGCTGCCATCATGAACTTGGGCAACGCCCACGGACCCGTCGATAAGACCGACCCCAGCAAGGGTGTCTGCCAGATCACCATGGACGGCAAGTCTGGCGCACGGTTGTTCCGCGACGTCAAGGCAGATGTTCTTGTCCCCATGCACTATGAGTCCTGGGGACACTTCACTCAGTTCGGAAAGGAGCTCCGCAAGGACTTTGAGGAGGAGGGTATCATTGATAAGGTGTGCTGGCTGACACCTGGAAAGCCTGTTTCCGTTCTATAAGCTTTGATGTTGTATACCCGGATGTCATGACTCATACTGCGGAGTTGAGGGGTCTGTGTAGAGAAGTGGGGTTGCGGTGTCGTCTGTATAGCGAAAAGTGGGTTAGTAAACAGCGTCATTCAATACAAGCAATATCGGTGAAAACTATTTATAGTAGATACGTGAGGGGACGTTTTTGGGCTATGCGTACAAAAAGGCTGGTGTCGAGACGACTGTGCTCAGGTTGATGGCCAGACCCATGACTATGTGATGTTAGGGGCGGGCTGTATATATATGCATACGAAGCTTGAGAAGCATTGCTTGGATCATCCCAGAGTGTCTTCAATACGTGGCAAAGACGTAGAACAAGATATTAAGGACAATATAATTGATACGTTGAGTGGTTATAGAGTACTGCAGATTACAGCTTCCCCTTGGCGACACCCTCCCGGGACCCTACTACCACCTTAGCAACGCGAATACTGGCCTCTGAATTCCTGAGCATCTCCGGGTCCGACTTTTTGCTCTGGTACGTTCGCCAGAATTCTTCCTCCTTCAGATATCGCGCAAACCACTTTTCTATCCAGGTTGCCGCGACCTCCGCACACCAACCCACTTCTTCAAAGACAACCAGATGTGTTGCTTTCGGTGAAAGAGCCTTATCCACCATTCCCTTAGCAACCCCTCCACTTCCTCCAATGCCCGTCCCAGTGGCTCGTAGCTTGGAATCTTGAGCAGCGGGTGGAGAGAGCCAACTCCGGCCACCGTATACCCAGAATACACTCGGTCGAACAAACGGCAGATTCCTAAAAGCCGCCCACGCTTCTGGACGGGAGAACGGAGCAGGGCGCTCAACGACTGGATCCCAGTCGGGAAGTAGGAGGTCGTTCAGCCCCGCTGATTCGGGTTCGAGGTTGGGTATGGTATAAGCCCAGGCCTCTTGGTGCTTGCTGGTCGTGAGTGTGACGGCTGTCGGGGGAATATTGAGGTCGTTCTCGGGATTGTAGAGGCGCGTTGGTACAGGTCGTAGACCGAAGCGAAGGTAGCGGTCCACGACGCGGGGATCGCACCTGGCGAAGCCTCTCCGGAGCTGCATTTCGGCCTTTTCTCGCGAAGGCCATATGTCGCGACGGAGAACTGCCGTGAGTGCCGGATTCGGTCCCCCGAATTGCTCCCCGAAGATGACGGGCTCGTAGAGTATGAGCGTTGAGAGGAGACGAGGATGAATAATGGACAGCTGGATGCTGCGGGTTGTCAGCGATGATCAGTGAAGCACCAGATAACTTACAGCTGTGCGCATCCCATACTATGGGCGACTCCGATAATAGGACGAGCAATATCGTCCCGGAAGTGATTGATCATATGCAACAGATCCCGGGAATGATCATGCCACTGTGCTGTTGGTAGTCAGTTTCCTCCGTTCGACTCGAAGAACATCAAGTGAGCGTACTATTATCTCCCTGGACATGTTCGTTCAGAACACCACTTGCGCCTTGATTGGAGATATCAGCGATCCAAATGCCGCGCACCGGAATTGATCGCTTTTTAAGCTGGGCGTAGAGGTCCTCCCACAGCGGCTCGTATGCCTCCTATCAGACTTTAGACAGGTACGTTGTAAGTCCTGGCACGGAATGGTCACCTTTGGAAATCCATTTCCATGCGCCCCGATGATCGTGACTGCATTCTCGAGAATTGACTCCGTCTGATCGCGCGGAATATACTGCTTGATCGCAAGCTTCAATGCAGTTTCCTGGCGTCCTTTTAGGGCATGTGGATGTTCCCGGATATGCTGTCCGGGGATGATATGTTCAACAACCCTGAAAGGGAACGGCATTGTAAAGTAGACTGTCTATGTAGCTACGAAGAGATCGAGGAGTCAGATAAAAGATTATGAATTTGAATGGGGGTTCTCCACGGGGTAGTGCTGGGGACGCCTGATGTCAGCGCTATCCTGGCACTAGACAGGGGCTAATATAGAGATCTGCGGGGTACAGCGTTTTCGCATTGAATATCTTGGTCAATGCTTGTAGGATATGATGATGATTTGCGCGAGTAGATTAGGCAGGGAAAGTTAGGAATATCCAACAATAAGTTGAGGCTGCTCAGCGCGATATTACGTGCTGACTTCACTCACCCAATGAAGCCGGAGAGAAAGCCTGTAGTATCCCAATTAGGTTTGATCCGTGGAACTTAGGAATGTCAATTTGACACCGATAATCAAGGGGCGGAATCCGAGCTTGAAAATGTCATGTAGCCTCGGAGTCATCCCTTCACCTGCATTGAATGAACACATCACATGTAGAACTTCTATCGTCCTGGGTTTCACCTTGTGCGTGCAGCTTGAAAGACACTACCCAGCCAGCACACAAACTATCAAAAGCAGGATAGAGAGATAACAGCGAATGAGTCCCAGACACGCTTGGATTCCACGAAAATCAACTACCAGAGTCCTGATTCGACTGTCTCTCGGCGGCGGTGAGAGCAGCTATCCTTCTCTTTTTATTTCAGTACCCCTTCTTCATCCCCTTGACTCTACAACTTACTCGCCATCATGACGGGGAGTCATCCAAAGATTGCGTTGCATGTGGATGGACGTCGGATCAGCAAGAGCGGTGCTCTTATTCAAGTCATGTCAAACTTTTCTACGGTGCGGTCCGACGGGGTACTTGGTCGATTGGGTCCGATGTGATCTTGAAGGAACGGCCTGACGAAGGTCCAAAGACTGAAGTGACTACCCTGACGTACCTTGCATCCAACCCAAATGCCGATATCCCAGCTCCCAAAGTTTTGCAAGACTGGGTCGATGCCAACGGGCGATACTTTGTACTTCTCGAGCGGATGCACAGGCAGACACTTGAGCAGGCCTGGCCTTCACTATCAGAATGCTAGAAAACGGCCATCGCAGATCAGGTAGTTGAAGTTCGCCAGCGGCTACGATCACTCACATCAGAAGCTATACAGAGTGTTGATCAAGCCCTTGTTATCCAGCCTTATTTTTTTCTGACCGCGAGCCCCATGGACCTTTACACTCTGACCTTGAACTCTGGGATGCTATAAGCCTAACCCTTCGCGACCCACCCGAAAAGCAGTTTCCTCAACAAGCCTTGGAGAATTTGAAGAAACGCATGCCTCGATGTGAACCCTATGTCCTCACTCATTGCGATCTCAATCTGGGCAACATCATGGTTCAGATGGACAACTGGTCGGAATTCTCGACTGGGAATACGCTGCGTATTATCCTATATGGTATGAATATGTTTCAGCCTCTTGGGGATGGACTGAGGAGGATATTGAGTGGAAAACGCTGCTACAAGAGCGTTTTGCTGCGCATGACGATGGACATAGGGCCGCGAAGAATTTCTGTATGGATCTGCGCCATTTGAGAGAGTACCCAAGATTGGATGACAAGGGCCGAGAAGCTTTGCAAAGAATGTCTTAGAATGTGTCATGCCATCCTCTGTTGCGCATAGTTTTTCCTTTCTATTGGTGGGGGAACTTCCCGCATGCATTACCCCTGCACTTCACAAACAGCAATGTCAGAGTTGAGAGCATTCAAGCAGAGTAATCTGATTGATTACCTCGGAAGTTGGGTCTAGACCTTAGTCCCACGCCGACAGAGTCTTCATGCATTAGTCCTAGACCGGTTGTTGATGTAGACCAGAATGTGGACCGCGCGTCGACCGTACAAACATCATACTGCTAGTGTCCGCCTCAAGCACAACCGGTGGCTACGAGAGGCAGAGTCATCTGAACACTCATTCATGTCAATGCATAAAAGCTGTAACATAAATCCTCCGATGAATTCAGGGATGGCTGATCAAGCATCCGAATACCCGTAGTGGGACTGAACGACCAGTCTTAGCTGCATTTCTTTACAGCTCTAGTTCGACGACCCCGCGTCGATCCCTGTCTGACTTTGTATATATATAGTGTCTTACTCGACTCCCACTTGCAAATTGACGAGTCAACCTCAGCAATTCACAGTTTACTGCCCAAGATCAGTAACGATGACTAAAATAGCTACATTTCCACTCCCTGGCATAAAGCATGGCAAGCGCATCTTGGTATCGACGATTGAAGAACGAGCGAAGAACGATCCAGACAGCTCTTGGGTGTCGATGCCAATAGATAATAACGATCTATCCAAAGGATACAAAGAGATCACATTCGCAGAGTTCAACAACGCAGTCAACCATGCTGTGCACTGGTTGCGGCAAAATCTCCCAGAGTCCGACGAGCCATTCCAATCGTTCGCCTATGCAGGCCCTAAGGACCTTCGCTATCCCATTCTTGCTGCTGCGGCTGGAAAGTTGCAGAAAGTGGTGAGTATGCTTGGCATGACATAAATGTTCCTCACTGATTCATGCAGATGGTGCTCCCATCGCCGCTGATTCCGCCAGCAGCACAGCGTTTGATTCTGAAGAAGACACAGTGTAACGTTTATATCAGACCGTCCAGTATGGCGCAGGTAGTCGGTGCTATTTTGGAGGATGCGCCCCATATCCAACAGATTACAGCTCCTGAACCTGACAGTCTCCTACAAGAGACTCCTGCTGAACCTTATGTATATCCCAAGTCATGGGGAGAAGGAAAGAAGGATCCTTGGCTGGTGGCTCATACGTCTGGCACGACTGGTGAGTTGATCTGGAAGTACCTTAGGGAGTATCATGAACTAACACAGATAGGGTCTCCCAAACCCATTACCTACACTCACCAGATGATGGCTGCCCTGGACGTGGCTGCCTCCCTGCCGGACATTGATGAGTTCTTGTTGCACCACGCTCCCGGGAGACGTTGGTACACACCTCTACCATCGTTGCATGTTTGTAACCATCTCTGGAACAACTTGTTTCTCTAGCTGACCATCCAAAGCTGGTAGGAATGATGATGGTTCTTTCTATGCCGACATATGCTCACGGAACCCTCGTTGTCGGCCCACCTGCGCCTCCTTCCGCCGACACCGTCGTCGATATCTTCAAATACGGACGTGTTGACAGCGCCCTACTCACCCCAGCTCTCATCGACGAGATGTGCCTTAACGACCGAGCCCTCTCTGCATTGATAAGCCTCAGGTTAGTCAGTTACGGCGGAGCTCCCCTCTCCCGAAAGTCCGGCGACCTTCTCGCGCCTTACGTGCAGCTTGTTCCAGCCATCGGAAGCACCGAAGCGGGCGGCTATTTCACCAAGTTCCGCCGTGACGACAAGGACTGGGATTACATCGAATTCCAGAAACAAGCCGGGGCGGTCTTCGAGCCCCGTTCCGGAGACCTCCACGAGCTGGTTTTTGTGCGTGTGCCCGAATGTAAAATGCAGCAGATCTTCCTCCTTTATCCGGACCATGACCGATTCGAGACTAAGGATCTGTGGATTGAGCATCCCACGCGCAAGGGGTTGTGGAAGATTGTCGGCCGCGTGGATGACTATATTCCTCTCAGTCATGCGGATGGGCTTTATGCTGCGTCGCTGGAGCCGGAGATAGAACAGCATCCGAAGGTGAAAGCGGCGCTGATCGGGGGCCATGGACGACCACTCCCGGTGCTTCTGGTGGAGCTGCAGGATGAGACCGAGGTGGCATCTGACGCTGGTCGTAAGGCGATGTTCGAAAGCCTACAGCCCTATATTGACAAGGTCAACGAGCACTGCCATGAGTGCGTGAAGCTGAGTTCTGAGCGTTTGATCTTCGCCAGTGGAGACAGGCCCTTCATTCGGACAGTCAAGGGTAGTGTGGCACGGATGCCGAGTCTGGAGCTTTACAAGGAGGAGATTGCTGCATTGTTTGAGAAAAACTAGGCTGTATGAAGATGGCTTAGATCAATAAAGCTGTGCACTTTGCAATGAATATCTAAGCCCTCACTACGGTATTCTCTCTCGGGTCCAGGTTATAGTTAGACCGTAAGTCAAGGACATCTGCGTCGATTCAGTTGCTGAATCTCTTAGAAACTCCTCGCCGCCCTCCGCCAGTCTTCCTCACCTTCGCAGCTCGCAGCGACGGCAATGCGTCTTCTGCTTTCAACTATGAGACTTTCTCAGCTAGAAACACCCTGATCATTGACTGAGACCAATACTGCAGCGACATGAGATTTTTCGCCATGGCACAGCTGGTCGATGCGTGTATAATCTGGGGATCTTCGTCGAAGGGAAACCAGAACACAAAGGCTCCGACCCAGTACCATGCCAATCTCTTCATATAGTACGGGACTTTCCCAACGGTCTTTGTTCCTCTATGGCCGATTGTTTCATATTTGGAATGAAAAATGAGAAGTGTCTCAAATGCACCCCAGTCCCGTGGTAGAGCTCTCCATGAGTGCCGAAGACAAAGAGGGTTGGTGTCTGAAAGACAAAGGTTGATGTCTCATGGACAATGTTTTTGTCGTGGTAAATGTCTCCCCATGTTAGACAGTCAAGAGAATTCTGAGACACCTCAGTGGTTGTCCGTCTATAAAAATGTCCTTTTTATCTTCAAACAGTTACTTTCCCTTCATCAACACTCCCCCTTCTCCCTTCTCAATATCATCCAAACAAATCGCTGTCGTCTTTCAGTACCAACCTTGGCACCTACAAGCAACTTTCAAAGAGCACTCAAACATTCCAAAATGGATCCGCAGGCCGGGTCAGTATCTTCTGCTAACAACCCTGAAAATACAGCTGACAACTTCAGCCCGCTGAGCATGCTTCCCCCAGAATGTCTCGTGAATGTCCTCGACAACCTAAACACCGCCGACAACCTGGCTGTCTCTAACGTCTCCAAAGACCTGCGCAAATGGGCAAAACCCCTCGTCTTCAGGGACATTCTCTGGACATACACATCTACGCCTCTCCGACGAGTCCTTCTGCTCCTGGAGCAGATCTTCCTCAATCCGCAGTTTGCAGGGTATGTCAAGCGCCTCCAGCTCACTTACACCGGACCGGCCTGGGTCCTGCCTGATCCGGATATTGACTTTCAGCAGCATGCCACGAGATTTGTCTTTGTTACCAGGAAAGCTATCCAGTTCGTGAGCCAGATCGGGCTTTTCGACACGGTAGGTTACGCGGCGTTGCTACAGCAGGGGGATTATTACGCGTATGCGACGGTTCTGATTTTTCAACTGCATAATCTGAGAGTTCTAGAATTGGACTATACGTACACTCTGGTCGGTGGCTTCCCTGGTCTGTTTCTCCAACATGCGCTGCGCTCTTCGTTCGAAGGTATCTCCAGGTTCAACAGGCTGGAAATCCTCAAATATGGCGGCGACGTTCCCCAAGCGGAGAAGCTTGACGACGAGGCAGAGGAAGCAGTGGCTGTTATTCCCTTACTCGGGAACAAGTATCAATTTGCTCCCTGGTTTGCCCTGCCTAAGCTGAAACACGTGGAGATGTGGCTTAGAAGTGCTTTCGGGTACGACGAATACAAGGATCGTTTGGCGGCTGGAGAGCTTGAAAGCCTCGTTCTGGCCAGGTCCAGCGTAGACGCTGCCGATATCTCGCAAATTCTCGGCGCCTGTCCGAAGCTCCGGAGGTTGCACCTGGGAGTCTGCTACGACTTGGTCTCGCAGTTGGCACTCTTTGACAGCAAGGAACTAGCTGGTGCATTGGAGCCGCTGAAGGATCGCCTCGAGACACTATCCATAGGTCTTGAGACTGACCCAAGCTTCGTTGGCGGATTCACTTGGGACCAGGACAATAACTTTGGCAGCACGCTCACGGATCCATTCCTGATGCTGTTCAGTGAGTTCACGAAGCTTCAAGAGCTCGAGGTCCCAATGCCGCTTTTACTGGGATGGTTCTCAAACGAGAACTGGGCGGATTTCCACAAGTACCTGCCCCCAAAGGTACGGCACTTAGTAATGCGCAACGATCTCTCCGGGTTCGACAACTACGCTTGGGATCCGTACGGGATGGTGTTTGCGGTCGACCAGCGGGTTGTTGAGACGAAGAAACGGATTCCTAGCTTGGAGAGGGTGACTCTTCGTGTCTGGGCTACGAATCCTCGTCGGCCGAATGAGGACTTCCTGGCTGAAGCGGCGGATATGGCTCAGTCGGTTGGGGTACAGTGTGACTCGGTCGTCGACGAGCTCCGCTCGGGGCTTTGGGTTGCCAGGGCTTCCTGATGGGGTCCATATAGGATGTCCGGGTGTGTGGTCCCTATTATCTACTTTCATTTCTGGGTCAAGGTGCTGACTTCTTCGTCATCTGCTCTCATGATTCTGCGGTTTATGGTAGCTCTGAGGATTTCAATCAACTGGCGTACAGTTTCGGTAGGTTCAATGTGCGATCTATTCTGTTGACATTTACAAGAAACGATTCAACCTTTGCAGTATATTATAGTCAACTTCCAATCAAAAACCGTGTATTTGACAACCGAGACACTTCAAGTAGAACGTAGCGAACAAACTGTATCCAATACAAGACGAACATTGTCCTATACGTCATTGATCTCTAAACTAAGCGCCGGTTAGTATCGCTCATAACCCACATAGCTCAACATACTCAGCTACTCGACCCAATAATCTCAAATGACTGAAATCCCTGGCCCTGGGTGTAGCATCCGTCTCCACCGGCCTGGTGAAAGGTATCGCAGGCCGTGCCACTCGATGCGATGAACCTCCATCCCTCAGGAAGATCCTCGACACTCATCGCTTGAATGGGCTTGGTGACGCCCGTGAGCCAGTAGCAGCCCCAGTTCTGCTCGCCGGCGATGGAGGTCAGGTAACCGGTGCAGTCGGTGTTGCTGTATGCGGTGACGTTCCAGGCTGCTGTAAGGGAGCCTGAGAGGGAGAGGAGAAGAGTTGCAAGGGAGAGGTTCTTCATATTGAGGCTTTGGTATAGGATGTGGCTTCAGATGTTGATGGCTGTGAGCTGGTTGTTGTCCAGGTTCAGGGTACAAGTAGATGCAGCGTCTGTTATATATTTGAATCTCGTCCGTCTCACATAAGATCAACAAATGAACAGTTCTAAATTTGGATTAAAGAACGTGAGGCGTCAGCCTCTGTATACTAGTGGCTCTGATAAATGAACTTCACCCGACACTTCTCGAGCAACAGACAAGATCATAGCCTAAACATATCCAATCTCATCTGCATCGGACAGTAAGAAAACTGTATGATTCACACAGCCCGGTTAGCATCCCTTCAAACGCAGAGTGATTTGCTGGAGACCTGTCAGCTGCGGGGGGCCTGATGGCCGAATGGGCTGTAAATGCGATCTTCCACGAGTCAACCCTGGAAACACTGCCATTGACGTATGCATCTTATTGAGCAAGTCTCGGCTATGGACGGTGCTGGTTCACCCTTGGGCCTCCCGACCGGACGAAAGGTCTAGCCGGCCCATGACACTGTGTGACTCTCCTGTGCCTTGTTTATTTAGCGGTAAGGCTGATATGCTCTCCTGATAGTCGAATGATGTTTCCTGTTGACCCGTTGTCCGTTCATTAGGTTCCCGGTATGATCAGTTGACAAAACAACCGCAAAAGACAGAAAAATAAAATAAGAATAAAATTGACATTCTCGTACTGTTTGTTATCAAAAATCAGGTATCAATTTGTTAAAAATTACCCCCCTTCATTCACAACCTTTCCAGCTATATTGCAAATTGACCGCTTCTCCCTGCTGGATGCTCCCCTGTCGAATGGATCCCATCAATGCTCCCACCCTTTTTCTGAGGCATATCGTGTCTGCTCTAAGCAAACCAGAATTCTTGGTGTTCAATTGCCTTGTCAACAACGGTTCTTACATGCAGGTTCACGTTTGCTGGAATTGTCTGGGTACCCTGGACTGGTCGTCAGCCATGTTCTAGTTCAACGAATGAAAACATTTTACCTCGATCATCAGTTGATGAATCTCATGACTGGCTACTTGGTGCCACTCGCTAAGTCTCTTGCGGTTGAGCTTGTATATAGCTAGATCTGAGCGGTCAAGGCTATCCATGTGATCTATGCCAGGTTGAATATATTTCTCTGAGATTGTCGAATACAGACGAGAAATGTCCTCGATTGCCGAGAGATGACCTTGGATCTGAAAGAGGTGGTGCAGGAGGTGCTTCTTGCGTGATTTCTAGTCAGCGAACATACCACCAAGGTGTACGGGACATGTATACTGACCTTCTTATCCTCTCTACTCAATCGCCTGCCCTCATCCGCGCTAACATTGAGCGCCACTGGTGAATACATTCGGAGCGTGCGGGTAACGCTACCGAGATGCGTCTTGACGATATTGTCTATGAGTATAGATAGTTGTTCAAACCACATCTCGAAATCGCTACCTGAACGTTCAGCTTTTGCAGCTCACCTGTCAAGGTTCGTAGGATCTGGTCGATGTCTTGCTATTCTCCGTCTCAGCGAATACCTCCTAACTAGGGTGGGATACTAGTAAGACATACCAGGTTGAGGTTCTTCTCTGCCAACAAATGCAAGCCGTTCTTTGCAATTCGGGAAGGTTGAAGGGATGACAGGCGCTGGCAGGCTTTCTCATGCTCACGCCGCGCTGCCTCTACCTTCTTATCAGCTTCATCCAGGTACTTACAGCTCATCTCGATTCTGAGTTGGCGTCCTATCAGACACACCACGCTATGCTGGTCGACACCACCTCCACACACTTCGAGAAGGAGAGACGAAACTTGGCACCGGCTCACACGAAGCGATTTCAATCCTCCATGACCTCACGTATAATGCTTACTATTCTCTTCAAGACGATGCCGATAGGAATACCGATAAGATTGTGGCATTTGCCGGTGAATTGCGTCGTAGAGCTGGCGCACGACTGCGCGGTCCTTGCCAATGGAGTGGAACATGCTAACACGGTACTACACATTGCGACCCAGATACTAGCCACAATGACTTCCGCGCAAAATGACTTGGTGTAGGCAGAGAGCTACATGAGGGAAGTCGTTGTACGATTCTACAACGGAGATGTGGAATGTCAGACACGCGCCTCGATGCTTCTGGAAAAATATGAACGTTGGATACAGGACAAAAATGGGCCCGTGTGGGAGGCAATGAGAGCAAGGAAACAATCCAGAAGTTACAGTCAAGCCTGACGAACGAACTATCAGAAAAAAACTAGGGGTTGGTGATACCGACCGTCAAGTAGTCAGGATATTTTCTTCTTTAACCCACATCCCAGTGTGTCTGAACTTCCAGTGTATGACAAGACTTGGCTGTAGTCTTCCTCCTTGCCGTAGCCTAGATCACTTCGATCAATTTTCTGATTAGCACCACTCCAAATACGCTGTATCTCACGCATTATCAAGCAGGTTCGCAGACAAGGTGCTCATTCTCATTAGTGCTGAAGCCAAGACGCGGATCAGGCAGCAGCCATGGCATGCATATAGTTGGGAATTGCGGTGTTACTACGTATATTCGGATCAATATTGCGCATTAGATGATGCTTCTGTTAGTTAGTAGATGAAGCTTTCATATAGAAGAAAGGGTGAGACAATTGATTATTGTTATTGTAGTGGATGAAACATGTTGATGGCCTGAGGATCTATTTCAGGCTCCTTCCTTTCTGAGCGAAACGTGCCAGGCTATACCCAATGGAGACTAGTGCCTTAACGCCCAAACAAACACCACAACCCAATTAATTCCCAAATAGTCCAAAATATTGCAAACGGCCACAATCTCCGACACTAGAGTCGCGCCAAGCTGCTAGTTTCAGGCAATCTTCCCTTTTCCCCCTCGTTCTCTGGAGATTGAGAATCTCTGCAAAAGTGCAGAATGCCGGGATTCCTCTTTTCAATTCACTGACAATTCTAGCCACAACTCGGTGGTTGAAGAGAACTCGAATCAACAGTAAGTGATATATCGCTGCAGGAGATCTTATCCGAGAGAGAGGTCCACCGACGATCAGCCAGCCCGGGAACACCGGTTCATCATGCGCTCGAGCTTCAGGGACGACTAGAGAGGCATTTCGGCACAAGATCTCCGCTCTTGCAGCCCATCCGCTCGGCTGGGATCGAACGCTGCGGTGGAATAAAGATACTTGCTCCTGACTGTTTGGATCTGGACGAAGATTGGGTTCTGTTGATAGCGACACCGATGCGGCCTCTCGTTGCCATCCAGGCAATCATTTTTTTCAGCATCCTGGGGCTGCTTTATCGCTACTATGGCCACCACTCTCACTTGTCTGCCGTCACCGGGGCATACCCGGTGACGGAGATTGCCATTCCCCAGACGGTCCACCAGCTTCTCCTGTCGATGCCCGACCATCCCATCTCGCAGTTTGAACCCAGTGATCACGTGATTTCATGGCAGCAGTCCGGCTGGAAAGTCGAGTACTGGAGTGAGGAGGCCTGCCTCGAGCTGGCGCGCGAGGTGGACGCGTCAGGAACCTTTGCAGGCGCATTTGAGACGCTTCCCTATGCGGTGCTCAAATCGGACTTTTGTCGGTATCTGGTCCTGTTCGGGCGAGGAGGTGTCTACAGCGATCTTGATGTCCACCTCGTCCAGCCGCTGCCATGGACCGTTATGGGTGCTGAAGACCAGCATCATAGTCCCCCGAATGTGATTATTGGACTGGAAGGCGATGCGACCACAAAAGGTCTCCCTCGCTCGCCGCAGTTCGTCCAGTGGACTATGGCGTCGACTGCTTTGCACCCCATGTTCCGGGATCTACTTACTCGTATTGCGGAGAGGACGCCAAGTTTTGTGAAACAGGTGCACGCCTTGGAGGGTGATGCTGAGGTCAACGTTATGGACTGGACGGGGCCGAGTGTATGGACCGATACTGTCCTCGACTACTTGGGTTGCTCGGAGGAGCAAATACAAAACCTACGCGACTTGAAGGACCCTGTGAGAATTCGCGACGTGATGATCCTTCCTAAGCGATCATTTGCGGTCACACAGGGGGAAGATCACACCTCACCCGATGTGCTGGTGAAGCACTATTTTAGTGGCACATGGAAGGGTTGCAAGAACCACTGGCATGGGTGGAGCCTACCATGGCTTTGTTAGCATTCTTTGTTATTAGCGTTAGACTAGTCTGTCTGCATGACTTCAATTGTGTTAAATTGCAATGGCATTGGCAATCTTAATTTGTCTGGCTGACCGAGATAACGGCGGCGATCGCTTGTCCCGAGGTATTTCGCAGTTTCACATCTGGCCATTACTCCGTAGATTAGAAATCCGTCCTAAGTATATAAATTGACCTCGACTGATTCATTCAACGGAATCCATCTTTTCTTCAACCATTTCTTAGGGAATACTTACAATATGCTTATTGTACATCATCTCCAACGATCTCAATCCGAGCGCATTGTCTGGCTCTGCGAGGAACTGGGCATTCCCTACCAGCTCAAAACCTACCAGCGCGATGCAAAAACCCTTTTAGCACCGCCAGAATTGCAGCAGTTGTACGACTCTCACATGAATCAGCAGATTGAAGTGAAATTGACTGATCTTGTCAGACATCCCACACAAGCCGCCCCCGTCATCCAAGACGGCACCACCACCCTCGCAGAATCCGGCGCCATCGTCGAGTACATCCTGACCAAATACGCGAGTGGGAAATTGACCGTCCCTCCCACAGCAGACAACTACGCCGATTACCTGTACTTCTTACACTTTGCAAACGGATACTTCCAGCCCGCGCTGGTGGGGTATTCCACGGTCCTCCGATCGGGGATCTCCCGCGACGATCCCAGCGCGAGATTCGCACGGCGCAATTTCGAGCAGGCGTTAAGGGTCTTGGATGATCGACTGGCGAAAAATACCTGGCTGGCAGGGGAGGAGTTCACGCCGGCGGATGTGATGAATGTGTTTACTTTGACTACTGCGAGGTTGTTCTTCCCGTATAGTTTGGCGGGGTATGAGAGGATTCTGGGCTATTTGCAGAGGGTTAGCCAGCGGGAGGCGTATAAGACTGCTATCGCGAAGGGGGATCCTGGGTTAATTCCGTTGATTAGTGGTGAGAAACCTCGGCCGATCAGGTTATAGTATAGGTCTTTTCCATGATAGATTTGATGTGATGCCAACTGGCCAGTGATGCAACGCCCACTACGTCATCGGAAAGTGACGATCATATCAACAAGATAATATCTTTCAACAGAACTTCACATTCTTCAGACACCATTAGAGGTATACCTGAGTGACAATCACCACAAAATGTCCCTCAACACAGTAACCAGCGGCCTAAACAAAGGCCTACCCACTGACAGCGTCACCAAAACCGCCTCAGGAACAGTCAACGACACCACCCAAAACCTCAACAACACCACTGAAAAAGTCACCGACCAAACCATCCCAGGCGAATATCCCTCCGACGACGCCAAATATGACAAGCCAGCCCCAGACATCTCCTTCTCATCCATCTGGTCCGCCTTCAAATCCTGGCTCTTCTCCTTTTTCCCGAACGTTCTCGACCGCTTCGAAAACTGGATCAAGGGCCTGATAGCCTGGGTCCTCCCTCCTCCGCGACAAGCCAAAATGTACGAAGCGATTCTAAAACGGCCCATCGCGTCCTCGTTCATCATCTGCCAGCTCGTCTGCTGTGGGGTCCCGCTGCTTGTCTTCCTGGCGGGTGTGTTTCTCTTTGCGGCTGTTGCGGTGTTGCTCTGGGCGGTGCTCTCGTTGCTTCTGGCGGGGCCAATCCTGTTGGTTGCGAGTATGATGGGGGTGTCGCTTTGGGGATGGGGGTGGGTTTTGTATGGGTTGGTGAAGTTTATTGATCAGCATTTGCTGGGGGGGATGATTACTCGGTTTTGGTTGGCGAATAGGCAGGATCAGGATGAGGGGGAGGAGCCGGAGGGTGAGGGTGAGAAGGGTGAGAAGGATGAGGCGACAGAGAAGGTTGAGAAGAGTGAGAAGAAGAGACCGAAGAAACTGGAAGTGAAGAAGGATACTTGAGGCGGATAGTAACTACTGTCTCTTGCTTGAGGACATTCAGATGGCTGGCTAGGATTGAGCGTGGTTGTTTGATATGATCTCATGATGTACGACGATTTATGATGCTCTGCTATATAGATTGCTTATACCCGTAGCAAATTGGTAATATCTGATTCCAGTGACTATACCGAATATCCATACCCTCAACACCCAACTCCCGCGATACCAGATTTAATTCCTATAAACTGTTAGTACTATCCAATGCAGCAGAAGAGAGGACCTACAGTAAAGACAGCGTCAAATCACCATGAATCCTGGCCTTCAATTGCACCTCGATCTCCAAGTTCAAGTCTAGCCGTAACGATAGCGTATTATCCTTTGACTCTTTCTGCTGCTTCTCTGGCTGAGCTTGATTTTGTTGATCTTGTCCCATCATCATGCCATTGACATTGCTGATATTATCCATAGTACCGCCGGCGTCTCCTCTTCTCCGCCCGACTTCCCTTCCTACGCTGTCAGCTCCAAACGGCACTATGCGCTGCTCGTCGCGCCGGCGGGGCCGACGTCGTCGTTCACGATGGTTAGAGGGTTCAAATTGTTCAGCAGTTTCAGACGTTGTTTCGGATTGTTCGTCAGGATCACGCTGGGGTCGACGCGTGCGGCGGTTGCGTCGTTTAGGTTGTTCTGACTCCAGTTCGGGTTCAGGATCGGGCGAGTTCACTGATTCACTGCCTTGACGATTTTCAGTCTCTGCAGGTGTATTGTTGGCTTCTGGTGAAGCGTCATTTGGTTTATCATCATGAGCCTCATCTGCTGCATTCTTTCGCTGGCGCAGCTTGGCTGGTTTCTTCTTCTGTGGGGTAGGAGCCGTAGGCTGCCCTGTGTCTTGGGTTGAGGCAGCCATTGTGATAACTGTGGCCTGGAATGAATGTAAACAACCAAGACCTGTCAGTTGAGACGATGTTTATAAAGGTGGGGATGATCGGCACGTTTCTGGCAGTTGAGTGCGGATTCCTGAATCGGGATCGAATGTCATCACCGAGTGGGGAATGCCACCGACGTCATTAGACATTGCCCTATCAGAAGAACGGTTGATTCAACCCAAATGCTGCAGCCAATCATCGATGAGAGTAAATTTAGACAAGATGCCCGCTGTGGAGACATGCTGTCAATGACATAGATCGAATCACTAGGCACTGATAGCCCGAGTAGCCTACATCCTGTAAGATGCCAGCCAGCTACTCAACTGCACGGCAGAGTGAGGTGCGGCACAATGTGTCGACTTGGTAATATGCATTAGTCATGTGCTCGGCGGCCAGAGATCAAGCGGCGAATCCGTATCCCCCTAGCATAGCATAAATGCACCAAGGGCTAATATCGCTGTTCTGATCGAGTATTTGTGCCAGGAGCAAGGCATTACGAATGCCAAAGTGATCGCTGATATAACGGAACATGTACGAGACCCACTGTCTCTGATCGGCTGTGGCAGCCTTGGATCGAGCGGCAATATACATAGGAAACAGAAGAGTGTAGCAGTCGAGGAGCTCGGACGGCGTATGCACTTTGTTGCAGCCCTTCTGCGGGACAACGGAGAGATCTGTGTTATCTGCCTGTCCTTGGCTGCATTTTGCCCGGCAGGCATAGCTTGCATATTGTGGAACGGAGGCATATACCTCGAGCGACAGTGCTGTAATATTACTCAAGGCAGCTTCAGATGCAGCGAGCTGGTTGACTCCGTGGGTTGCGTTCAACGTCTCATAACAGTCCAGGAGATATTCGTTGAGCTGGATGCGCACCTGCCGCACAACATTCCAGGTCTGAGTGGCATGACGATCACGATAGAAGTCCATTTCCTGGCCATACACATGGGGCAAGGGGTACCGCAGAATCCGCCTTTCCGGCTGCCAGTCTGGAGGCATGTCCCGGGAGGTCGCTAAAAGGGCCTGGTCAAGATCCTGTGCGCGGGCCATGCTATCCTGAAGTGACCATCTGCCAGTGTGAACTGCATTGAGGAAAGAGGCATACTCTATCGTCAGCCCCGAGATCTTCCATTTCGGATCGTCTTTCAGGTCCAAATGACGCTCGAGATGGTCACGGAGTATGAGAACGTCACTGGAGACAGCATGCGCGCTGGCCACGCAGCTGATGATATAGTTGGTTAGAAATCGTGACATGATCCGTAGTGCACAGTGATCTTGAAAATGCTCTACTCCGGTCTTCCGAATCAAAGCGAGTGTTCCGTTGACATGGCTCGGCCAGAATTGAATGACGCTGGCTTCGGTGTGCGTGATCTTTTCGAACAGGTCCAATAGTAGAGATGCCGCGATCAGGCTATCTCTCGCAATCGGGGCAAAGCTCAAAGCCTGTTTCATCACGCGCAAAGCCAAAGCATACCGCTGACGAGCCAAGGACAGTAAAGGAGCCGAGACATGGTGATGCGCCAGAAGAGCTAAGCTCACTGCATCAATGCTCGCATTTAACCAACGAGGCGCCACTTCCATCTCACGTTCCCATCGAATCAGAAAGTCCCATCCACGGGAGCCTACAGACACGTAATGGGCGAAGAAAACCATACGGGCCTGGACGTCGATGGAGACTGATAGCGAAGCCTCTGTCAGCCGAGCAGGTTTCGACTTCAGCAGAGCCTTGCGCCGCGCGTCCTCCGTCTGATCCTCAATACGGATTGCCTGTGGGTCCCGATATCCATGGCATACCACCGCTGCACGAAGGCATGGTGTACATGAATCTAGACGGTAGTCACACTGGTCTCTGTTACATACATTCTGGGCTGCGTGTGCGAGGAAAACATACCTTCAACCGCCGAGTCCGACAGCGCTGGCAGGCCTTTGATGGACGACCGCGAAAGACCATCAGGATTAAATCATAGATAAAGAGATAGGTGTTGTTGTAGCCGATGGCAAAAAGACCAGGGATGGGGAAATGGGAGAAATGGCAGGTGTCCAAACCACGCTAAGCTATTTTGGGCAGGCATTTCGACGCCAAGTGGACCATTCTCATATGGCAGCAGAAGCCAGTAGATGATGAGAAGTGAACAAGAAGAGAGAGAGAGAGATCTTCCCCTATATAAAGGAGGTCATGGCGATGCTCAGGCTTTCTACTCTCTCCTTCTGTAAGCATTTCTCCCCGCAATCCAGTCTTTCTCAACACAATTATCATATATATATTCTCATCTTGTCCACACTTCGTTTCAACTTCTAGTCTAGTACGGCTGACTGAAATATGTCTTTCCCTTATAAGCATGCCCTGCTCATTGGAGCCACTGCTGGTATTGGTCGTGCCATGGCCGATCGACTGGTTGAAGCTGGCGTCAAGGTCACGGCTGTTGGTCGTCGCAAGGACCGCCTAGACGAGTTTGTTCAAAAACATGGAGAGCAACTGGCCAGCGCAGTTCCGTTTGACATCTCCGTGCAGGAGGATATCCCAAAGTTTGCAGCTAAGTAAGTAATGCGTACAGCCATGTGGCCCTGCTAACGGACCAGAATCATCGACTCGTACCCCGACGTGGACTGCCTTTTCCTCAACGCCGGAATTCAACTCCCCTTTGAACTCGACGACCGGGGCCAGTTCGGTTTGGAGCCATTCAACAAGCAAATGAATGTCAACTACTCTAGTCTGGTTGCGTTGACGCATGCCTTTCTACCCTTTCTGATCGAGAAAAAGAGCCCCACCAGTATCATCTTGTGAGTACCGTCCACGACTGCATGAACTGTGATTATCTGACCGAATAGCACCGGATCAAACGTGGCTATCGTCCCAGCCGCACCTATGCCAGCATATTCGGCATCAAAGGCTGCATTGAACGTGTTCACCTTGTGTCTCCGTGATCAGCTGCAGAACTCCAACGTGGCGGTGATTGAGATTTCACCCCCGGCAGTGCAGAGTATGCCATCCCTCCATCATTGACAAAGGAGATTGACTAATGTGGTAATAGCCGAGTTACACCACTATATGGGCGAGGAGATTTGCCGCAAGCTGGGCATGCCTCTGGACACCTTTACTGATCTTGCATTCAAAGGTCTCCTTGCGGGACAAGACCACATCGTGATAGGCAGTATTGGGCCTGCTGAGAGGTTCAATGCGATTGTCGACCAGAGACGCGCGGCGTTTGAGGATTTGGCCGAGACGATGAGGGCGCAGCAGAAATAATTGTATACTGCGGACACCCCTCTACAGGGTCTATGTTAAGATGTCAATGACTTCTCCACTGACTCAAGCTGTCCCTGTCGTCTTTTTTTTGGTACTGTCTATCTGGTCCAAGAACTGCTGAAACCCAAGTCGATGACGTAGATAGGAATTGAGTATTTCTTGCATATTTCGAATGATCCGGGGAATCGCCGGGATATCCACCGTTGAATACACAAATATAGTTGATGCCGCATGATCATCCCCCAGAGTCTCCGCAAATTCCCCGGCTTCTTCAATTAAGGAAGATGCCGGTGTAACCTTTCTTTCCTCGTCTCTATCGTCAAGGAGACTCAACAATTCGTCCGCCAAATGGCCCGGACAAAGTCTGGTTCCCGTCGCTGCATACTACAGGTCTACAACTTCAAATATAAGGATAGGACCAGGATCATGAGTGCAATCAAGCGCAGACAAGTATTCAAAGGTCATCATGCTTAAGCATATATTGTTAGCCACTGCAGCGGCTTTCCTAGTCTTGGACATCGTCGCTGGAGAGTCCTGCAACAGTAAAGCACCTGTTGTCGTCCATCCCACTCCTCCCGGTGTGAGCAAATACGACTCGTTCGTGGTTCAAGTGCGCTCCAATGCTCATAAGAAACAAGAGTTCACTGTGCAACCGTTCCTTGTCCAAGTGGGCGAGGCCAATACCACCAGCGGAGCGAGTATCGTGCACAATACTTCCGTCGCATACTTTGATTTCTGTGGCTCCGTCGAGGTGTCGTTGACTTACAACAATGGCCCTATACATTCCGCCGTCGTCCGTCCGCATTCATACAACATCGTTCCGAAAGTGCACGGAGACGTTATCACTTTCTCGCTCGACTCTCCCAAGAACGTGGTGATCCAGGTCAACGATAATATCTGGGACGTGCTCAACCTTCTCACCAACCCTATTGAGACTGAGGTGCCTAATCCCTCGGATCCGGGCATCATCTACTTCCACCCTGGTATCAATAATAGCACAGGGGCCACAACAAACAAATCACTACTCATCCCGCCCGGTAAAACCGTCTATGTAGCTCCTGGGGCTACCATCACGCTTCCACTAGCTTTCCACAATATCTCTGACGCCAGCATCCGTGGCCGAGGACTTCTGCTCAAAGCCCCTATTACAATCGAGTATTCGTCTCGCATTACAGTCCGCGACCTTGTCCTTATCAATACGAACATCGGTGTCGCAGTCTCATCCGATGTGACCGTGCACGGGATCCGGTCCTTCTCCATCGGCGCATGGGGCGACGGATTCGACAGCTACTGCAGCCGCAACGTGCTGGTGGACAACGTGTTCATGCGCAACTCGGACGACAATATCGCACTCTACCAGCACCGGAACAACTGGTCCGGAGACTCGAGCAACCTCACTATCCAGAATGCCGTGCTCTGGGCGGACTATGCTCACCCCATCAATATCGGAACACATGGTAATACACCCAACCCCGAGACGACGGACGGCGTCATTATCAGGAACATTGACGTGCTCGACCATCGCGAGCCGCAGATGTGGTACCAGGGATGTCTGGCTATCAATGCCGGGGACGACAACCTCATCCAGAACGTGTGGGTGGATGGGATGCGCGTCGAGAACTTCCGCGAGGGCCAGCTGATCAACCTGCGAGTCATGTATAACTCCAAGTACAATACGTCGCCAGGAAGAGGGATCCGCAATGTGTATATCAAGGGATTGCACTACGACGGTACCAATGCTAATCCGTCGCTAATGTTGGGGTATGACGGTCAGCGCAACATCACCAACGTCACCTTTGAGGATCTCGTAGTCAACGGCAAGAAGATCTTCGATGGAATGAAGAAACCGACTTGGTACTACACTGCTGACTTTGTGCCTATGTTTGCCAATGAGCATGTCCATAACCTGACTTTTACTGCGTCGTGATCAGATGTATGTAGATTGTGATCAAGACATCCTCGTTAACATCCTTCCGCTTCTCCATAGCCAATGGCTAGCGTAGATCTCTCAAGGATGCGCCATGGATAGTACTTGCATGTTATTGCATATATTCGGGTCGAAATATCCCGAGCAACTCAGAAGGAGGCGGGGTATCTGGGGATGTCTGGGGTATTAATCCATCGGAGAAAGTCCTTGGTTGAAGCTTGGCTCATCAGCGAATTCAATCAATGCCAATATGATCTTATCTACTTTGCTATGTATCTTGTCCAGCTTAATAATAGGCCATGCTGCTTCTCACTCAACCAGACCAGTGGTCAATCTCGGCTACTCACGATATCAAGGAGTCGGACTGGCAGCAGGAGTAGATCAGTACCTAGGCATGCGATATGCGGCACCCCCCTTAGGAAACCTTCGCTTCCGAGCTCCGCGGGAGCCTGTTCATAATTCCACTCTGCAGGATGCATCAGAGGTGAATATATCATGTACTCCAAGGAAACTCCAGGGCTCACTCTCTACAGTTCGGCCCCATCTGTGTTGGAACGGGCCAGAGTGCGACATCAATGAGAGCGGAGGATTGTCTCTTTATCAATGTCTTTACGCCTTCCGATGCCACCAAACATTCGAAACTGCCCGTCTGGGTGTTTATCCAGGGAGGTGCTTATGCGACAAATTCGAATGCAAACTACAACGGGACCGAGGTCGTCCAGGAGTCCGGGAACAATATCGTCTTTGTCAACTTCAATTACCGCGTGGGAGCGCTTGGATTCCTAGCGGGCGAGGAAGTTCAACGAGATGGTGACTTAAACGTCGGCTTGCTGGATCAGAGAGAGGCACTAAAGTGGGTGAAGAAGCATATTCGCCAGGTATGAAATACCGTCTATTTTATGCCTTTGGGGTTTCTGACAGGCTAGTTTGGCGGCAATCCGGACCACGTCGTTATACATGGGGCTTCGGCCGGCGGTGGCTCAGTCTCGTTTCACCTCACAGCGTATGGAGGCCGGAACGATGACCTTTTCGTGGGCGCCATTCCAGAAAGTCCCTGGTGGGCTCCTCAAGTGACCATCTCCGAGTCTGAGGTACTCTACCACCGCTTACTGCAGGCCGTGGGATGCTCGACACTCGCGTGCTTGCGCTCGGTGGATGCCTCTGCAGTCCAGAAAGCCAACTTGAACGCACCAGATCAAAGCTCAATTAGTTATCCTGCCGGACTGGGAAAGTTCTGGCCGGTCATAGACGGGGATCTTGTCCGAGATCGGCTCTACGCTTCCTTTGAGAAGGGAAAGTTCATACGGGTGCCGTTGATGGTGAGCAGCGATACAGATGAAGGGTCCTCGTTTGCATATAATGCCACCAGTCCGGCGGAGGTCTCTCTCTTCTTACGAAGTTTTTACCCTCATCTGAACTCCGAGCAATTACAGGCGATCAACGATGCATACCCTAAGATGGACCCAGTTTCGCGACATGCAGCATACTTCCCCTCAGCCTCGGCCGCCTTTGGCGATGCGACAATCGTATGTCCAGGGATCCATATCACCAGCAGCATGGCGAGATTTCTCAAAGGCGGGTCTGACAAGGTGTGGAACTACCGCTATAATGTCCAGGATCCACCGAGGATTGCTGCTGGGCTTGGTGTCACGCACACCTTCGACCTTCAGGCCATCTTCGGTCTGAATTATGGCAGTAGTGTCAGCAGTAGCATGAGGGATATAAATGCGCCGATAATTCCAGTTGTGATGTACTACTATATCAGCTTCATAAGAACATTGAACCCGAATCTGCTCAAGGCTGATAGCGCTCCATTCTGGAAGCCATGGGGGGATGGGGAAAGATTGAAAATACAAACGAATGCAACCGCCATGGAGACAATATCTGACGTCCAACGGGATCGGTGCAATTTATGGAAGCGATTGGCACCCGTGTTGGAGGTTTAACTGGCATTTACTGCACCTAACTACAAAGTATACATCAAAGTCCCATATCCCAGCTGATCGTACCCTCCACTGTTTGGTCCATAGTTTCCTCCGCCTCCTTCCGCACCAGCGTCGTCTTTCACGACCAGGTCACGATATTGCTTGGTGTACTTGACGTTCAACCGCTTCAGCACTCCGTAATGGTTGTAGAGGAGCTCCCACATGGGCCGGATATCCCCACGGCTGTTGTTGCTGATGACGGTCTGAGTAACGTCGCTGTTTGTGTAGGTCGTATAGGGCACATTGTTGCCCAGATTGTACTTGGCGACGTACTCCGCTCTGTTCAGATCAGTATGATATGCGCATGAGCAGATCATGAAGACTTACCCGGCAAGAATACGATTGTCCAAATATCCAAACAAGTCGTCGCCTTGGTTGTAAGCGGTCTGGGCAATGACTCCCAACAGAGCAAAATCCAGCATCGCATGGCCCTGGTCCCGGCCCGCTTCCTGTCCCTGACCCAGCGTCTGTCCGTCGACCTGGTACAGCTTCCAAATCATCTTTTCTATCTGGCCATTTCCAGCCCCGGTCTTGAGGTAGTTGACACCCTCGTCGTACATGGTGCGATTATCAGTTAGCACCCCGATGGACATCATCGAGGCGATATTGCACAGGTCCCAGTTCGCCCAGTAGTGGTCGATGGCGGCACCGTTGTGATGTTCCAGGAAGATGTGGTTGAGTGGATAGAAGACCTTGAGCATCATGTTCTGGAACTTGGCGATATTCTGCGCAGACCAGCCGTTGTATGTCCGCATGATCTCCGCCGCATTGGCTATCTCGTAGCCGTAGATTCCCGCAGCCAGGAACTTGTCCGATGACCCGGAGATCCCTGTCAGGGCGGAAGCCCAGGCATCGAGGATGCTGACTGCCTTGTCCGCGTAGGCCGTGTCGCCGGTCACTTTCCAGTAGATGGCTGTGACATAAGCAGCGGCAATGTCCCTGTACAGCGATGCATAGTTCTGCGAGTGAGTCCCGTCATCGCCGCGGTACACGATCGCCTGCGGACTGGGGTTGTAGCTCAGCGATCGGTACGAGCTGCTGGACAGCTTGTTCCAGCCGGTGAGCCATGGTTCCGCTTTACTGTTGACCTTGCTCGTGATTCTGGAGAAGTCGGCTGCTGTGTGGAGGAGTCCTGGATGAGCGAAGTTGCTGCGTTGCTGGACGGAGCGAGGGAGTACCAGGGCATTCGACAGTGCCAGTAGGCTAGACCAGATAGTGAACTTCATCTCCTTTTTGTTTCAGAATGTCTGCTCCGATAGTGGTCGTTCAGCTGTGCCTTGTTGACAGGTTATATAGCATGGCTGCCATACCCTCTTCCAGTCCATACTCCTACTTCGAGCTTCATAATCCACGGGTCAATTCCGGTTCTTACACCGGCTCTTCTGTTTGAGATGCACATATTGGTCCTGTCATAATCACAATTCTCTGAAATAGAAAACAGGGGTAGACAAAATTCCGGGCCCCGCGTCATCGTGAAGATTGTTTCCAGATCGGGGTTGACCTCCGTTGTAGGCTCATTAAAAGTGTGGGGTGTCGCACCCTTGCCAATTTAAACTCTAGATATCCCGTGCCTCGTGGCTTCTTATATCGGTAGATCCCTTCTCTTTGAAGGTTCGGAGAAGTGCGAGTGATGGTCCTCACCTGATACACTTAGGGTTAACGGAGTATTGGCCGGCCGTCTTCCAGTATGAAGACGATCGTCGACAGCAAGAAATGTCCCCCTTGCCAAGGTAGGACGGTGAAGACACGTCTTCACAATAGTGTCTAAAACGTATGAGATCATCTCCCTTACCAGGAGCGTGTTAGGCGGGTAGTTGGCATAGGATCATCCTCGTACGGGGTAACTCCCGGAAATGTGATGTCAAGCCCGTATCGTGCCTCATGTATGCTCTCCGTCCTATCAGTAGGGGTTAGCTGATATTAACAAAGCGGACAGGCAAATTTTCAAGAGACAGGGAGAGGTGACACCCTCTAGCCAACGTCAACAGGTACGGGAGTGTGCTGCTTCTGAATAATCGACTGCATTCTTGATCGGTCTTCTTCTCAGATTATGCTGCTTGTACACTGGTATATTCTGACGGATCAGTAGAGTCCTGAACAATTCCAGAACTCAGGTTTCACGTTGTGATGGCGGTTATTCGTGGAACAGTTGTTAGCCAATATGTATTCAATAGGTCTGTCAGGAATAGAAGCAGGGGCTACAAGTATAAGTATGATTAGTCTGCTTCAACATAGTTTATTATAATCGGCAAGGACCAGTCGCGATGTTCCCGCGTAAGACAATAGTTTGTTGTTGTAGGATCAATATCTTGCTCCAGTTGCTTACAGTGGATAAGAGTTATGGAATGCTAGGATCGCCTAACCATGGAAAACAAGAGTAATAACCATGCTTATTCTTATTTTTCTATTATGCTCTTGTCCAAGGAGGTATGAATAAGTATCAGATGCATGGGGTAATCCGACTTAAAGCTCGGCATCTCCACCATCTGTTGCTGATCACCAATGACCTCGGATATCAGCGTTCCATGACGTTATAGCGACAAGCATGCATATTCCCCTCTCTGAGTGTATTAGGTGCACAGCCTTCTGTCTGTTATAATGATGCAATGGGCCATCCCAGCCAAGATGAATAAGTGTTCTGTTTGGATCAGCTGAACCAGAGACACAGTATATTCTCAGGTATAACTATAACCCTGCCTGACTCTGAGGTCATATATCCATAATCTTACTGTTCACAAACTTATAGTCATTTATTTTAACAGGCCACATTTCGCTGCCGAACTCCGACGATGAACGATGCTATCCTGATTCGCTCTTACTATGACTCCATATTTGATGTCATGTCTCTGTTTTATGCAATCAAGATCCCCGTTGACACTCCACGTATCCACCCCCGGAATCGATCCTACAATGTGGTACCGGAAATGGAACATAATTGGCTCTTTCCACTCTTCGGGGCATCCACAATCATATGTCTCGAAGACTGACACTTAAACACAGCCGGCCACCTCCCTGGAGACAATGATTGCATTCATCCAAACATCGGGGCGCTTTGGCTGAACCTTTCATTGGAACTACCGATTCATATACTGGATATCATGTCCGCAGAGTCCGCCCCGGCAGCGGAGCAGCCGGACCACACATATGACCACGAAAAAGCGGACGAATTAGCCAGAGCAGTCAGGAAGTTTGAAGTATCCGACGAGCCAAACCAGTCACACCGCGAACATGCCTTTCAGTCCAGCCCAGACGGAAGTTTCAACAAACCCTCGAAAGAAATCCACCACGGCAAGCGCGAACTCACCGAGGACGACTGCTACGACAAGCTTGGCTTCTGCTTTCCCTGGTACAAGAAATGGACCATCCTTACCGTCATCTTCGTAGTGCAGATGTCCATGAACTTCAATACGGGCGTCTACGCCAATGCGGTCCCGGGGCTTCAGGAGGAGTTTGGTATCAGTGCCCAGGCAGCCCGAGTCGGTCAGATGATCTTCCTCGTGGCCTACGCCTTTGGCTGTGAGCTGTGGGCACCCTGGAGCGAGGAGTTTGGCCGCTGGCCCATCATGCAACTGAGTTTATTTCTGGTGAATGTCTGGCAGATTCCCTGCGCCGTGGCACCTAACTTTGGGACGATCGTTGTGTGTCGGGCGCTTGGCGGTCTCAGCTCAGCCGGTGGATCAGTGACGCTGGGCATGACGGCCGACATGTGGGAGGCTGAGGATCAAGGATACGCGGTTGCGTATGTCGTTCTCTCGTCCGTCGGTGGGTCGACCATCGGTCCCTTCTTTGGTGGCTTCATCGGCCAATACCTATCCTGGCACTGGGTTTTCTGGGTACAGTTGATCTTTGGCGGCGTCACCCAGGCAATGCATTTCTTCCTCGTCCCTGAGACGCGCGCCACGATCCTCATCGACCGCGAGGCGCGCCGCCGCCGCAAAACCGGAGACGATGTCTACGGTCCGAACGAGCTCAAGACGCCCCGGATGGATGCCAAGGATGTGCTGCGCGTCTGGCGCCGGCCCTTCGAGATGTTCCTGCGCGAGCCCATCGTGCTCTGTCTGTCCCTGCTGTCTGGATTCTCCGACGCACTCATCTTCATCTTCACCGAGTCATTCGGCCTCGTTTTCGAACAGTGGGGTTTCAGCACCCTCGCCGTCGGCATGACATTTGGCGCTATCCTGATCGGTTACGTGATTGCCTACGTGATCTTCATACCGGATATCTGGCGCCAGCGCCGGGTCCGCAAGATGCACGGCCCCGCCGCCCGGCTACCAGAGCGTCGCCTCCTCCTTCTCCTATTCATCGCTCCCCTGGAACCAATCGGACTGCTGGGCTTCGCCTGGACCTCGATGGGGCCGGCTTACACGCCCTGGATTGCTCCGTGCATCTTCGCCTGCCTGATCGCCATGGCCAACTACGGTATCTACATGGCCACGATCGACTACATGGTCGCCGCGTACGGGCCGTACTCCGCCTCTGCGACGGGAGGGAACGGCTTCGCGCGGGACTTGCTAGCGGGCATTGCAACCATGTATGCTACCCCTATGTATGAGAATATCGGGGGGAGGTTCCATCTGCAGTGGGCGAGTACTCTGCTTGGATGCGCCGGTGTTCTTGTGCTTATCCCGTTGTATATCTTCTACTGGAAGGGCCCGATTATTCGGGAGAGAAGCAAGTTTGCGCAGACGCTGGAGGCGGATAGGCAGCGGCATATGAGTCGGCGGGCGAGTTATTTGTCGGGGAAGCAGAAGCCGTATAATGTTTGATTATCAGTGTGTATATTACGATGATCAATAGACATTTGAAGTCGAGTCGGTAGAACTTGTATTGTGTCGAGTGATATTTAAAATCAACAGGCAACCATGCAGCCCATCCTAAGTCGTCCTAATAAACATACTACACGACATTAGCTTCCATGGACCCATGAAGTAGCAGTGCGAGAACGTACCCTAAAATCCGGATTCTCTTTGTCCGTCAGATCCAAGAAGGCGTTCGAGTGCTCAATCTTCTCGTCTACCGACGACTCAGATGGTGAGGTCTGCCCGGCTGCCGCGGCAGCGCTTCTCTTCTTCCGATTACGTGCCATAAGGACAGTCCGCAGGCTCAGGAGGATGATATTGAAGAGTGCGTACAGGCAGAAATGGGCAGTCAGGCCTTTGTGGTATCTGGGGGCGTCGTCAGACCGGAAGATCTGTTATATTCGGCATGTTAGTCATTGCCACTGGACGGGATGATAGGCTGACCTGAGGTGCGGCGGCGTTGCTGGCGGACCAGGCGATGAAGGTCACTGCCAGGACTGTGGACTTTTTGGTCTGTCCAGCTACGTTTCTCGAGATGAGGGAGAAGAGGAGGTTGCCTTCGGCGAGAATGAACTGTGTGCAATAGAATGCGATGAGTAGACCGGCGCGGGTCTTCGGCGTGGGAGGGATAGTGAAGATGATGGCCGTTCCGATAATGGCGGGTCTACACAGTTAGATTGGGTGAAGTTCCGGGAGCACAACTTACATAGTCCACAGATGCATGATAAGAATAGTCTGTTTGGTCCAGGTCGCCAGGGACGCACCGCCGACCATCACAGCGATAGTGACACCACCCTGTGCGATGTTGAGCAGCTGCGTCTGCAAAGTGGTAAAGCCAAAACTCTTGATGATGATGTTGGAGAAGACACCTAGTCCGCCGATGATCAAGCAGCTGGTCATCTGCAATAGAGCATAAAGCCAGACGGCAGGGTCTCTGAGCACCTCAAGCACTTGGTACTTCTTGAACACTCTGTTCTGAATACCAGTCTCATTGGCGCGCACTCGCTCGACCATCAGTCGCTTGTCCTCCTCGCTCCAGCACTTGGCCTTCATCGGGCTATCGGGCAGATACCAGCCCATGAAGAAGGCCCAGGCACAGGTGGCTACTCCGAGCACAAGAAACAGAAGCTGCCAGGATTTGATGGAGTGGCCTCTGTAGTGTTCGACACCGTAGGCGAGCAGACCACCGATCTATTACTGTTAGACGATACTTCAACCGAGTATAGGAACGAACCATAAGCTGCACACCCATCACTACAGTATGTCAGTTAAGCCTTAAGTTATAGACCTGGGAGAACATACTGCAATACCACAGACTGGTGAGAATAGTCTGTTCCGATCTCGTGTACCACATTGATGTCATAAGGATGAAGCATGGCTGAACACAGGATTCAAAGACACTACTCCTGTCAGCGGGCGCGTATTATGACCAGGTCAATAGCCTACCCAAGAAGGAATCGAACTACCATCAAACCAGGAAAGTTCGTCGCCGCAGCGCTACACTGCACCGAATAAGCCTCGAAATCACGGACCGTTGACGGAACCACTTACAGCAATCACAATACCCCAGAGGAACACACTGAAGCATAGTCAGTTCCCGTCATCATTCTAATCAGGTCAACAAACGTACTTGCTCGCAATGTATTTGCCCACAGGCAGCTTCTGCAAGAGAAAATTGGTCGGGTACTCCCCTGCCAACACACCAATGTACAGAATCGTTCCAAGCCAACTATACTCATTTCCAACAAGACGTGCGTCTGTCTGGATTCCCATAATGGAAGCGAAGCCAAGTGTGCCCTTGTCGAGTGCTTGACAGAAATACGTCTGCAGTCGTCAGATCTGAGCATCTCCAGCGTGATTGTAGACATACCGCAAGCATGCACACCAGCACACGGCGGTTGATCATCCAGAACAATCGCCGGTTAGTCGCCTTATCGACGTGAATGGCGGTTGAATTCGCGTACGCTGCTGTCTCCTGGTCCAGCTCTCCATGGTGGAAGGGCTTCACAGGAGTAACCGTCTCCTGCTCTTCGGCCTTGGAGGCTTTACCTTCGATGTCAGGCATGGTCAATGTTTGGATAAGTGGCTCAGTATATCTGAGTGGATGCGACTTGAGCTAGGTGTGCGACTTCGTGTCGATCCGCGGCAGACATCCTATATACCCAGTGTACGATCACGGACAAGAGTCTAGTAGTCAATGATCTGGGGTTGTGGAGGCCCCGGTGTGGAGTCCGATGGTTCCCGCAGAACAACTCAGTTCATCGATAGGGATAGCAGCAGGGTTCACATAGAGATTAACCGGGGAAGCCCCGTTATTCTCTCCGGAGTCTTGCTGGAAAGTCACAAACTTTTCTTAATGCGGGGCAGGCACCATCGAGGGATCGCTCCTTAGCGCGCAAAGATGAAGCTGGCGGAGAATGGCCGGTACTTGGCCCGCGGAGCCCTATGATCATACCAACCTGATGAACCAGATGGATACTGACAACAGAAGTCGGCATGCTCTCCGTGTCGTGGGGCATCTGGCTGGATCGATGTTGTATTCTTGTTTACGTATTTCGGTCTTACATGGTTTGTCATGGAGTTGGCTCTACCAGGGTTGACTATGGAGAAAGATTGAAAACGCAGGAGAATTTCCTATCTCCATCACTTTCGTACTTCAAGTCTTCACTTTCGAGTAGGAATACAGGCTGCGATACTGGAGGCTCTGGCGAAGGTACCCGACAATATGGATGTATGCTTCTCGGTTCCAGTTTTCAACGGTGAAACACTTTGGTTGTACTGACTGCTCTATTAAGGAACCTGCACCAAAGAGACTCAAGAGCGAATCGAAACACAAGCAGAATGGAACATGTGCGGAGACCAGTGGTATCCCACAGTGGGTGATTCACGCACTCTTTTCTGAATCGGTGGCAGCAAAATTGTGGAATGTGGCCAGCAGAGCTTTGGGAAAGGTGCTTATACATATCGAGACAAAGGGACTATGCTGACACCGTCTAGATTGAACCTCCCACCTTCTTTCCCGAGTACACAGGCAAAGATGGAGCCACATACGTTTATCGACACCTGAGCTTCTGGACGTCTGGCTTCTTTCCCGGATCCCTGTACCTGCTGCTCGAGCGCCAGACCAAGAACAGCAGCAGCACAGAGCCACGTACTCCCCATCCTCTCCTTTTGCAACACCTCTGCCAGTGGTGGACCGTCAACCTGCATCAGAACGCCACCCTTAACACAACACATGACCTTGGCTTCATGATTGCGCCCTGGGCCATCAAAGCGTGGGAGCTACATGGGGACGCGAGGGCGTTTAGCAGTCTGGTGACAGCAGCAAATACTCTTGCCAGTCGCTTCTGTCCCAAAATCCAGTCTATCCGCAGCTGGGACACCTGTGTGACCAAGCAGTATTCATACACAGATCCTTCCAAGGACTTCCTTGTCATCATCGACAACATGCTGAACCTCGATATGCTGTTCTGGGTCGCCAAAGAGACTGGCAATCGGCACCTGTATGACGTTGCACAGGCACACGCTCGCACAACGCAAAAGCACCATATTCGGGCCAACCACTCCACATACCACGTGGTGAACTTCGACCAAGACACGTGCACGCCCAAGGAGAAGTTGACGAACCAAGGCTACAGCGACGAGAGTTGCTGGGCCAGAGGGCAGGCGTGGGGTATCCTCGGGTTCGCGCAGACATTCCAGTGGACCGGCGATCCATCGTTCCTGCAGACGTCGCGACAGCTCGCCGATTTCTTCATTGAGAACCTGCCTGGCGATGGTGTGCCGTACTGGGACTTTGATGCACCCGTCACGAGTGACTCGCCGAGAGATACGTCCGCTGCAATGATCGCATCGTGCGGAATGCTTTTGATCTACAGAGCCCTTAGGGCGCAGGGCAAATACGGAGAATCAGAGCATTATCTCTTTGCTGTCAGGCGCATTGTGGAAGGGACGCTGACCAAGTTTCTGAATCCTCCGACCTTCAAATTCATTGTCCAGCCCTCCAATCGGGGTATCGAGACATACGAGGATGGCCTGCCCTGCGATCACGAGGAGAAGCCGGAACCTGGATTTTTGGCTGTGAGCGAGTCTGTTGCGACAAATGGGATAAATGGCAAAGGGGTAAATGGTACTGAGAGCAAGAAGCCAGTAGCAGAGACGATCCTCACCGGTGCCACGATCAACAACTACGAGTTTGCCCCCAGAAGATGGGCCAACCACGGTCTAGTCTATGCGGATTATTATTTCATGCTTCTGGGGAACATGTTGCTTGAGTTGGGCTTGGTGCCTTCGTTGCCATAGATACATAATCGGGTTGATTGACCGACTTCTACTTTCTGTAGCTGACGTGTCGGCTATCTAGAGACAGACTTTGTTCAACGTTCCATTACCAATGCAGGGATTAGCATTAGATCTCTCGTCCTGAACCCTAGTAGGCCGTGGTAGATTGCCGACTGGAGTTGAAATTCATCGGATGTTGCCCGGTACTGCGCCGTTGGAAGAGATGTGTTCACCGTTCATGGAAGGATTCCCGTAGCGACTTATTCGGTGCCCTGGACTGGATGGTAAGTCCACGAAACGACTTGCATAATCAGGATTCGGGTTATTATTACAATCGTTATACGACTGGGCCACCGGGTCCCACAGCGGTTGGGCATGTAATGTTTCTACAGGCGGAGCGGGATACAGAGACGGGACATGGTGCTTGCGCAGGAGAGCCGGGTCGAGCATATGTGCTTCCGACATCGATGCATACTGTGGCTGCAGCGAGAGAGGAAGTGGCGGAAAGGCGAGGCTGAGAGCGTTATAGAGCGAGCCGTTTGGAGAGGGCCCATTCTGCATAGGGTCACGGTTGCTCCAATCGCCTGCATAAGTCGGAAGATTTGGGCTTGCTGAGGGACCGGAGCCGTCGAACGAGCCACGTTGAAGATTTGTCCGAGATTGCGAATCGACAGGCCCCTCGTTGCCGTCCGAGTTTTGCTCCGGCACTGGATCCGCTCGCTCTGTGGAGTCCGAATATACAGTTCGCCGGATATCCAGGCTGGCCCGACCGGACGCATGCTTACGTGCGTTGAGTAGCCTTTTTGCGAACACGGATGCCAGATTTTCCAGGCCAGGTGTGTTCGGGCCGGCCCATCTTCGAGAAATCTCCCAGAGACTGGCGACAATGCTGTCCAGTTGATCAGGAATTGGGGTTTTGGTGTATGTGGAATGGGTCAAAAGCATGCGACCGGCGATAAAAAGGCAGAACGAGAATTGCGGATTGGTGAGTATAGGTGAGTGATGAAGGAATTGTTGGCCGATGGTGGCAATCTCCGCTGCAGCCTCGATGCAGGTCTCCGCAGAGGCAACGGATGGGAGTCGCACAGGACACTGTTTCCAGTGCGAGGGCGGATATGCGATGCTCTGATGAAGGAGAATAACCGCGGTGTTGTGGGTCATATGTGCCAGGGTGAGGTTCGGATCCATCACTCCGTCCTCATTCAAGACCGATGCGGTTCGCCATTTCGGTGGCAGGAAAAGCTTCCATTGCACGAGGCGCAGATCGAGCTCCTTGAACTTCATCAGCCATAGCTGTGCCTTTTGCGCGTTCTGGAGGTTCAAGGCGTGCTGCAGAAAGAAGTTAATGACGAGGGTAAGCGACTCGGTCGCCTCGATGCAATATGCGAATCCCCCGATCGCATCCTGGTCCGGGTCGCCCTTGGCAGGGTCATTGTCGACGAGATTCGGACTGCTGCTGCTCAAAGTGCTTTTGTCAGAGATGCCAAAGAATGGTGCGCGCACCTCGTATTCCTTTTCCCAGAGAGCACCTTCGCAGGGCAGTCGACGCTTGACATCGGCACTGGTGAGACTGAGATTCCATCCCGTCGACACGCTACAAAATCGGTCCATCAGAAAGACAGTCCAAAATACTCTCCGTCGCTCCTCAGCCTGCCACCAGAATTTGGAGGTTTTGAGGAAGACCATGCGCTGGATGAGGAACTCGCCCTCCTCGGATCCCCGATCACCCTGCCACTCTTCTACACTAAGCTGAAGTTGTTCAACTGTGCGAGTCATACTACCAACAATCGACCACGCTGATGGCCCGCGGCCACTGCCAATCTATTTTCGTCAGCGAATCTTGTTGGAGAGCTGGCGATATCACCTACAGTATCAAAAGCAATAATAACCAGGGCCTGCAGATTCTCGACCGAGAAGGACTCCATACTGTTAAGAATGACCTTTTGTCGACTGGCAACGGCCATTTCCCTGCGAACCTCGTTGGTGCCGGCGCCAGGGTGATGGCTGAAGCGGATGCAGGTCGCCACGATAGCATGCAAAATATGGATCGCTTTGTCCCAACCTTCGGTGGTCTGTATCTGCTCCCGGAATTTTCTCACGTGTAGAATGGGTATCCAATGGTGGACATTTGCAAAGTAGAACTCCACCAGATCGTTCATCACTTCTCGAGAGGGCAGGCCATGCGCGCTGAGATGAGCCGACGAAGAATGACCCGGCGGAGTTGGTCGCTCGGTCGCGCTGGATTGAGACTCGAGCTTTCTGCGTTTCACTGGAGGCGCGTCTCGCTCAATGCAGTCATCTTGGGCGTGGTCAACTACCGAACGAAGGGACCCTTCATTATCCTCTGCCAGCTGCAGTAGAGTGTCCTTGACACGATCACGGACTTGATCTAGGCCAATCCTCTCGAAGTCTCTGCCGTTCTGCTGAACATCGTCTGCTGAGTTGCTGACCGTATCCCAAAGCTTTTGCCACAGAATCCCCTGACCGATGAACATGTTCTCCAGCGCCTCCACCCGACGTTGCAGCTGTTCAACCGCCCCGGCTCGGAGGCCCGGTTTCAGGCGGCCGTTGTCGTAGAGACAGATTACATTGAAGCGGACGCATTGTGAGCATGGCTGCTCCCGGTCGCATTTGGCTTTTTTGCGCCGACAGGATTGACATGCAGGGATCTTGTCCTTGTTACAGTCCAGCTGGTCCAGATCCGGCGGGGGTGCTGTTGACCTTGGGGACATTGTGGCAGAGGGACGGAGTCTCAATGTAAACTCATGATGATTGTCATGAATTGCGAGAAAGAGACTCTGTAAATTCTCCAGGGACCATCAAATATTTTTTTCGGGATTTCCTGGCGCCCATCAAGTTGTGCAGGAACCAGCTGCCACACCCCATGGGGTAATCGACGCTCGATCAAGCTGTCACTAAACTAGTCGACGACGCCTCGTGTCCTTGCGCCTGATGATGGCATACCAAGGTTTTCCCCGCACTTGTCGATAAAGTAGTCACTCGACCAGTCTCCATTTGCTGGCAAGGCAGTGGGGACGACCAGGGGTGGATCGTTGATGGATGGTTGGACATCGAGACGCGTGTGCGTACTGCGTCCTGGTTGACGAGTCCATTCAGCCTGGCAAAGGTTCTGTGAGGGCCGTGATGTGCCACTACTGGCGGATAAATTGCCGGAGTATTCTCCGCAACGATTGAGTGATCGGCTCTCCACCGGAGTTATCTCGACCTAAAAAGTTACTTGCTTGAGGGAATTGATGGCGGCAGAGGTCATCAACAACATTGAGAGACGATGACAAGGTTTGAGGATTTCGCAGTGGATTAGTATACTCCTCGTGGTTCAATGAGGATGTAGAGATAAATATACAAGAGTAAACGAGTCGTCTCTATGATGGATCACGTGATGATTAAGATTATTTGTTTTGATCACATGATTCGTTGGCGTGTCTCCCACTCCACAAGATTTCCATCATCCGCTGAACTCCATCAACTCGTACAAATTGAGCTTTACACGGACCACCGATCATAATCAGGAATATCCTCGTCGTAGTATGTCTCCGTGACCTGTGAAAACCCTACTTCTGGCGCATGTGGCGGCCACGGCTGTCCAGTGCCGGTCGCAAACAAAGCAAAACTCGCTCCTTCGAACACAAACCAACCCGATGGAGCGAATGCCAACCAAGACGATGACAGCGATGCCAGCCAGGTGATGGTCTCATCTGACTCAAAGCTGTATCCAAGTGTGTAGGAGAGGGGCTCCGCGCGGATACGGAGTGTCAGGTCGGACGGAATCGAGGACGAGTTCAGCTTAACCTGATTATACTGTTATGCGTCAGCGGCCTTCTCATCTTGTCAGCTCATCACGAAGGTCAATTACCTCAATCGTCCCATTCATCATCAACTGAGTGAAGATGCACATGCCGGTGCTATTCACACAGCCCGACACTCCGATGTCCTGATGTTGCAGCTCACTCAAATAGGCACTGATCCCGACAGTCTCACCGTAACCCAGCCCGGACGTCGTGGGTAGCAACTGCGCGCTAAAGGTCATGTTCAGCGACTTTTGCTTCCGCAGAATGGCTGCTGGGGTGTCTCGATCGCTTAGACCAAAAACGTTCGGTCGGAAGACAATTCCATGAGACTTCTTTCGACCACTGTCCTCCAGGTCGCAGATGGGCGCGTACGGAGTCCGCAATGTGTACCATGAGGGATCAAGCATCTTCTGGTTGAATGCGTCGATGAAACGTGACGGTGGTAGTTTCTGATCGGGCGCAGGACCGAAGGATTCACTGAGCAGGACTGGGTTCCCGCCATTGATCATCGGCCATCCATCCTTCCAGGTGACTGGTGACATGAAGGTCTCCCGACCCAGAGGCGACGAACCGTTGATCTTGCGTCGAGCGAGGTAGACCGCGTAACTGTCGCCGTTGGCGGCCTCGAAGATGGTCGCATGGCCAGTAGATTGTACGGTGAGGTTATCGTAGCCGTACGCTCCATTAAAAAGAATTGGATTATGCGGCGCAGGATCCCAAGGCCCTTCTGGAGACAGGGAGCGTGCGATACTGGCACGGTGAAGGTCGTCCGTGCCACCTGCCCGATTGTCAGTCGACTGGCGCTTCAGGGACAGGGAGATACTTACCCTCTGCGATGAGAAGATAGTACCATTTATCCCGCTTGAACATCTTTGGGCCTTCAGGACGAGCACTGGCATTATGCGGGAGCGTGCCATTCCACATGGAGCGATACTCTCCGATACAGCGACCACTGTCGACATCTACTTCACACTGGTAGATTCCCCAGATGCGGTCCTTGTTGTTGTTGGGGGACATCAGGTTCAAGTACACTTTTTGCGAGACAGGATCCTGGAACAATGCGGGATCAATGCCCCATGGGTCGCCCCATATGGGATCTGACCAGACTTGAGGTCGTGGGACGACACCCACATCACTCGCGGCCAAACTCGAGCGACAGGGTCGTATGTCCATCGCGTCATTGCAGCGAGGTAGTATTTTCCATTGATGTAGGAGAGCGTGGGAGCCCAAGCACCTGCCGATCCACCGGATATTAGTGATCAAGATGTAAGGACAAGCATGTACTAACCTGCACCTGTTGGAGTTCCATATAGCTGAAGCTGCTCCGGTCTGGTGAATGCATGGGAGAAGAGTTCCCAGTTGGCCAGGTTTTTGGACTTGTAGATCGGTGTGCTCGGCCAGTACTCGAATGACGAGGTTGCGAGGAAGTACTCGTCCCCGACGCTCAGAATCGAAGGATCAGGGTTCCATCCGGAGATAATGGGATTCCGGATTGCTAGGGTGGTGAGCACCCAGCTCTGAATGACCAGCAGGGACAAAGTGAACCGTCTCATTGCTGTGTTATTTCGACTACATTCATCATGTCTAACAAATCCTGTATGCAGGAGTTCGTATATATAGCATCTTTAATTACTGGGAAATACCCTCTAGCTGCAAAATCCTTATGGTCGGCACACAGTTGGCTCCTTTCTCCTTCCCCACTGATTATATGGTATCCGGGGGATCATCCGGGGGAAGAGCCGGCCACTGAGAGCACAGTGGATGTCAAGTTTTGGCTGGGGCATTCTTGACTTTCGTAAATCCATTCAGACAAGTCAGTGATAGTCTGTCTTGTCTCTTCCCTCTGTTGATGATTAATGGAGCGGCATATCGTGCTTTCGTGGAGTATCCTTTCTCCTTTGGGGTGAAACATATGTATAACTGCCTGTGGAAGGATGCAGCTTTGTCTCGTTTACGAAGGAAGAGAATCCTCAGGATGATTTATCAAATTTAAGCATTGGGATAGTCATGTCCTATATAATACTTGGTTCTCTCTACCTTGGTTTACAATCCTGGCAAACAGTTTAAGCTAGTATGCCCAGATCAAATCACCCCAGCTGGGATGATCGTTTGACGAAACAGCACCCTCGAAGCCTTCGAATTCCTTGGCCTTGGTAGTCCACGGAGCTTTCTCCTTTTTCTTGGCCACGTACTGGTAGTATAAAATGTCCCAAATCGGGTTCTGGTTCGTCACGCCGCGCCTCTGCTCTGAGATATTTGCCCAGGGACCATTGACTAGGACCGCCTCGCACCGGGACCACTTGGGATCGTACTTGACTGTTTCATTCAGATTGTACTTGGCTGCGTACTCGGACGCTTTGAGCAAGAGATTATGGCCCAGGCTGTATAGATCGACGCCCTGGCTCTGTCCAACGCGTGCGCCGTACGCAGCCCAGCCAATACCGGACATGGTGTGGCCTTGCATATGTCAGCGGATACTCAGGTAAAGAAGAAGATTCCTACTTTGATCACGTCCAGCCTCCACAGATTGACCCGTCTCCGGATGATACTGCGCAAACAGACCAGCGCAGTTATCCTGAATAAAGGCATTCATCGCATAGTTGTACAGTTCGACATCATTTAGATAGACCGCAAAGCTGAGCATCGCCTTGATACTGGCCATCCCGTAGTTGGCCTGCCCTATAACGACCGATTGCCGCGAGAACAGCCAGTACAGCTGGTTGCTGAACCCCGAACCACCCTGCCACTTGGCCCCGGCTTCTGTCCAATTGCCCTCCCAGCGCATGATCTCCGCCGCGTTGACGAACAAGTCCCCGTCGAGCCCGATCATCAGCGAGCGATCAGTCCCGATGATGTCGGTCAGGTTGCTCCCCCAAGCATCTAGAATGGTGGTACTTCGATCCCAGTGCGACTGGTTACGGGTAATGTACCACATCAGCGCGTTCTGCCACGCAGCGCGAACGTCATGTGCGAACGAGGTATAGTTGCTGATCTTGCCGCGGGAGACAACCGCGTGTGGCCCCTGCATCTGGTAGCTGGCTTGGGAGTATTCGTCGGCGCTGAATTTCTCGTGGGCCGAAGCCCAGGGGTCCTTCTTGGACATGATGTTGGTCCGGATGCGCTCCAAGTCCTCGTGCGTGTGCCAGATACCCGGATGGACAAAGTCTCCGGGGCGTCTCTTGAGATATTTGGTTGAGTCGACTCCGGAGAAGTCGCCGACATGAGGAATGGGGCCGTAGACACTGGGGATGTCGGTCACTATGGAGTGACAGACGCCTGCCAGGGCGAGGATGTTTAGGAATACCTTCCACATGTCGCCAGAGATGTTCATGTCCGATGGTTTCGAGGCCGGCTATCTTCTGTGACGCTGACAGGGTTTGTTAGAGTACTTATATTCACTTTTGTATTCTTCCATGGCTTTTCCTGTGGAGCAACGCAATATTCTCGCTGGTATCGGAAGAATTGCGGGAAATACCGATTTCACCTTTTTGGCCCCGCATTCTCCGATAAACTGCTGCTCAGTCTAAAGTTAACCCTAGTTGAGCTTGTTCTCTGACCGTTCTTCATGACTGCCGGGACAAGGCCGGCGTCTACGCCGAGCGCTCTAATGACTCCATTCCCCGGACGCCGGATTGACGCCCCGCATTCAGTGTTGAAGGACTAAAACAAACGTCTAGTTTGTTGGAGATTTGATAACATGAGCTCTGTTCCTGCGTGTCTCAATACTGGCGAAGATTGTCGCGACCTGAGAGGACTAACATGAAGATAATCTCTACCGTCTTGGTGACCTGCTTGACGGCATGCAGCAGTGTCTTCGCTGCGACTGAAGATCCTCTTAATTACCGGAATATTAAGCGCTCCTACGTCGCTCCAAAATCTTCCAACACGACAACACTGCTGGAATATATCAGATCCCGCTCGGATTTGAGTCGACTCTCAGAAGCCCTAGACAAAGTCGGCGGCTTCTCGGAAGCATTCGACACGGATCCCACCTGGAAATTTACCTTCTTTGCCCCGAACAACGATGCCTTTGAGAAGAATGTGGGCAGATACTTCAACACGTTCGAGTCTACTCCGTATGGCCACCCGACAGAGTGAATGTGCGTGTCACTGACTCTTCATAGGAAAGGGAAATGGTGGCTGGGGAATACCATGCTGCATCACTACGTTCCCAACACAAACTTGAGGTCGTCCAGTTTCAATGAGACTTATCAACAGTTCCAGGTAATTCAGCATTCAGGACTCAAGAGAGATACGGATTGACTGACAGAATGATAGACTGCAAATTATCTATATGTGGGAGCGGAGGTTCAGAACGGGAATCTTCTCTTGAACAAAGTTGCAGGTGTGGTAGAAAAGGATATTTCAATTACACAGGTAGGCTGGACATTTGCTCAGGAGGATGATCGCTGATGCTCTTCAGGGAATCGTGCATATTATCGATCATATTCTTGACCCCTCGGCTCAGATATTTGAGGGTGATCTGCCTCGAATCTCGCAGGCCTTTATTCCTGGCAGTTGCTCGAACCCCAATCTTCCATATTGTTGATGGAAATATGCACTATAGTACGGAAATTGGCTGCTATTGCATAGTTTAATCAGAACTGCCAGAAGCAATCCATCTCGGGGTGACTACCATCGGTTAAGCTATCTCTTACGTAGTCCCGTATGCCTCATGTGAATAGGATAGGAACACTCAAATTGAATTATTCGCATTACTAAAAGCGTAGTCTAAACACCAGCGTCTGATAAGGCTGCAGCATGCCTTTGTAACCATCCACCTTCCCCAAAGACTTGTGAGACCACAGTTCGGTGACCAGGACGGGGCCATCAAGTCCCAGTCCCAGATCCGCAAACGAGACCGACAGCTCCTGGGGATAACTCTTCTCGTTCAACAGAAGAACTACATATCCACCTTTCACCTGGCCAGCCCATACCTGCCATTGCCCCTCTTTGCTGGCAGACTCAATATAATGCACCGCCTGGCCCAGCGTGTCCTGGCTGACCGCTATAATATCCTTATTCTTCAGAACAGCCACGCTCTCATCCGACAGCTTCGACAAATCCGCCCCAATAATCAGCGGAGACTTGAGAGCCGCCCAAAACGCAAAATGGGTCTGCTGCTGGTACAGCGTCATTTCGCCGTTACCGATCTCCAGCATGTCCATGTCCAGCCAGTGTCCCGGGGTCTGGTACTGGCTGATCTCGCGCATCTTGCGGATGATGCTCAGCACCGAGCAGCCCGCATACCCGGTGTTAAGGCAGTAGGCCGTCTTGCAGGCGCAGCCAGTCTCGTTGGTGAATTTGGCGGTGATGTCGCCCGACATGCGATAGGAATGACCGATCTCTGCGATTTATTAGCCATTTTCACCAACTAGATGATTTGAACGTACTCCCTCCCCAATGCCACGGAAACTGATAGCCCCACTCACAAACCGAGTAGAAGATCTCCCGACCAGAAAGCTCCAGCGCCTTTTGCATGACCCCAAAGCGCACCTGCGGAGGCTCCGTCATGGCCTGGAATCCGCCGCAGTTGTCATACTTCCAGTAATCCACGCCCCAGCCCGCGAGCGTCTGCGCATCTCGCTCCTCGTAGCCCCAGCTTCCTGGCCGAAAGCCGCAGGTTAGGATCCCACTATCGCCATACAAACCAATCTTCAAGCCCTTGGCGTGGATATCGTCTATAAGTGGCTTGATGCCGTTGGGGAACGAGGTCAAGTTGGGCTGGAGGTATCCGTCTGCGGTGCGCGAGTAATCGGACCATCCCTCATCCAGGAGGATATACTCGTAGCCCGCGTCTTTGAGGCCGAGGTCCTCGAACAGCTGGACGGTGTTCTCGATTACTGAAGCGTTGATGTTGGACTTGAAGGTGTTCCATGAATTCCAGCCCATTTGTGGGGTTTGGCCTAGAGGCGATTTGCCAGCGACTGGGTTGGGCAATAAAAGGCTGGCCAGAACGAGGCCGAATGCATTGTGGCGGTACATTGTGATGGTCAGATGGAATGAGACTGGCGTCTAAGAACATAGATGCAATGATTTGTGTTTATAGCTACTATCCTTCAACCCCGCGACCCCGGATCCCCTCCAGGAAACATACTAGGCCCAGGTGCTGCAGAGGTGTGGGGTGACTGTTCCTGGACGATATGGTCATGGAAGGATTACCGGAGTTTGCCCGGCAGCTTATCCTGACGATGATTGTGGCTCATTAGTCGACTCTTTTTGAGGCTTAGCCGTAATAATTGAAGGATCGTTATTATTGAGGATCACTGAAGGTTAGCAGTAGCAGCATAAGTGCGTAGAGGTATGCCTGGGGTGTTTGCCCTGTACTCATGCTCAAAATATAGTTCCGAAGCATCCCATCCCTGCAGATATATCGATTGAAATATATAAGCAACATGCAATGGCCAACATGAAACTGGCTAATCGATGTATGGTTCAACTACTTAAATTTTATCAAATGAACGTATTCATGCACATATTCCTCATTAATTTACAATTATACCAAGCCAGGCATACGTCTAGCTCCTGGAATATATATACAAGAAATCGGTAACCACATGACAACCGTCCAGAGCATGGCAAGGAGAGACGCAGAAGAGCAAACGCGATCAAGGATGATCCCGACTTAACTGATCATTCGAAATGACCGAAATTTCCACCTGTTTCGTAATGCCCTGGTCGAGATGCGGTGGCGAATCCCGCCGACCACTGACGGTCGTATTCGTATTGCTGACGGGATCCAGGATCCGCTCAATGCTGCCGGTATCCAGGGGACCATTCTTGGTGAAGCGACGCGTGCGCCGGGACTGCGCCGTCTCGTCATGACCCGTGCGTCGCTGGCCGGTCGCAGGCCCGGTGAGCTCGTAGGAGCGTGAGTAGCCGCGGCTGGAGAACTTGCGGACGGAGGAGATGATCAAGGGCCTGATACAAGGAACAGAAGAGGTGATGATGATGATTGCGTTCTCGACGTAGCCCCAGCGGATGAGCTCGACGGCTCCGCTGGCGCCCAGATTGGTGACGCTGGGGACCTCGTCTAGTTTGGTGGTTTTGATGATGGAGGCGACCATGGCACTGCACGGGTCAGTATCATGATGATCAATGAGGGTATGAAACATACACAAGGCCCAGACTGAGGAGGATGATCAAACTGATCTTGATGCGCATCTTCAAGTTGAGATTCCAGAAGATGAGGGTGGGAAAAACGGCCAGGAACAGGTCACAGGCGGAGTTTGCGGCTATAACACGTCAGCAGAGACTCATGGAGACAGAAATGGAGATATACTGTTAGAGTAGTAGGCAAACTCGATGACGGCGTGGACATCACCACATGTGGTTTTCGTCGTGGGGTCCCAGAGAATGCGCATATTGCGACAAATGCTCAGCGGCAGCACAGCCGAGACAACATTGCCGGCGAACTGCAGCAGCATCACCGTCCATAACGCGATCTGGTACTTTTTATTGTTTCCGAGAATGGCCAGGAGGTAGAGAATGAAGGAGCAGCGGGCGATGGTGGTGCTGATGGTCACAATTGGCACTTGGATGGCGATGTACTTCAGGACGAGTTCGACTTCGTGCGGTTGTTCCTTTACGAGAAGGAGGAGATTCTTGCCAAAGCCATGTTGCACGCATTGCGTTAGGAAAACGGTGGCAATGACGACCAGGATCTAATGCGACCAATGTCAGTAATGCGATAGGGTCCGCGATGGCTCGAACATACCAGTGACACAATCATCAACACATCGTCGACACGAAACTGGCGGATTTTGACCTTTGCAAACACTCGCAGGAAAACGATAATCACGGCGATGATCACTGCGGCCCAGATGCCCCTTACGAGGGCCGGGCCGAGATCAGCTGTGGTCTGTGAGTCCTGGGCCATTGCGGACGTCGACCGAACCTTGCACTCTGTGGGGGTATATGTCGACTGTCTGGCTTTGGTGAGGACGAGATCAAGAAGAGGGCAACACAGTCGACCGGATCATGATCTGTGAGGCATCATGGTAGAACGCGACAACTGAAGAGATTGCGACACTGGGGAGCATCGCTTAATAATAATGGCACCGACGAATATTCTTCAGCTCCAGGCACAGGAAATAATCACCACTGCTGCCAAGTGTCTCCCAGCTACCGGAAGCTCAATGGCTCCGGCGATTTAGACTTTGCAGCATGGCCACAGGACAAAGCGATTCATGGACGGAGCCAAAAATCCATTCGTCTGGTCAATGAGAATCTAGCTAGACAAAAGGGGATCCGCAGAAGGTTTTCCAAGGTTATGGCTGGCAATAGATCGAAGCCCGAGCCGTGGATAGGGTTCTGAACAAGCTATCTTTT